ACTGGCAGCATCAACAGGCCTGTGATGGGAAGGTCCTACCACTGCACTGCCTGGATGTGATTTCTGGTCTCATGCAGAGGGGCAAGCATAGCCCAGCAGTCTCTCCAGAGAAGAGGCACAGAGGTCAGGGTTCAGCAAGGATAGGGCTGCTGGAACTTGGGGGGCACAGTACCAGAGAGTGGGAAACCAGAGAGTGAGCTCCAGCAGCGGCCTGGCCCTCTGGAGAATCGGGCTGCACCCCGACCTGTGAATGCGTGGGATAAAGTCCTTAAGGCTGGGCAGAAACAGCTCCTCAGAAAGAACAGCTACAGCTGGTCCTCAGTGTCACAGGGGATTTCCGCTATCAAAAGTCCATAGATGCCCAAATCCCCACTATCACGTGGTGTAGCATTTGCTTATGACCGAGACGCATCCTCCCACATACCTTATACTGGGGGTCCCCAGCCCCTGGGCCACGCAGCAGGAGGTGAGCGGCAGGCAGTGGCAGGCGAGTGCCACCACCCGAGCTCCGCCTCCTGTCAGGTCCGCAGCAGCATTAGATTCTCACAGGAGCATGAACCCCGTTGTGAACTGTGCATACGAGGGGCCTAGGGTGGGTGCTCCTTATGAAAATCTAATGCCTGATGATCTGAGGTGGAACCGTTTCATCCCCAGACCATCCCATCACCCCAAATCCTAGGTTAGTGGAAAAATGTCTGCCACAAAACTGGTTCCCTGGTGCCAAAAAGGCTGGGGACTGCTGCCTTATATCGTCTCTAGATCACTTCTAACACCTAACACAACGTAAATGCTATGTGAATAATGGTTACGCTATTTTTAAATGTGGATTGTTTTTTATTGTTGCATTGTATTTTTAATTGTTTTTTCTCCAAATGTTTTCAGTCTGTGGTTGGTGGAATCCACGGACACAGAACCCACAGATACGGAGGACAGTGTACTAAGTGGGTAAGCAAAGTGGTCCACTGAGCTTACACAGAGCAGAAGCACCCCAGGCCCTGCAGCCAGAGTGAGGAGGGCTCGGCACATACTGAGAACAAGAAGATACGAGGCTCAGAGCCGACGCCCAGAGGAGCCGCGTCTTCACCGTGGGCTAAAGCAGCTCCAGTGGAGACGCGACCTGAGACTTCCCAACAAAGCTTGAAATGAGCCTTACGGGCATACACGGACCCACAAGTAACCAAACTGCCTGCTTGAACTAAGCGGAACACTCTTTAAAGGAAGACAGAACTGGCACTCGACAATACAAGGTTCACAAGGCCTAGCATCCAGGAAGACATTACGAGGTATGTGAGGTAGCAAACTGTGGTGTATAAACGGGAGGAAAGAAACGTCAGTCAGTAGAATTAATCCAGCAATGACGGAGATGATGACACTGGAGTAGGAGCACGTGATGGAGTTCAGAGAAACGCTTGTTTTATGCTCAAGGATATAAACGAAAACCTGAATGTAAGTAAAAAGGGAGACATACCAAAAAACCAGACAGAAGTTCTAGAAATGAAAAGTAAACTGCACACAATGTAAATCTCACGGACTTGCAGGACAGCAGAATAGACACTGTCGGGAGAAAAAAGATTGTAAACTTGAAGACAGGAATAGAAGGTATTCACCCTGGAAGCAAAGGCTACGGATACACGCACCAAGTTTCCAGGATCTGGGTGACAGCGTCACCTGGCAGCTGACAGCCACATGTGAGCATTTCAAATGCGGCTAGGGTAACAGAGAAATTGAACCTAATTAATTTATGCAGCTACCTGTGGCCAGTGGCTTCCACATCAGACAGTACAGTCCTAGAGCAACCAGGAAATAATAAAACAAAATATATAGGAAATAAATCCATAGTAGAGATAAAATAGAATACTTTAAAATATTCAACTAATACAGAAGGCGGGAAAAGAGGCAAAAATGGCAAATAAAGAAAAGGCAGTTTGTCGGACTGGATAAAACGTGAGCCCCAACGACAGGCTGTCTACCACAAACTCACTTCAAATGTCGGAGCCCAGATAAGTTAAGGGATGGAAGAAGCTATTCCATGTAAATGCTCATCAGAAGCCAGCGTGGTGACCTGGGATCGAAGCAGACATCAGAACAGGGGACGAGAGAGGAAATCCCTCGATCGAGCCCCAGTTTACAACGAAGACAACAGTCCCACGTGTATGCCGCAGCAGCTCCAGAACACGCTGTAGGAGCAGACAGGTCTGGAAGAACAGTCAAGTCCACGCTTGCAGGGGAGGATTCCACACTTCTCTCCCAGCCGTTGACAGAGTAGGGGAGAGAAAATCATTAACAGGCCACAAGAGCTGACTGGCACGTAGAAACCACTGCGTGCGACTGCAGGATTCTTTCCAGAATGTGCCACGTGCTGAGCCACCAAGTAAGTCTCAATACATTTAAAAGGTTTAAAATAATACTACATATGTTATCTGCCACAACCAATTTAGAGGAAATCAGTAACAGACAGCTACCTGGGAAATCCCCAGATACTTGGAAATGAAACAATTCTCTTCTAAATAAGCCATAGGTCCAAGGAGAAATTACATGGGAAATTAGAAAACACTTTGAACAGGAGGAACGAAGAGTCACACATTTACTCTGTCTGTGGCAGCAGCTCCGCAACGTGCAGAGAATGTTTTCAATGCTGAGACAAAGCTCTCGGACAAGGGGCTCGGCTTCCACTTTAAGAAGCGGGGAAAGGGACAAATTAAATCTAAACTACGTAGAAGAAGAGAAGAAAGTTAAGTTGTCAAATTAAAATAGAAAACAGGCCGGGCGCGGTGGCTCAAGCCTGTAATCCCAACACTTTGGGAGGCCGAGGCGGGTGGATCACAAGGTCAAGAGATCGAGACCATCCTGGTCAACATGGTGAAACCTCGTCTCTACTAAAAATACAAAAAAATTAGCTGGGCATGGCGGCGCGTGCCTGTGATCCCAGCTACTCAGGAGGCTGAGGCAGGAGAATTGCCTGAACCCAGGAGGCGGAGGTTGCGGTGAACCGAGATCGCGCCATTGCACTCCAGCCTGAGTAACGAGAGCGAAACTCCGTCTCAAAAAAAAAAAAAAAAAAGAAAAGAAACAACAGAAAACACCTGTGAAACCTGAAGCTGGTACTTGGATGGAAGCGGCACGTGCTGCAGAGCTCACAGACCCTGGAGGCCAAGTGTCACCCACAGCGTCTTCTGTTCAACCTCATGCTCATCCTGGCCTATGCAGCAAGGCAAGAACATGAAAAAAAAAGCGTACAGATGAAAAACAGGCAAATCGTCTTTCCTCACTGCTGGCACAATCACGTGCATAAAAAAATCCTAAGAACTCTATCAAAAAACTACTAGAATTAACGTGTTTAAAAGTTGCGTTTCTAAACTGAAACTGCCGTTTTCAACTTCCGTTTCTTCTTGAGGCTGTGCTGGGGTAGGTCTCCGAACTCGGGCAAGGACTTTGTCATCCGCTGCTCTCTCATCCCCATTCTGCAGAGGTCACACAGCCGGACACGACACCCTATTGCTGGCGTGTGAAACTCCCCTTATTCCCACTCTGCTAATAGCCCAAAGGACTTCACGGACGCGGCCCGGTGTCCCCTCCACAGGTGTCTCGACGCCTTCGATGAGTCCATGTGGAGCCCCGGTCACTGCAGAGCCCCACTTCGTTGAGTGGGCCTGCCTGAGATGCACGAGCCAGCGGCCTCCAGAGTTCAAGTGTGATTTCAGAAGTGGTATAAATGAAATGGCATGTCTACCATTTATCTATTGATTGATTTTATCTGACAAGCAAATCAAACAGCACAAACTCAAGTCGGCCCGGGCTGTCTGGCCTCAGCAGAGCTCACCTGAGGCCCCGCAAGGCTGACCTCCGTGACCCGGGTGTCCTGGCAAGACTTCCTGGGTGATACGGGAGCTGGAGTCCACAGCAGTCACTCACCCACTCACCCTCCACAACTGCAGGGAACTTTCTGTCACGCCTTCCAAGCCATGTCCTGCTTGGCAATAAAGGTTTGGCAGTTTTTTCCTCCTGCAGCAAGAATACTGTACCTTTTGTCTTCTAGACTGTGATGCTTAATACTGAGTGTGAATTTGATTGGATTGAAGGATACGAAGTATTGATCCTGGGTGTGTCTGTGAGGGTGTTGCTAAAGAAGGTTAACATTTGAGTCAGTGGCTGGGAAAGGCAGACCCACCCTCCATCTAGGTGGGCAGCATCTAATCAGCTGCCAGCCTGGCTACAGTATAAGCAGGCAGAAAAATGTGAAGAGGGACAGGCCCAGCCTCCTGGCCTGCATCTCTCTCCCGTGCTGGACGCTTCCTGCCCTGGAACATCAGACTCCAAGTTCCTGTTTTGGAACTCGGACTGGCTCTTCCTGTTCCTCAGCCTGCAGACGGCCTATTGTGGGACCTCGTGATCATGTCAATTAACACTTCATAAACTCCCCTTTACATAGGTATCCATCTATTCCATTAGCTCTGTCCCTCTTGGGAACCCTGACTAACACGCTGCCTTTACTCTCAGATGAGTCTTTTGCTTTATTCACTAGACTCCACCCCAACTGTTTAAAAATGCTCCAACTGTTTCTGGAAGAACTTGTGAGTACAAGGGCCGTGTGGCACTGTGGACCCCTAGCTGACTCCTGGAGAGTGGAGGTGGCGGAGCTGTTAGGATTGTGCCCACTGGTGAAAAGATCCTTTAACAGCACTGACATGCAAGGGCTGGGCCCGCTCCTCAACCTGCCACCCCCAGAGCCAGGCTCTGCTTCCACAACAGGAGTGGCTCCAGGTTCTGAATCTGGAGTTAAGGCCTAGCGACGGTAGAGTGACCGAAACCTGCACACACACCAGCCCTGGTGACCCCCTTCCTGAATGTGCACCTGTGGCCGCTGGACCGTTCCCAGCTCCTTCTGGATGATGCAGTTACACCATAAGCATAAATGAGGCTTAACGTTAAGTAACTGTGTGGGTAATTGCTAGTAAAATTCAAAGTACTTGGAAGAGATACTTAGAATCAAAACAAGAAAATTCTGAAAAATATTTTAAGACTTAAAAAGTTCTAAACAAAAGGTGATGTCTTTCAAAAGTGAATTTCACATGCAAAACATTAATGACATTTATTTCAGCATAAAAGCAAAACATAGTATTCTGAGAAACCAGTAACTGAGTCATGTATTTAGTATCTATTAACGTGAACCCTCATTAGAGATGTTCTAACGCTGTTGCACAAACACGGTGGGCGGAAAACGCAGCAGTGCTGGGGCCGCGCTGGGTCACGGACCACCGGCATGCATCTCCCTGAACACTCAGCACCTGCTCTTCCTGCAAATGGGACCATGTCTGATGATTTATGAAAGAACATTTGACCGACCCCTTTTTCTCAGTTGGTAAAAGGTAGAAATAGGCTTTTCTTACCCATTACCTAGTCTTGAAAACATTTTTGCATGAAATCAAACGAGCTGTTACCAGAAAGCAATTGCTGCCTTCCACCCGGAGCGATGTGAGCGTTTCCTAATGCAATGATGACAAGTTCTTCAGGGTGACACAGTCTCTTCTGCTGCCACAACACCTGCATTCATCTCCCTTTTTTGCTGTTAAATGAAACTTGTTGGCATCACGTGTCCCGTCCACTGCGGGCGGGCTGGGAGCAAACACGGCTTCACAAGGAGACAAACCCTCTGAGTCATCTTTTACAAACAGCGAAAACGACAAGCCGTTTGTCTCTCCGTGTGCATTTCGAAACAACATGAATGCAACCCGCTTCTTCTAACAAAGCCTGGCCTCGTGGCTCTCTGGCTTGCGGTCTGAGCGGTGGTTGCAGAAGGGACTCCCGGGCGGACGCTGTGCGGGGCCGCCTCACTTCCCGGCTGGGTGTTCTCCATGGGAAAAGCACCTGATGGGGAAGCCCGGGCTCACACGTGAGCCGCAAGCTTCTTTCTCTCTTCAAACTGCTTGTCCACGGCCAGAGACAGGGCCTGGAGGAACCCCTCGATGGTGACAGTGGGGGCCTGGAAAAGTACACGGTCATCACTGGAGGGGCCGCCTCACCTTCAGTGGGGGCCCCTGGCATCCACACCCCTGCTGCCACCCACAGTGCAGACAGCCCAGAAGGGGGCTGCAGCTCACAGGCTGAGCAGTGAGTGCACACCACACACGGCCAGGGCAGATGAGCCCTGCTCTTTACTTCAGAAAAGGCATACAAGGTGGCTACGTGACCCCCATGTCCCGCAGATTACAAACGGCCACAGGGGAGGCAGGGGAGCACCAGCGCAGCCACCCACACGCTGAGAAGGATGAGGAGCTGCAGGGGCAGACCCTGGAGTCCTTTCCAAAGGGCCCACCCTATGTTCGGGCCTTAGAACCAGAGAATCACCATGGCCCAGTGCCCAGAGCTGTCACCTCCCTGCATCAAAAGGCTCCTGTCATGGTCCATGGCCACTGTCACCTCTGTGCTGAGCACTGTGTCCAGCACAGAGGCTGCTACTGACCAGAGCCTGGGTCACTTCTGATTTGAAAGGAACCATTCCAAGATGGGCGTTTTCTCTTCTCAGATGTAAGTGCATCTGCTCTGCCAGACACCCAGAGTCCTCACCACAGCAGCTGCTGGGGACCATGCAGGGGAGGGGGTGAGTGCTCCCGGTGGAAGAGTCTGCAGCAGGCACGGCACCCAGTGGGTGAGGGGATGGCTCCAGGTCGCTGTTCTATGTGAGCTGAGCCCACACTCAAAGAGCACAAGCCTCTGACGAGGCCACCGAGGGCCCTGGCCATGAGCTCAGCACACCACAGAGGCAGACGTGCAAGTGTGTGTGTGCGTGTGAGCAGAGGCACGTGGCACAGCCGCCTCCTCCCAAAGGCCTCAAGACAGCCCGACTGGTTGGGTGTCAAGGTCAGCTCCTCCTCCCCCAGGACCCTGTGGTTTAGAAACTGAGATAAAGTAAGGCTGATACCCCAGGGTTTGTAAGTGGAATCCCCAGCGTGGCTGAGACCTATGGACAAGGTGGGTACTGGGGACGGCAGAGAAGACTCACCTGGATGTACAGCGCATGAGCCAGAAAGGGGAGTTTTCTCAGGACCCGGCCGCTGAGGCCTTCACTCTTCCTGTGTAAAGAAAACCCAGTTCAGAGACAGTGATTCACATGTTCACGTCTCAGGAGGAATTTTCCTTGTTGGCTGAGGCATCCACGGGAACACAAGCCTGAGTGCCCTCAGGTACCCCCGGGCCTCACTGTCTCCCTAGCCTTGTCCTCTGATCACCCCTTTGCCCCACAGCCTCTTGTGTGGGGCTGGCCTCTCCCTGTCCTCAGCTCCTGCTCCCTGCATTGCCCCCGCTGCTCTGAAGCACACCCAAGGTACACCCAGGACCAGCGTCCTTGCGCTCAGGGAATGCATCGCTGCCTGGGAGCTCCAGGTGTGAGGCACAGCGCAGTGGGCACATGGTCAGCAGGCACAGATTTCCCAATAATGGGCGGTTCACAGCTTCAGTGTTGGTAGACGTTTCTGAACTGCTCTTCTTTGTTCCCATCTTAACCGATTTAAATCTCTCCAACAGATTATCCAAATCCTTAAAAAATACTGCAGTCTTCATGTTATCCCTCATTTAAAACCTTCCACACTCTTGCCAGCTTCAAAATAAAATTCAGACTCTGGCCAGAAACCTGAGGCTCTGCCCGCTCCGCCCTCGCCTCTCCTGCCTCCTCCCCAGCCTCCTCCCGGCAACCGCCAGGTCACCCGCACACAGCGCTCCAGCAGCCTTCCCAGCTTCTCGCCAGCTGGAACCAGTCTATCCTGCAAGGCAATGGCTCCTTTTCCCACCTTCCCTTCCACCCTCCCTGGATCCCCAAAGCCATTTCTGTTCCGTCGGCCCTGCGAATCCTTGGAAGTGCCGCCAGCTATAGGGCTGCAGGCCTCCCTGCTCACTATATCTCCTTTGGAAGGAGGTGGCTGTGCTGCGTGTTTCTATACACACTCACACGTGTACACACACACGTACATGCACGTTCACACCTGTTCTGTGTTGAGAGTTCAACCCAGGACCCTCCCTGGTCTCCTCAAAGGAAACAGTGAGTCCCTAGTTAATACAGCAAATGGATTCTTCGTGATTACAAACAGGAAGTCGGTTTGCACCTTGAAATCTCACTCAGCAGAAGGCTCAGTTTCGACACGTTGTTTTCGATGAAGCCGATCATCTCCAGCTCTCGGAGGGTCAGCAGCTGCTGGCGAGGGTAAATGATCTGGCACTGGGGAGAGACGCACAGGCTGTCAGTGGGGTCCAGTCACCGTCGGCAGGAGGGGCAGCACTTGTAAACCACGTCACAGCCCACAGGAGTCGCAACAGTGACGGCGGCACCAGGAAACAAGCTTGCTCTCCCACGCCTCAGCGTACACACCCCGCGTTTTCAAACAAAGAATACAAATAATGGAACATGCCTCAGAAACCAGTAGTGACCTAGCCTCTTTGGTGTTTTGGGCCAAAAATTCTCCTCTCTTGTGTGTCAGGAAGAGAAGGGACCTGGAGGCACCCAGTCAGCCCCTTATCTCACCTCAGAGAGACGCCAAAACCCACAGTGGGCAGAGCTGGTAGCCGGAGCCAGGACTTCGGCTGACTTCCAGAGCAGGGTCCTAGTTGGTCTGTTTGAAAGGCGAGGCTTGCTCGGCAGCACGACAGTGTCTAACTGACCAAGGAGCGGGGTACCAGAAGCCCACTTCATAGAACAACTAGATGTCATGCTAAGTAGCCTTGCCAAGTGTCAGGTGGTCACACTGACTATGACTGCACTCCAATATCAACCGTTCTGACTCGGGAACCAAGAGAAGGAAGCAAATGGCGTCTCTGCACATTTTGGAGGTGTGTTGAGGGTTATGAGCAAAACTAAGACACACTGTTCGTGCATGGGGTGTTGGGGCCTCCCGACACTCCCTCAGGGTCCCTGCTGACCCTGTCTCCCTGCGGCCTCTTCAGACCTGTCCTGCTCTGCCTCTCCAGTGATGCTCGCCACACAGTGGGCACATGGGGGAATGGCACAGACCAGAGGGCGTCAACAGCGCGGGGTCCCACTCACATGCCAAAGTTTCGAAACCAGTTCAGTATCCACCATGACATCTGCATGTCTTAATTTCATATAAACTGCCTGAAATAAGAAACTACCCGTCACTGGGCATGGTGGCTCACGCCTATAACTTCAGCACTTTCAGAGGCTGAGGTAGGCGGATCACTTGAGGTGAGGAGTTTGAGACCAGCCAGGCCAACATGGCAAAACCCTGTCTCTACTAAAAATACAAAATTAACCGGGTGTGGTGGTGTGTGCCTATAATCCCAGCTACTCACAAAGCTGAGGCAGAACAGCTGGAACCCAGGAGGCGGAGGCTGCAGTGAGCCGAGATCGCCCCACGGCTTTCCAGCTCTAGGCAGCAGAGCAAGACTCAAAAAAGCCCGAAATGAAACAAAACTACCCCTGTCCTATGCTGTCCCAGAAAAAGTCTGTCCTCTTAGCTAAAACTTTACGCATCTCCTAGATTCACAGCACAAATGTGTCAATGTCACACTGCAGGGCCGGAGCCCACACTGAAGGTGCGTGAGGACCTCCCACACACGACTTCCTCGCCAGAGCTGCCATCACATGGGGTTCCGAAACTGCTGTAGGATCAGTCTTCAGATCCCTGGCCTTCTCCAGCCAAAGCTCCACAGAGCGCCGCCTTTTCCCCTACCCCGCAGAAAACCTGGGCACTGCTGACCTGCGCAGGCCCCGTGGGCCCGTGGCTGAGACCAGCTCTCCCGACCCCAACCCAAGCAGCCTGTGCCGCCCTGGTGGAGGCCCCTGCTGTGGCACCAGCAGGTAACAACCACCGTGTTAAACTCAGCACTGCTGAAATCCCCGTTCACTGGTTTGCTTGGTTACTGCCCGACTCCCCTAAACGAAGGGCCCAGGGATGCCCGTGCAGGAGGATTTGTCAGGGACAGGTCTGTTCCCAAGGGTGCCAGAGCAGCAGAAACGAGAGCGCGGGGCAGGTCCCTGCCGGCCTGACACTCACCACACACACCACTGTGCTCATGGCCACCCCGTCAGTGCCTAGTCACGGGGCAGGTCCGTGAGAGCCTGACTCACTCACGTGTCACTGTGCTCATGGCCACCGTGTTCCTGCCTATCACAGGGCTGCTAGCCTGACTCACACACTCACCACACCACTCGCCTCACACACCACAGCACTCGCCTGACCCACACACTCACACCGCTCACCTGACACACTCACCACACCGCTCGCCTGACTCACACACTCACCACACCGCTCACCTGACACACTCACCACACCGCTCGCCTGACACACTCACCACACCGCTCGCCTGACTCACACACACCGCTCACCTGACACACTCACCACACCGCTCGCCTGACACACTCACCACACCGCTCGCCTGACTCACACACCACACCGCTCACCTGACACACTCACCACACCGCTCGCCTGACTCACTCACCACACCGCTCGCCTGACTCACATTCACACCGCTCACCTGACTCACACACTCACCACACCGCTCGCCTCACACACTTACCACACCACTCGTCTGACTCACTCTCACACCGCTCGCCTGACACACACCACTCACCTGACACACACTCACCACACCGCTCGCCTGACTTACCACACCACTCACCTGACACACACACACTCACCACACCGCTCGCCTGACTCACCACACCACTCACCTGACACACACACTCACCACACCGCTCGCCTGACTCACACACACCGCTCACCTGACACAGTCACCACACTGCTTGCCTGACTCACTCACCACACCACTTGCCTGACACCACACTGCTCGCCTGACACACTCACCACACCACTTGCCTGACTCACATTCACACCGCTCACCTCACACACACTGCTCGCCTGACACACACCACTCACCTGACTCACACACCGCTCGCCTGACTCACACACTCACACCGCTCGCCTGACACACACACCACACTGCTTGCCTGACTCACACACTCACACCGCTCACCTGACACACTCACACCACTCGCCTGACTCACACACTCACCACACTGCTCGCCTGACTCACACACCACACTGCTCGCCTGACACACTCACCACACCGCTCGCCTGACACACTCACCACACCGCTCGCCTGACTCACTCACACCGCTCGCCTGACACACACCACACTGCTCGCCTGACACACACACACACCGCTCACCTGACACACTCACCACACTGCTCGCCTGACTCACACACTCACACCACTCACCTGACACACACCACACCGCTCGCCTGACACACTCACCACACCGCTCACCTGACTCACACACACCACTCACCTGACACACCACACTGCTCACCTGACTCACCACACCACTTGCCTGACACACCACACTGCTCGCCTGACACACTCACCACACCACTTGCCTGACTCACACTCACACCACTCACCTCACACACTCACACTGCTCGCCTGACACACACCACTCGCCTGACTCACACACCGCTCACCTCACTCACACCGCTCGCCTGACTCACACACACCGCTCGCCTGACACACTGCTCGCCTGACTCACACACTCACACCGCTCACCTGACACACACCACTCGCCTGACTCACACACTCACACCACTCGCCTGACTCACACACCACACCGCTCGCCTGACACACACTCACCACACCGCTCGCCTGACACACTCACCACACCGCTCGCCTGACACACTCACACCGCTCGCCTGACACACACCACACTGCTCGCCTGACTCACACACACCGCTCACCTGACACACTCACCACACCGCTCGCCTGACTCACACACTCACACCGCTCGCCTGACACACATACCACACTGCTCGCCTGACTCACACACACCGCTCGCCTGACACACTCACACCGCTCGCCTGACTCACCACACCGCTCACCTGACACACACACACCGCTCGCCTGACACACTCACCACACCGCTCGCCTGACTCACACACACTGCTCACCTGACACACTCACCACACTGCTCGCCTGACTCACCACACCACTTGCCTGACACACCACACTGCTCGCCTGACACACTCACCACACCACTTGCCTGACACACCACACCGCTCACCTGACTCACACACTCACCACACCGCTCGCCTGACTCACACACTCACGGCTCACCTGACTCACACTGCTCGCCTGACTCACACACTCACCGCGCCGCTCACCTGACACACTCACCACACCGCTCGCCTGACTCACACACTCACCACACCACTCATGTGACTCACACTCACCACACGTCACTGTGCTCATGGCCACCATGTTCGTGCCTGTTATCACAATAGACGACTCAAGAACATGAGGTCACGTGGACCCTGACCTCCGATTGGGTACAGCCCCATGACCACAGCTGCCAGTCCACACTACATCCATGGTGCTTCCTCTGTCAGGTGGGGATCCAGGCCAAGAGGCCCGGCGCTGGAAGAGCCTGGGTAAGCTGAGGACTAGGATTTGTGCAGTGGGGGACCACAGCCAGTCACTAACGTCCCCCACATCGACTGGCCTGTGGCAAAAGAACAAGACTGAGTCCGTGGCCCCGGTTTCCACAGTTGGCTCAACCGGCCACGTACAAAACTAGTTTTTCATTTTAAGACGGGAGTCAATGTGCGCTAACCTACCTTGTGTGGGCCTAACCAAGTTGTTCTTAATTGAAGAAGCAGGACAAAGTCCATCTTAGCTTCTTCACTTAATGGTTGTTTCCTGCATTAAGTGTGTAGCTGCAGTGTGTAGCTGCGGCAGGATGACACCAGGCACACCCAGAAATGCATCTGCTGATAAGATACCGAGTCAAGCAGCGCCGGCAGCCCCTGGAGACGCAGATGTGAAGGACCCAGAGCCCTCATATCTATATGCTGTGTGTCTTTGTGACAGCGTAAGCCCCTGCACGTGGCACTGTTTCCCTCTGATAGACTAGTTTATCTGGTAACTTTTTGCTCGCTCCGCTTCCGTGAAAAACTGCTTCATCTAAGATCCTCCAGCCTTTTCCAAAGTAGGGTATAAAAACCACCTAACTCTTTCTTTGGGGCGAGAGAATTTTGAGCATTATAAAAGGACTCCTGATTCAACCTCAGAGTGTGGCATATTCCTGTACTCGCTTGGGTACAACAAATGTGTATGTTGGAATCCTCCATACTGGAACGAGCTTATTTTAAGCTATCTCAATTAATGAAGAACACGTAAGAAATCACTTATCAAGAGAAAAAAAAATAAAGGTACCTTCATGAGTTCTTCCAAACAAGAGAGGTAGATTTTGAAGATGGCCGCTGCAGAGGGCAGCCCGATGTACTGCTTGATGTCAGCCCTGTCCACGAAGGCCACGTCGATCTTCTCGGTGATGTTGGAGGTGGTCAGAATCACCACGTTGGAATGCCTATTTGGCCAAGAAGCAAGGACCACAGTCAGCATGGCTGTTGGTGACCTGATTCTATCCTGCCCACCGGGTGAGGGGGTGGGCAGGGCGATGGCCCGCAGGCCACTGACAGGAAGGAGAGGGGCCGTGCGCCAACGCAGGCCGAGCAGGCCCCACCTGGCCTTTGCCTGAGCTGCTCCTCCAGCCCCACGTGGCTCATTCCCTCACTGCCTTCAACCTTGGCCAAGGTCTCACTTTTGCAGCACGTCCCTGACTGTGCCACCTACTGTACGTCCTGGTGCCCACCACCACCTGGGCACGGCCGCTCATCATCTCTGGACACACTGTGGAGCTGGATCACTTACCGCATCCACGGTCTGCTCTCCCCTCTAGGTCTAAACTCCACAGAAAGAGCCCGTTGTCTGGTCTGTTGACGGATGTCCACCAAGGGCTCAGCACAAGCCAGCACAGAGCGGGCACACGGTTCCCTGGGGAGCTCGCTGTGCAGGCCTGGTGGGGCTTGGCTGCATGTGTGGCAGCAGAGCGGGCACACGGTGCCCTGGGGAGCTCGCTGTACCCGCCTGGTGGGGCCTGGCTGCATGTGCGGCAGCAGCACAGAGCGGGCACACGGTGGCCTGGGGAGCTCGCTGTACCCGCCTGGTGGGGCTTGGCTGCATGTGCGGCAGCAGCATAGAGCGGGCACACGGTGCCCTGGGGAGCTCGCTGTACCCACCTGGTGGGGCCTGGCTGAACATGAGGCAGCAGCACAGAGTGGGCACATGGTGCCCTGGGGAGCTCGCTGTACCCGCCTGGTGGGGCCTGGCTGCACATGAGGCAGCAGCACAGAGCAGGCACACGGTGCCCTGGGGAGCTCGCTGTACCTGCCTGGTTGCACATGAGGCAGCAGCAGAGCGGGCACACGGTGCCCTGGGGAGCTCGCTGTACCTGCCTGGTGGGGCCTGGCTGCACATGAGGCAGCAGCAGAGCGGGCACACGGTGCCCTGGGGAGCTCGCTGTACCGGCCTGGTGGGGCTTGGCTGCATGTGCGGCAGCGCCACCTCCTGGGCACGTGGTAGAGCAGGGTGCTCAGTGATGGGAGAGCCTGGGGAAGGCCAGCTTTATCTAGACCCTGGCCAAGTGAGGGCAGGCCCTGTGCCTGTGAGCAGGGGTGAGCAAGCAAAGCAAAGGCAGGGCAGGGAGCACGTGGGTCCCTGGCAGAAGGAACAAGGTACAGAGGTTGGCTGAGCTCACAGCTGCTCAGTCCAGCACCAGGAGAGTGGGGCTGCAGGAAGGGCCAGAGGGAGGCCTAGGCCTGGAGATCACCACCCAGGGGCTGACACTCCACAGACATGCAGGCATGGACAGGCTTGCTGGGGGACAGGTAGAGTCCTCTAGAGACAGGCCGGAACCAGGAACACGAGGGAATGAGGTCGAGAGGCAAGAGTGTCTCCTTGCTTCTTCCTGAGCCACATGCCCTTGTGACTGCTGGGAAGGAGGGGTCATGATGACCTCCATCCTCTGGCTGGAGCGGGGGTGCACAGTGAGGTCACTGGTGTCATGTGGAATCCCAGGAAGCAGTGTGGGAGTGTGCCTGGCGCCTCGGGCATCAAAGCCATGACGTCTGGTCACAGGTGAATGTGCAGGTCTGGGATCCCCCCCACAGAACACTCAGCAATGCTGGAGGAAAGGGGTACACGCCAGGAGCACGCACATGCCAGGAGAGAAAGCCACAGACAGGCCGTGCAGACCGCTCCCTGCGGAGAGATGCCAGCACAGCGTAAACTGAGAAGGCCAGGAGAGCGGAGGCCGGGAGAGTGGAGGCCGGGGAGGGAGGCACAGAGAGATTCAGGGAAGGGGCCATCGGGGCGTCAGCGCTGTGCCAAGTTCCAGGAAAAGTGAGCACTCATGTGAATGTGCGGCTGCGGGGCTGTGGCAGGGGTAGGAGCCAGATCACTGCAGACTGAAGCACAAGCCGGGAGAGAAGGAAGTGGATGCAAGGAGAAGGAAGCAAGAGGCGGGCGAGCCCCTCCAGGACCTGCACTCTCCTGCAGCTGACCCCAAACGAGCACTTCTCAGGAAGCCGGAGACGCTCCGTGTGGTGAGACAGTGGTGAAGGCCTCAACAAAACATTCCTCGGCACAGTTCAGTGTGTGGTCACCCCACACTCAACAATCCAGCCTCTGAGAATGCCCTGGACTCACCGGGCACCCTGAGGGCAGAAAGAGCACTTGAGAGAAGGAACCTGAGTCCTGGCTGAGCGCCACACAGGGACACACAGGCTCTGGCATGCCCATCACTTCCCCGTGAGCTGTGCCAGCGGCCGTCCCTCCCTGGGCTTGATCAAACGTGGGCTACGCCGATAAGAGGCCCTGGCCCTGCGAGGCTGCACCGCGGAGATGCGGACGTCCGCCCACGAAGCTCTGCCCTGGGCCGGCAGGCGAGCAGGGTAGCTGCGATCGCCTACTGGCGGCACTGGCTGGTGCTGACGCTAAGGCCGGATGCAGTTCTTCCTTTTATGCTTTTCTGTGCTACGTAAAATTCTTACCATGCCCGAGTTTTCTTTCACATTTTTAACAAACTAAAAACAATTTCTTTAAAAAGCATTTATGATCATCTGCCTCCAGGGTGGAAAAGGAGCCGATACTCAATGCCAAGTGCACTTTTAGGCAGAGAGCTGGGCACGAAGACCTACGGCTGGGCACTTTTCATGCGTTTCTTTGGAGCAAACTTCTCTATCACGTCACAGGGAAAATCGCTGTGTGTCCTGGTTACCTTTTAATCTGATCAATCTGGGTCAAGACGGCATTGACCACGCGGATGGCATCGGACGGCTCGGTGCCCGCCCTGCAAGCATTTCGGGCGGCTGTGAGACTCTCCACCTGTGGGATGGAGCAAGGGCGTCAAAAAGGACAGGGCCTGGCACCTGCGGAAAAGCGAATGAGTGGGTTTCCCACGCCTAGCCTGTGCATGCTGGGGAAAGGCATCCAGCACAGGGCGGGCTGCAGGGCGGCCCGACCGTGTGAGGCGAAGGCCAGGAGCCTCAGGAGCAGGCCGTGTCCCCACAACAGCAATCGGCGATTCTGTCATGAACTTCCTTGTCTGGAAATGCCTACCTCATCAATCAGCACAAACACCAGAGCGTCTTTATCATCAATCAAATCCTGAATCTTCTGAAACATCTTGGTTACCAGCTTCCCGCTCTGGAACCAAAACACCCTTTTAGCATCAATGTGCAGAGACCACAGCCAGGTGCACGGGGGACCCTGACATGGCCTGCTGCCCCAGCTGTCCCCACAAGCCCACTGTCTCTTGACGGCCCCTCGGAAAGCTCCCTAAGTCAGAGAAGCCAGGGTGGCATGGGCAGCATGGGAGGTCTGCCTACCACTCTCCCCTCTGCTTTGAGCCCTGAGCTCACACCTGACCTGCCTGGGCTGGCACAGCAAGGGCAGCCTGGACCTCTGCTCACCTGTCTGTCCTCTCTCATGAGGAAGGAGACAGATGACAGGTGCAAACAGGCTGGGGTGATTTCCTCACAACGAGCCAGGTCCCACCTCACTTCACCTCACCAGAGGGACATGCGGATGCCACAGCTCCTCTGAGGTAAGGGTCACCTGTGATGTCACTGTCTGACCCCTCAGCTCACCAAGGGTGTGCGTGGCAGGGCTGCAGTCCCTGAGAGTGGAGGCCTGACCTCCTGAGAGTCCGTTGAATACCCTGTCCCACCCAGTCAAGAGGGTTGGGGAGGACCAAGCAAGCGTCCCCAGGCCCCAGCTCTGGAACCTTCTCTGATCACAGTCAGCCCCCATCCTCACCCTCCTATCCCACCCAGTTCTCTGCTGAAGCTTCTGGAGGAGGATTTGCCTAACGTACAAGACATTGTTTTAGCTACACAGTTGATAATCTAGACACCTACAATTAATATACAATACTTACTTCTGAAAACCACTTAGAAAAGAGGCTGTGGCTGTTTATTTCAATTAACTGGCCATACTGGTACCTGAGATATAAAAAAGGAGTTGAGAAAATCACTCATCAGTCCTATGGCATCCTCCACGGCAGCCACTCGTGCGTTGAGAATGCAACATCTCGAGTGCCCAGTATCTGGGGAATTACAATCACTGACAAAGAACCGAGGAATCTAGCCTTCTGTGTACTGGATAATTATGAAACAGTCTAATAAGATTCAATCAATAGTTCTAGACTGTACCAACTAAGTTCCTTGAGTTAAAGAATAAAAACCCTCCCATTTTAAATCCACTTACAAATTATATTTCTATGTTTAAAAAGTATTACCAGTACTTACATAATATGCAAAACAAAACAAAATAGAAGCATCGAGAGCTTTCGGCAGGAGCTGAGCATTCTTCCCTCCTTCCACAGAACCCTGAAGAGCACAGACCTGAGAGCTCAGGAATGCTCAGGTGGCCTAAAGTTAACCTCAACACACAGACTGACCGGAACCCAGAACACTCCTCTATCCCTTCACAAGGCTGCAGACGGATGTGGATGCGCTCGGCTGCTGACTACATCACCAGAGAAGACGGAGGCCAGACAGACGCTGACTCCCAGGCCCTCTTTTCAGTTTCTTCCAGGTCAGAAGTCCACAAAAGAAAAAGAACTACTTTCAGAAAGCATCACTAGCATTCCACACAAAAAAGAGACCATTTACTGTTTATAAAACAGGGAGGAGACACAGAAAATCTAACAAAATAAAGACTGAGTTGAATATTAAGCAAAATTAATTATAAAACATTTTTCCAGATCTCTGTACTGGAAAAAGTTATATTCCTTAAAATCACATTTTCCTTCTCTTGGGTCTCCCTCTCTGCCCCCACAGATCTTTTTTGCTGTTCCTTTGTCATCCCATCACCCAGGCTGAATGCGCTCCTAACACCCAGGCTCACCACAGCCTGGACCACCTGGGTTAAGGTGATCCTCCCGCCTCAGCCTCACAAGCAGCTGGGACCACAGGCGTGTGCTACCAAGCCCAGCGAATTTTTTGTATTTTTTGTAGGAACAGGGTTTCTCCATGTTGAACAGGCTGGTCTCAAGCTCCTGGTTTCAAGTGATCCGCCTGCCTCAGCCTGCCAAAGTGCTGGGATTATAGGCATGAGCCACCATGCCAGGACGCCCCTGGAGATCCTGAAAACACACACGTATTTCAACATGTGAAAACAAAGGGCAAGCTACTAAACATAACCTAAGGGGTCAAAATAAACAACTTCCCTAGGTAAGAACATTTACAGGACATCTCTGAAGAATAAAATGTATGTATATGAAATTAAACCTCATAGGATCTCCTCCAGTCATACTGGAGAAACAGGAAGCAGATTTACCATCTAATCTTAAACAATGAGAAAACCTAGCAAAATGAATGACACCAAATGTGGCAGTGAGGGCTGGGACTCCCGGCTCTCTGCTGGGAGGGAGCCCAAGTGGAGCACAGCTACTTGCTGAGTCGGGGAGACAGGCACTGGAGTTCAGGGGGTCTGAGGTGACCGAAGGCTGCGGAACAGAATTCCACAGGGGAAGCAAAGACGAAGAAAGATCTCAGTGGGAGTGTCCGGGAATCCTCAGGATGCCCCTGGTGTCTTGGATGCATACTCACGTGTGTGTGAGCAGGGGACAGTCCGTGCAGCTGCGTAAAGGGTGCCCGTGGATCCGTGAGCTCACAGGGGCTGGGAGGAGTGCATGCTCCAACCACCAGGGTGCAGAGTGCTTACTGATCCTTCAGCGCGCGCAGCGGGGGCGCGAGGACCATAGTTTAGTATTAACACGGAACCAAAACCCCTCCTGACCACAGCTTAAAAAAACAAACGTCAAAGGATCAGACCTAATCACAGGTAACGGAAATGCCTAACAGAACAAAACCCAACACTCACTAAAGGAAGACAAAATCCAAACGCTTCATGATTTCTGTTCTTTTGCATTTGCTGAGGAGTGATTTGCTTCCAATTATGCGGTCAGTTTTAGAGTAGGTGTGATGTGGTGCTGAGAAGAATGTCTATTCTGTGGATTTGGGGTGGAGAGTTCTGCAAGTGTCTATTAGGTTTGCTTGTTCCAGGTCTGAGTTCAGGTCCTGGATATCCTTGCTGATTTTCTGTCTGGTTGATCTGTCTGATATTGACAATGGGGTGTTAAAGTCTCCCACTGTTATTGTGCGGGAGTCTAAGTCTCTTTGTAAGTCATTAAGAACTTGCCTTATGTCTCTGGGTGCTCCTGTATTGGGTGCACATATATTTAGGATCGTTAGCTCTTCCTGTTGCATTGATCCTTTTACCATTATGTAATGTTCTTCTTTGTCTCTTTTGATCTTTGTTGCTTTTAAGTCTATTTTATCAGAGATGAGAACTGCAACTCCTGTTTTTGCTCTCCATTTGCTTGGTAAATCTTTCTCCATTCCTTTATTTTGAGCCTTCGTGTATCCTTGCATGTGAGATGGGTTTCCTGGATACGGCACAACGATGGGTGTTGGTTTTTTATCCAATTTGCCAGTCTGTGTCTTTTGATTGGGGCATTTAGTTCATTTACATTTAGGGTTAATATTGTTATGCGTGAATTTGATACTGCCATTTTGATGCTAGCTGGCTGTCTTGCCGGTTAGTTGATGCAGATTCTTCATTGTGTTGATGCTCTTTACCAGGCGTCCCCAAACTTTTTACACAGGGGGCCAGTTCATTGTCCCTCAGACCGTTGGAAAGCCGCCACATACTGTGCTCCTCTCACTGACCACCAATGAAAGAGGTGCCCCTTCCTGAAGTGCGGCGGGGGGCCGGATAAGTGGCCTCAGGGGGCCGCATGCAGCCTGTGGGCCGTAATTTGGGGACGCCTGCTCTTTACCATTCGGTATGTTTTTGGAGTGGCTGGTACTGGTTGTTCCTTTCTATGTGTAGAGCCTCTTTCAGGAGCTCTTGTAAAGCAGGCCTGGTGGTGATGAAATCTCTGAGTATTTGTTTCTTCGCAAAGGATTTTATTTTTCCTTCACTTATGAAGCTTAGTTTGGCTGGATATGACATTCTGGGTTGAAAGCTCTTTTCTTTAAGGATGTTGAATATTGGCCCCCACTCTCTTCTGGCTTTTAGGGCTTCTGCTGAGAGACCTGCTGTGAGTCTGATAGGCTTCCCTTTGTGGGTAACTCGACCTTGCTCTCTGGCTGCCCTTAGCATTTTCTCCTTCATTTCAACCCTGGTGAATCTGACGGTTATGTGCCTTGGGGTTGCTCTTCTTGAGGAATATCTTTGTGGTGTTCTCTGTATTTCCTGGACTTGAATATTGGCCTGCCTTGCTAGGTTGGGAAAGTTTTCCTGGATAATATACTGAAGAGTATTTTCCAGCTTGGATTCATTCTCTCTGTCACATTCAGGTATACCCGTCAAACGTAGATTAGGTCTTTTCACATAGTCCCACATTTCTTGGAGACTTTGTTCATTCCTTTTTACCCTTTTTTCTCTAATCTTGCCTTCTCGTTTTAATGATTTCATTGAGTTGATCTTCGACCTCTGATATCCTTTCTTCTGCTCGGTCAATTCGACTGTTGAAACTTGTGCATGCTTTGCGAAGTTCTCATGTTGTGTTTTTCAGCTCCATCAATTCACTTATGTTCCTCTCTATGTTGTCCATTCTCGTTAGCATTTCATCAAATCTTTTTTCAAGGTTCTTAGTTTCTTTGCATTGGGTTAGAACGTGTTCTTTTGGCTCACAGAGGTTTCTTATTACCCACCTTCTGAAGCCTGATTCTGTCATTTCATCACCCTCATTCTCCATCCAGCCTTGTTCCCTTGCTGGTGAGTTGTGATCCCTTGCAGGAGAGGTGTTCTGGTTTCGGGTGTTTTCATCCTTTTTGTGCTGGTTTCTGTCCATCTTTGTTGGTTTATCCACCTGTTGTCTTTGTACTTTCCGACTTTCAGATTGGGTCTCTGAGTGGACGTTCTATTTGTGGATGATGAAGTTATTTCTGTTTCTTAGTTTTCCTTCTAACAGTCTGGCCCCTCTGCTGTAGGGCTGCTGAGGTCCACTCCAGGCCCTGCTTGCCTGGGGATCACCTGCAGCAGCTGCAGAACAGTAAGGGTTGCTACCAGTTTCTTCTTCTGCTATCTTTGTCCCAGAAGAATACCTGCCAAATGTCAGTCTGATCTCTCCTTTATGAGGTGACTCTTTGGATATACGGGGGTCAGGGAGCTGCTTGAGGAGACAGTCTGTCCTTTACTGGAGCTCAAGTGCTGAGCTGTGAGCTCCGTTGTTCGTTCAGAGCTGCTGGGCAGGTACGTGTAGGTCTGCTGCAGCTGAACTCAACCACTTTTTGTTCCCAGGTGCTCTGTCCCAGGGAGTTAGGGCTTTATGAGTTTCCGTTGTGCTGCTGCTTTTTTTATTCGGGGCTGCCCTGCCCAGCACGGAGGCAGCCTATTCACTGTCTGCCTGCCGAGGCTTTGCTGAGCTGCTGTGGGCTCGGCCCAGCTGCCGTGTGGTCTTCCCTGCAGTCCTGTTTATACGGGTGTAGTTAGAACTGCCTCAGCAATGGTGGCCCGCCTCTGTAATGGCCGACTCTCTCTGTAATGGCAGGTTGCCTTGGCAACGGCGGGCTGCCTCAGCAATGGCGGACTGCCTCTGCAGTGGTGGAGTGCCTCGGTCATGGCAGACGCCCCTCCCCCACGAGCTGGACCGTCCCGGGTTCAGCTGTGCTGGCTGTGAAACTCTCAATCCAGAGTTTCTGATTGCTGTTCTTTTGCGGGGGTGGGACCAGCTGAGCCTGATCACCTGGCTCCCTGCCTCAGAGCTTTTTTTTTTTTTTTTTGGTTGAACAGTCGACTCTCTCCCAGGTGTTCTAGTCACCTGTCAAAAAGGTGCCGGGATCTGTGTGATTTCTCATGAGGCAACTCACCGCACCAGCTTAAACAGCAGCGCTGAGATTCGTGGCACTTTTTTTGCCCAGGAATCTCCTGGCCTGCCTCCCTGCTCAGTCCCATTTTAATCAGATGAATGGGCGACTTCCTGGGGCTCCAATCACCAGCTAAAAGGGCACCCGGACCACTGTACTTTGTAAGGAGAACTGCCACACCGGGGCGCCGGCAAAGCAGCCATGCCGGGCAAAACAGCTGCACTGGCGACCCGTAGGGCTCCTCCACCTGGGAATCTCCTGGTCTGTGGGCAATAAAAATCCATCTGGAAATGCCGCGTCCACTCACCCTCTGAGCTTTCACTGGGAGCTGCAACCCTGAGCTGTTCCTAAATGGCCATCTTGGATATTCCCCCTCCATCCAAACACTTCAAATCACAATGTTCAGCATCTAATCAAACACTACTTAACACGCTAATGAAGCAAAACCATGTGACCCATAACCAGAAGAAAAACCAGTCAAAAGAAACAGAATCAGAAATGACAATCATGATGGAACTAGCAGACAGAACATTAAAACAGCTGTAAATTGTTCAAGATTTTAACAAGAACACAATGAAAGAAAAATATAAAAAGAACAAAATTGAACATTTGGAGCAAAAAAATACACTACCAGAAACAAAAACTTCACCGAATGCAATAAAAGCAGATTATCAATCAACTTGAAAATACAGCAATAGAAACTTTCGAACAAAACACAGGTATTTCCAAAAAGCTGAAAAAAAATAAAAAAAGAAAAAGCACATGAATGGCCTGTGGAACATCAAGCAGTTTAACATGAAAATAGATGGATTCTCAGATAAAGGGGAGGGGCAAGAAAATTCCGTGAGGAAACAATGACCAGATATTTTCCAAATGTGATGAAAACCATGAGCCCCAGACAGAACTCCAGAGGAAAAGACAAATCCATAATGAGAGACTTAACATTCTTCTCTTAGCAACGGATAAAACAAGTGAACAGAAAATCAGCAAAGCTACCAAGAAATCTGCAGAACACTCCATGCAGCAAGGGGCAGAAAGCACAGTCTTCTGAAGCAATTCACCAGCAGAGACCACATGCTGGCAATCAGATAAGTCTAAAATCTTAAGAGACTGAAATCATACTCAAAACTACGGTGAATACAGAAGACACAACTGACTTACACTGAAGGAGAAGAACCTAGTATTTGTGTAAAATGATTTAGAAAAATAAAAAGGAACTTCTGTTAAGATATCCTATTCCCACTCCTCCCCTCTCACAATTTAGTGTAAGTTACCTGCTTGAAAGTCTAATGGTCAACTTCTGGGCTAACGCTTTACACAGCGATGTTTTTCCAGTACCAGGAGGACCTGTGACAAAGATCCAAGCAAATATATTTGTAAGTCAGTGCTGCAACAAACTTCTTAAAACAGTAGTAAGTTGCATCATCCATAGAATACAAAGAATACTGTTAAAAGCTATTAACATTATTACTACAATGAAGTCTGCTTAGAAGCTTAAATGCTATAAAATATTACCAATACACTTACGTCTCCCCCTCTTCCTTTCTAATTTGTACTCAACTTCGTACTTCTGGTCCCAGCCTCCATCACCTCCCCACCCCGGCACTGCTCACAGCTTTGAGGCCCGCAGTCCCACTCAGCACTGGGAGTGACCACTGCATTTTCTAGCCTACGTCTTTGCTGACACCTGTCCTCGTCCCCACACTTTCTCTACGAAATCCACTCATCAAAGCACCTTTCAGAGGTCCAACACACCCTTCCTGATCAATGGAGTTGGAGGGGTCCCACCCTCCTCAGGCACTGTTGCCCCCCGAACCACCCTCTCCTACAGACAATTCTCAGTGGGCTCAGACCCCACACTAAACTTGAAGAGTGGCTGAGGCCAGGGCTCTTCCTGCATGTCTGCCTGCCGAGCGTCCCCCAGCACGATGCCTCACAGAAGCTGTGCGGTGACCAGTGTGGAAAAGGAAAGCACCTCACAGAAAATGCAGACACACAACTCTCATTTTCTGCAATCTCCGCCCCTCAGGTTCAAGCGATCCTCCTGCCTCAGCCTCCCGAGTAGCTGGGATTACAGGCGCATGCCACCACGCCTGGCTAATTTTTGTACTTAGAGTAGAGACAGGGTTTCACCGTGTTTGCCAGGCTGGTCTGGAATTCTTGACCTCAGGTGATCCACCTGCCTTGGCCTCCCAAGATTTTAGGATCACAGGCGTGAGCCATGGTGCCTGGCCCTGTGTACGCATTTTCAATAATTAAACAGGAAATACATAACTGGTTCCAAACGGAAACAACTGACTTCCCTAACGCAAGCATCTGGCTGCTCACTCTGACGGTGCCATGAGGACAGTGTGTTGGGGATACCTGCTCTTCAAAAGGACGTGATTAAGATCACGCCATCACGCAATCTTAACCGTGTAGAGCAGCTAAGTATTCTTCGAGCTTCTGTTTAATGCTTTGCTACAGTTCGGTTCTCTCGAGCCCACTCAGTTCCCGCATCACTGTTCTACCCGATGATATTGAAAACAAAACAAAACAATGAACCATCAAAATTTTTTCCTGAGAAGAACCAGACAGAATTTCTTTAAAATACGGCTTTTTCAGTTTACTCCACACAAAGTAAAACTCTGAGTACTACAAAGAAATACGAGGCACTGCTGTCCTAAACAGTTACAATCAGCTGGGGAAACAAGGCAGAATTACGGGAAAAGTTTAATAACACAAGTGCCCCCCGATCCAAGATTTTACTTTCCCAGGTTTCAGTTACCTGCAGTCACCCACAGTCCAAAAATATTAAATGGAAAATTCTAAAAATAATCAATTCACAAGTTTAAAATAACTTTAATGAGTTCTCATTACTCCCTTTTTCTACTAGTCATTACTGTGACTCTCTCACTGTGCCTGACTTAGAAATTAAGCTTTATCACAGGAACGTATGCACAGGAAAACAGTCTACGTAGGGTTCAGTACTATCCACGTTCTACGTTTGCGGCATCTAAGGAACGTCTTGGAACGCGGCCCCCACAGGATGACTTGAGGAAGTGCCAAGTAATAAATGCCCCAAAGGCCGGGCGCGGTGGCTCACGACTGTAATCCCAGCACTTTGGGAGGCTGAGGTGGGTGGATCACCTGGGGTCAGGAGTTCGAGACCAGCCTGATCAACATGGCAAAACCCCGTCTGTACTAAAAATGCAAAACTTAAGACGGGTGTGGTGGCACATGCCTGTAATCCCAGCTACTTGGGAGGCTGAGGCAGGAGAGTTGCTGGAACCCAGAAGGAATCCAGGAGGTGGAGGTTGCAGTGAGCCGAGATTGGGCCATTGCACTCCAGCCTGGGCAACAGAGCAAGACTCCAACTCAAAAAAAAAATACAAAATAAATGCCCCAAGTGTCAAGAGCTGGATCTGCTGCACAGAGAGGGACGTTCCAGGACAGCTCTGGCTCCTTCAGAAAACAAAGACCTGTAACTCATTGCAGAAGGACAAAGGAACAGTGAAGGCTGAATTTGTGTGCCTTATCTCGGCGAATAAAAGCCTGCGTGCTTTACCATGGAGCAGCACCACCCGGTTCCAGGCGATGAGGTTGCTGTTGACATTCTTGTCTGAGAACAGTAATGTCGTCATCACATAATCAAGCAGCTGACAGAAGAAAAAGAAAAAAACGACATAAGTGTACCCACAAGGCAGGGTTCCCAACAATGTGCCCCCAGGGCTTGATTGTACATGAGAAGAGGGAGCAAGGGAGCAAGGCCGCCTCCTAAGAGATCGTCACCTCCAAACGCTTCATTTCACAAGAGAAGGTGCCGCAAAAAGGTCAAAGGAAAAACATGGGCTGTTGCTATGAATATAAGAAGAGAAACAAAATGACCGCTTTTATTTAAAGTGCCAACATGGACCCTTCCCAACAAGGAGGATGCAGGGGTTGAGACACACGGGCCCTCCTCCGTGCGGACCAGGCCTGCTCACCTTCCCTGCTCCCATCTCTAGAAGGTCAGCTCTCTAATTCCCTTCCCCTTCTCCCTTGCCATCTTCTCCCGCAGGGCGCTCCCCAGAGGCCAGCTCTACTCGGGAGCAATCCTAGAGGACAGACGTCCAGGAAGAGAGCTGTCAGCAGACAAGGGCCCCCAAAACCCATCTGGATCAAGTTGCTTAGGGGTGCTGGAGAGCAAAACAGTAACGGTTCTTCTTCAAATAACAGGGCATTCTGGGAAAAGGCACAGCAACTTACATGGCATTTGACTTCCACATCGTACACCAAGCTGTCCCAAAGCCCGTGGAATTCAGCTATGACAGAATAAAACAAAGACCTGATTTCAGGAACGCAGGCAATGGCACCCACCATTCGGTCTGCCCTGAGCCTAAGCCTGAGCTTCCCACTGTGCCACACAAGCTAAGACTGCAATTGTGATTGCAGGAAAGTGTAAATTCTGCACATTTTTCTTCAAATTTTATTTTTTGTTAAAATCAAAGATTCAAAACAGACACCAGTCACGTATAACTTTTGGCAGACAATTGGATGGAGTCAAAGAATTACGCTTCATATCTCGTTATCATGCCCAATGGTCTTTTTTAAAAACTCTAGTTAACTTCCTATCCATCTTTTGCGATACTGTTGTCATATATTTTACATTTATGTGTATTATAATCCCCACATATAATGTTTTCATTAAACTATCCATTTTTATTGTGGCACACAGCACATCATAAGATTTATGATCATGACCACTGATAATTGTCTTTTGTGGACGCATGCTTCAACACAAGCTCAGACACTAAATCCACCCGTTTCGCCACACGATGACGGAATTCAGCCCTGGCCCCGGCCTGCTAGAGCCCATCAGCCACGCCCACAGAGATGCATAAAGAAGACAGAAGGGAGCCGCTCAGCAGGGCGGGCCAACGGGGCACATGAGGAGAGCACAGGGACACTGTCTGCTGGCCGTGACTCTGAGGAACCCACCCAAAGGAATGGTACAATCCCACACTGGAAATCTCTACTTTTCTCTGTTCTGATCTACTTTCCATTTCGTAAGAGATAAAACATTCTAAAATCCAACAGAACAAACGGACAAACAGAACGCCCTGGAACACAGACACGGCAGGGAGTGTGCAGTCCTCTGACCTCGGCCTATACTACACTGTGCCATCAGACCTCACATCTTTTTTTTTTTTTTTTTTTTTTAAATGAGATGGAGTTTCGCTCTTGTCGCCCAGGCTGGAGTGCAATGGCGCGATCTCGGCTCACTGCAACCTCCGCTTCCTGGGCTCAGGCAATTCTCCTGCCTCAGCCTCCTAAGTAGCTGGGATTACAGGCACGCGCCATCACGCCCAGCTAGTTTTTTTATTTTTAGTAGAGACGGGGTTTCACCATGTTGACCAGGATGGTCTCGATCTCTTGACCTCGTGATCCACCCGCCTCAGCCTCCCAAAGTGCTGGGATTACAGGCTTGAGCCACCGTGCCCGGCCATACCTCACATCTTACCATCACTCCCACTCCTCAGCATCACCTGCCCCGCTCCTCAGCATCACCCCCCACTCCTCAGCATCACCCCCCACTCCTCAGCATCACCCCCCACTCCTCAACATCACCCCCGCTCCTCAGCATCACATCCATATCTCAGCATCACCCCCGCGCCAGAGCATCACCCCCACTCCTCAGCATCACCCCCCACTCCTCAGCATCACCCCCCACTCCTCAACATCACCCCCGCTCCTCAGCATCACATCCATATCTCAGCATCACCCCCGCGCCAGAGCATCACCCCCACTCCTCAGCATCACCCCCGCTCCTCAGCATCACCCCCCACTCCTCAGCATCACCCCCGCTCCTCAGCATCACCCCCGCGCCTCAGCATCACCCCCCACTCCTCAGCATCACCCCCACTCCTCAGCATCACCCCCCACTCCTCAACATCACCCCCGCTCCAGAGCATCACCCCCACTCCTCAGCATCACCCCCCACTCCTCAGCATCACCCCCGCTCCTCAGCATCACCCCCCACTCCTCAGCATCACCCCCGCTCCTCAGCATCACCCCCGCTCCTCAGCATCACCCCCCACTCCTCAGCATCACCCCCACTCCTCAGCATCACCCCCGACTCCTCAGCATCACCCCCGCTCCTCAGCATCACCCCCGCACCTCAGCATCACCCCCCACTCCTCAGCATCACCCCCCACTCCTCAGCATCACCCCTGCTCCTCAGCATCACCCCCCATTCCTCAGCATCACCCCCCCGCCTCAGCATCACCCTTGCTCCTCAGCATCACCTTCACTCCTCAGTATCACCCCCCCGCCTCAGCATCACCCCCCACTCCTCAGCATCACCCCCCACTCCTCAACATCACCCCTGCTCAACATCACCCCCGCTCCTCAGCATCACATCCATATCTCAGCATCACCCCCCTCTCCTCAGCATCACCCCCGCTCCTCAGCATCACCCCCCACTCCTCAGCATTACCCCCGCTCCTCAGCATCACCCCCCACTCCTCAGCATCACCCCCCACTCCTCAACATCACCCCCGCTCAACATCACCCCCGCTCCTCAGCATCACATCCATATCTCAGCATCACCCCCGCGTCTCAGCATCACCCCCCACTCCTCAGCATTACCCCCGCTCCTCAGCATCACCCCCCACTCCTCAGCATCACCCCCCACTCCTCAACATCACCCCCGCTCAACATCACCCCCGCTCCTCAGCATCACATCCATATCTCAGCATCACCCCTGCGCCTCAGCATCACCCCCCGCTCCTCAGCATCACCCCCGCTCCTCAGCATCACCCCCGACTCCTCAGCATCACCCCCCCGCCTCAGCATCACCCCCACTCCTCAGCATCACCCCCCACTCCTCAGCATCACCCCCGCTCAACATCACCCCCGCTCCTCAGCATCACATCCATATCTCAGCATCACCCCCGCTCCTCAGCATCACCCCCCACTCCTCAGCATCACCCCCCGCCTCAGCATCACCCCCACTCCTCAGCATCACCCCCCACTCCTCAGCATCACCCCCGCTCAACATCACCCCCGCTCCTCAGCATCACATCCATATCTCAGCATCACCCCCGCGTCTCAGCATCACCCCCCACTCCTCAGCATCACCCCCCACTCCTCAGCATCACCCCCCCGCCTCAGCAACACCCCTGCTCCTCAGCATCACCCCCGCACCTCAGCATCACCCCCACTCCTCAGCATCACATCCATATCTCAGCATCACCCCTACTCCTCAGCATCACATCCGTATCTCAGCATCACCCCTACTCCTCAGCATCACCCCCGCGCCTCAGCATCACATCCATATCTCAGCATCACCCCCACTCCTCAGCATCACATCCATATCTCAGCATCACCCCTACTCCTCAGCATCACCCCCGCGCCTCAGCATCACCCCCGTGCCTCAGCATCACCCCCGCGCCTCAGCATCACATCCATATCTCAGCATCACCCCGATACCTGCAGGCAGAACCCAGTGATTTGCTGCAATTATGTTTTCTGTCTCTTCCTCCAGATTTTCACTGCTGGGGCCATCTTCATTCAGCTGGAAGATGTGAAGTGCAACCTTGCAGGCACTCAAATCAATAGGCTATAATGACAGAAAGCCACATTAATCTACACACATTTAAGATAGCTCACTCATTTCTACCCATACAAATTAGATGTTAAGGTCTACAAATAAAAACTGAATGTGTAGTGTAATAAAAAGTAGTTTAAGATTAGATGAGAAGGCTATGAATTTACTTCAGACTGGGGATTAGCTCTTTTAAAAGTGTATACCCATCCCTTGCCTGTTGGGCCCTACACCCACTTCCTGGATAAAGAAAGTGCCTAAATCCAACCTTTGGGATGTCATTGGAGTCTAGAAACATGATCTCAGTTGACTTTGACCAAAAGGGTTTTTTTTTTTCTTTAATTAAGCTATTTTTTGAGACAGGATCTTGCTCTGTCTCCCAGGCTAGAGTGCAGTGGCAAGACCACAGCTCACAGCAGGATTACATTCCTGGATTCAAGTGAGTGATCCTCCCACCTTCAGCCTCCTGAGTAGCTGGCACTAGGTGTGTGTACCCCCACATTGGCTAATTTTTAAAAACTCTTTTTAGAGACAGGGTCTTGCTATGTTCCCCAGGCCAGTCTCCAATTTCTGACCTCAAGTGATCCTTCCATCTGCCTCCCAGTGTTGGGACTGCAGGCATGAGCCACCTCACCCACCAGGTTCCTAACCTGTGCCTTTTAGTGTTTGGCATAACTCAAAGAAATGTTTATATCAGTAGATAGAAATCTATTTCATTCTTCTTCATTGGCTACATTGCACACGGTGCAGATGTGTGGAATTCTTACAGTTAGTAACTGATCTCTGGTGTAGAGTTAAAATACTTCAAATTGTTGGCTATTATTAGCAACATTTAACAAGCATCTGTTCAGAAAGACCCACGAAACTGCAGAATTATCAGCCAAGAAAAATTCCTACAAGTGAATCTGCAGCCAAAGAGGGGACATTACTACTTTCCCTGGGCACCCCCGGAGCCCTCCAGCTAGCTGTCCATCCGTCCATACCAGTGTGGGAAGCTCCTCCTTCCCTCAGACTGGCTGAACCCATGGAGCGTCAGCTCTCAGTGACCACGAACAAACACGCGCCCCAACATATGACTGAGGAGGTCCACCTCGCCAGCGGAATTTAGTGCCAAGCCTGTCCTGCACCTCTGTTCTCTACGGGGCAGGGACAGCACACTGAAGTGACACTTCTTCCTCAGGAATACATTGCAGGCCTTTTTATACTGGTGCCAGGACTGCCCCAGTGCATCCACGGCCTCACACAAAGCTCCTCTAACTCCCACACACCAACTCAGACAGTGGGGGACGAGGCCATGCGTGGGATGAGATGAAGACCTGCCCTCTGGAGCCCCCACACCCCCAATGCCACCTCCTCATCCCTGGAGCCCCCACACCCCCTGAAGCCCCCATACCCCCGATGCCACCTCCTCATCCCTGGAGCCCCCACACCCCCAATGCCACCTCCACATCCCTGGAGCCCCCACACCCCCGATGCCGCCTCCTCATCCCTGGAGCCCCCACACCCCCAATGCCACCTCCACATCCCTGGAGCCCCCACACCTCCGATGCTACCTCCTCATCCCTGGAGCCCCCACACCCGCGATGCCGCCTCCTCATCCCTGGAGCCCCCACACCCGCGATGCCGCCTCCTCATCCCTGGAGCCCCCACACCCCCGATGCCGCCTCATCCCTGGAGCCCCCAAACCCCCGATGCCGCCTCCTCATCCCTGGAGCCCCCACACCCCCGATGCCGCCTCCTCATCCCTGGAGCCCCCACACCCGCGATGCCGCCTCCTCATCCCTGGAGCCCCCACACCCGCGATGCCGCCTCCTCATCCCTGGAGCCCCCACACCCGCGATGCCGCCTCCTCATCCCTGGAGCCCCCACACCCCCGATGCCGCCTCATCCCTGGAGCCCCCACACCCCCGATGCCGCCTCCTCATCCCTGGAGCCCCCACACCCCCGATGCCGCCTCCTCATCCCTGGAGCCCCCACACCCCCGATGCCGCCTCCTCATCCCTGGAGCCCCCACACCCCCGATGCCGCCTCCTCATCCCTGGAGCCCCCACACCTCCGATGGCCCTAGCACACACTGAGCACTTCATAAACATTTGTTCTCTGAAGAATGAGACACAATACACAGGCCTCCCCAGCCCAGCCCACTGTCCTACAGTGCTGCATTCTCGTTCTTCGTTCCCAGTCTGTCCCCTGCTGTACTGAGAGCACCCTGATGTCAGGACCACTTCCTACTCCCAGCACTAGTCTAGTCACCCAGACTCACAGAGAAGTGAACCTGTTTCTGACAACATGCTATGAAAACAGCAAAAGACATTCATGACACAGCCTTTGTATTCAGCTGTTATGTGGCCCAGGAAATTAGCAACTTACCTGTGAGTCTTTAACCTTTAATTCTGTGTCAACGATAGACACAGACTGCACATTTCTGGTCAAAAAAGGTTCATCAAACTCAGTCCATGTGTAATCACCAAACACAATATTATGTCTGTTGAGTAGCTTTCTGACACTCAGCTTTATGTCTTCTTTTTTTGCAGTGCTAAAAACAAAACAAAACCAAAACACACATAAAAGATCTTACTTCAAAAACAAGACGTTAAAATTAAGTGTTTTTTAAGAACTTAGATGACACATAAAAAAGTGCGGTAGTTAAGAGGACAGGCTGGAGCTGGCCTGCCTGGGGGTCTAATTTAGGGCCACCCCTTGCCTGTGGGGCCTCTACCAGCTGTGCCCTGAGGAAGCTGTGCCTCAGCTCCCAGTTAGAAAAACCGAACAGTCAGAGTTCTTTCTGTGCACTGTGAAGAGTCATTAATATATTCAAAGTGTTTAGGATGATATCTGGCACATAGTAAGCACCCAATAAATGCTGGCTTTTGCTATTAATGAAATTCACAGCTGTGGAGTCAGGCCTGGAGTCCTGTGATTCGTGCTGAGAAAACCTAATGCTTTAAGCTTGGCATCCCGTGCTCCCTGCAGCCCACCTTGCCACTGTACTCCTGATAGCTCCCCTTTCCACAACAGTGACCTGGTCCTGGATCTCACCTTTGTGCCCCCCGTGCATGGTCCCAGCTTATTGGGCTCATGAGCTGCAGTCACTCTTTGGGTTCTACTCAATGTCTGCCTCCCCCGAGCCCTCCCGGACAGGCCCCTCAGAGCCAGGCAGGTGACACGTGGCCCCTCTGCATTCATCCCAGCACCCTACAAGGCAGTGACCACAGTGCACGCTGTGGTTGCACGCAGGTGTCCATGAACTCTGCTGCAGCTGTGTACAGGTATCCTCCAGGCGCAGCTGTGCTCTGCTGTGATTATGCCCACATGTGGCTGTCCCTGGCTGTCTCCAGGCTGCGGTGGCACTGTGTGCGGGTGTCTCTGGGCCCTAAGGAGTTCATGTAGGTGTCACAAGGCTGTGGGGGGCTTTGTGCAGGTGTCTCTGGGCCCTGGTAAAATTACACTGAGGTGTCTGAACTCCAGCACCTAGAAGATACCCAGTCAACAGCTGTTCTGTTAAAGGAAAGGTCACTTTCTCTGCATCCCCTCTGAGACTGGTAGTCTCACCTGACCTGGGTCCACCCTCCGCAGACACGAGGAGGGTCTGTGACGGTCCCAGCTGACCCGGGTCCACCCTCCGCAGACACGAGGAGGGTCTGTGACGGTCCCAGCTGACCCGGGTCCACCCTCCGCAGACGCGAGGAGGGTCTGTGACGGTCCCAGCTGACCCGGGTCCACCCTCCGCAGACACGAGGAGGGTCTGGGACGGTCCCACCTGACCCGGGTCCACCCTCCGCAGACGCGAGGAGGGTCTGTGACGGTCCCAGCTGACCCGGGTCCACCCTCCGCAGACACGAGGAGGGTCTGGGACGGTCCCACCTGACCCGGGTCCACCCTCCGCAGACACGAGGAGGGTCTGGGACGGTCCCAGCTGACCCGGGTCCACCCTCCGCAGACACGAGGAGGGTCTGGGACGGTCCCACCTGACCCGGGTCCACCCTCCGCAGACACGAGGAGGGTCTGGGACGGTCCCAGCTGACCCGGGTCCACCCTCCGCAGACACGAGGAGGGTCTGGGACGGTCCCACCTGACCCGGGTCCACCCTCCGCAGACACGAGGAGGGTCTGGGACGGTCCCAGCGGACCCGGGTCCACCCTCCGCAGACACGAGAAGGGTCTGTGACGGTCCCACCTGACCCGGGTCCACCCTCCGCAGACACGAGGAGGGTCTGGGACGGTCCCAGCTGACCCGGGTCCACCCTCCGCAGACACGAGGAGGGTCTGGGACGGTCCCACCTGACCCGGGTCCACCCTCCGCAGACACGAGGAGGGTCTGGGACGGTCCCAGCTGACCCGGGTCCACCCTCCGCAGACACGAGGAGGGTCTGTGATGGTCCCACCTGACCCGGGTCCACCCTTCGCAGACACGAGGAGGGTCTGTGACGGTCCCACCCGACCCGGGTCCACCCTCCGCAGACACGAGGAGGGTCTGGGACGGTCCCACCCGACCCGGGTCCACCCTCCGCAGACACGAGGAGGGTCTGTGACGGTCCCACCTGACCCGGGTCCACCCTCCGCAGACACGAGGAGGGTCTGTGACGGTCCCACCCGACCCGGGTCCACCCTCCGCAGACACGAGGAGGGTCTGGGACGGTCCCAGCTGACCCGGGTCCACCCTCCGCAGACACGAGGAGGGTCTGGGACGGTCCCAGCTGACCCGGGTCCACCCTCCGCAGACACGAGGAGGGTCTGGGACGGTCCCAGCTGACCCGGGTCCACCCTCCGCAGACACGAGGAGGGTCTGGGACGGTCCCAGCTGACCCGGGTCCACCCTCCGCAGACACGAGGAGGGTCTGGGACGGTCCCAGCCGACCCGGGTCCACCCTCCGCAGACACGAGGAGGGTCTGGGACGGTCCCAGCCGACCCGGGTCCACCCTCCGCAGACGCGAGGAGGGTCTGGGACGGTCCCAGCTGACCCGGGTCCACCCTCCGCAGACGCGAGGAGGGTCTGGGACGGTCCCAGCTGACCCGGGTCCACCCTCCGCAGACGCGAGGAGGGTCTGGGACGGTCCCAGCTGACCCGGGTCCACCCTCCGCAGACACGAGGAGGGTCTGGGACGGTCCCAGCTGACCCGGGTCCACCCTCCGCAGACACGAGGAGGGTCTGGGACGGTCCCAGCTGACCCGGGTCCACCCTCCGCAGACGCGAGGAGGGTCTGGGACGGTCCCACCTGCGGCTGAGCCCCCTCCACTCCAGGCAGCAGCGCAGCCTACAGGCCCCCGCCATACCATGAACTGGCCTGGTCACAAGTGAGTGGGATTTGCTTTGAACCCCACAACCTTAACATCCGTGAGGAACGGGACACAATTAAAGGGTCTGAAAAGCAGTGGCTCAAAAAGTAGCAGCCCCGCTTTCGGCTGAGCTCTCCGGAATGCTGCCATCCTGTCCTCCAACGGGGGACGCGGGGCCCGCTCAGCACCCTGCGGAACAGCCGGGCAGGGCCAGGGCCGGGCCAGTGGGCCGGGGTCCGATGGGGGCTCAGCTGCGAGCTGGGGTCGGCACCCCGGGGGGCCGGGAGGGGTGTGGCTGGGGTGGAGGCGCATCGGAATCAGCGCGCCGGGGGCGCGGCGGGCGGGCGGGCGCCCCGGTGTCGGGGCTCGGTGCGGCGCTGGGGTCGCCCGGAGGGTGGGAGCGGCCGGCCCGGCTCACCTGCCGCCGCGCTGATGCACCTCCACGTGGACCGTCGGCGACTCGGCCACACAGGGAAGCGCCTGCTTCAGGTCGCCCACGGCCTCGTCCATGGCGCCCCCGGGAGCAGTGGGGACCCGACCGGAGCGTCGCCGCCGCCGCCTCACGCCCTGCGTCGCCGCCACAGCCGCCGCCTCGGCCCGCCGGCCCCGCCCGAGCTTCGAATCTGCCGCGCGAGGCGAACCGCCTCCTGACCCGGAAGCGCTCGGGCCCGGCAGGGTCACTTCCTGCCGCGGCCCCGCCCCGCCCTGCTTCCGGCGCGGCCCGGAGGGTTCGGCGGGTTGGGCAGGCTCCGCGCGGCGAGCGCGGGCGGCCAGCCGGGACCGGGGGGCGGCGGCGGCGGCGGCGGCGGTCCGGCCGGGTCCCCACTGCTCCCGGCCCCCGCCCCGGGCCCGCCGCCGGCGTCGCCATGGGCAAGAAGCACAAGAAGCACAAGGCCGAGTGGCGCTCGTCCTACGAGGGTGAGCGGCGGCGCTTTGTGACGCGCGGCGGGCGGGCCCCGGGCTCGGGGCGGCGTTCCGGGCGCGCGGGAGGGGCCGGCCCCGGCCCCGGAGACGCTCGGGGAGAAGCTCGCGGCCCTTTCTCCCGCCCTTCCTCGGCCCGGCCCCCGCAGCAGCTCCGGGGGCGTCCGCGCGGCGCGGGGCCCGGGCAGGCGGGCCGGGGTGAGCCGCGGGGCTGGCGGTTTCTGGGAGGGAGATCGGGCCCGGGGTTCCGGGTTCCTCCCGATTCACGGACCTTCGCGGCCGGGTGAAGGGAGCAGCGTCCCACGGGGCCTGCCCCGTGAGGACACCGGCTGCGGAGGGAGCAACGGGAGGCCGCGGGGCGCGGGCCCTGCGGCTCTCCCCGGCGGCCGGCGGCCCGGCTGCGCTCCCCAGGGCGGCCTCTCCGCTGCGCGCCGCCCGCGCCGGAGCGCGCCGTGACGCCCGGTCTGCGTCTGCAGATTACGCCGACAAGCCCCTGGAGAAGCCCCTGAAGCTGGTCCTCAAGGTCGGAGGAAGCGAAGTGACTGAGCTCTCGGGGTCCGGCCACGACTCCAGCTACTACGATGACAGGTCCGACCACGAGCGAGAGAGGCACAGAGAGAAGAAGAAGAAGAAGAAGAAGAAGTCCGAGAAGGAGAAGCGTCTGGACGACGAGGAGCGGAGGAAACGGAAGGTAAAGGAGCCGCGGCGGCCCGCGCGGAGCGGGTCCCGGGACGCAGGCGGAGGGGCGGGTCGCGGGGAGCGGAGGCCGACGGGCTCGGGGCCGGGAAGCCGCCGCGTGCGTCCTCTGCAGGCCCTGCCCGGCTCCCCGTGAGCAGGGAGCCCAGGGTGGCGAGGGGCTTCCCCTTCGCTCTGTCCGTCCTGAGAACCGAGGGGGATGGGCGGAGGTGTCTGGATGCCCCTGCTCCCGCCGCTCACTCCCTCGGCTCTGCCTCCCAGGAGGAGAAGAAGCGGAAGCGAGAGCGGGAGCACTGCGACACGGAGGGAGAGGCTGACGACTTTGACCCCGGGAAGAAGGTGGAGGTGGAGCCGCCCCCAGATCGGCCCATCCGAGCCTGCCGGACACAGCCAGGCAAGGGTCGGCTCTTAGAGACTCTCCGGGTGTTCACTGATCCTCGTAAACTAGGGGTCGGCGCCGTGAAACAGGGGAGGGAGGCCGACTGGTATTTCCGGGGCCTCATTCCGGCTATCCTATCTGAGGTTTCTTTCCTCTGGCGGCTTTGAGTGTCTAGAGCAAGGCCTGGGTGGCGGCTACGGGTGCCCTTGAGGTTTGTTTTTTCACTTGTTAGCTGTGGGTGGTTTCTGTGTGTTTTAAGGGCTTGTAAAAAGAAACAAAAAGGCGTATCCACAGAGATCAGTCATATGGGACCAGCAAAGCCTAGACTATTTTTTTTCTGGCCTTTACGTAAAAAGTTTGCCAGCCCTGGGTCTAAACGTTTGGTTTTGTCCGCACTTAGCACCAAACAGAACAGTGTCAAAAGAGTTGCCCCACAGGGTCACAGTGGGAAGAGAGAGGCATGTCAGTGAAAGCGCAGGTAGTTCCCCTTGGTCGAAGGGACCCGGAGGCCAAAAGAGTGGGTCTGAAGCTCAAAGTGACCATAGGCTGAGGCGAAGGGAGTTGCAGACCTTCCGTAGAATTTCTGTCGTGGGCACCGGCTGCCAAGGATGGCATTTGGCTGGAATTTCCAGCCGATAAGGGCTTGCCCTCTGGGTTCTCCTTGTCCCCAACCTTAGTGTGCACCACTCACAGTAATGAGGCATTTGTACCTAAGACACACAGTGTCTCTTCCAGGTGACTCTCAGCGTCTAGCGGTTCCTGGATTGTGGGGAAAGTGGGACCTCAGGCAGTGGTAGGCTAGTCCTGCAGACGTTCAGGACATCAGAAACCATCTGAGCCCTGCTGACTCCACCAAAGGAAAGTTTTGGCATACTGCTGGTCTCTGAGTTTCTGTGGTCATTTTGCTCTTCAGGCATTTTCTTCTTTTAATTTATTCTTGAAACGAGGTCTCGTTTTGGCGCACAGGCTGGAGGGCAGTGTCATAATTCACTCCTGGGCTCGGATAACCCTGGGCTCAAGCGATCCTCCTACCTCCGCCTCCCACGTTGCTGAGACTGCAGGCACACGCCACCACGCCAGCCATTTAGTTATTTAGTTTTTGTGGAATGTTGAGCGGACCTCAAGTGAAATAATAATGGGCGAATACAGGATCGAGCTTTCCACCCAGAGCCTCTGTGCTATCCTTCATCCCCTGCCTAGAGTAGTGCCAGGAGCTGAAAACAGGGATCAGGCGTTTGTTGATGTAAGGGTTACCGGGTGTCACACGGGGTTTCCACCACTCTTGCTGCATGCGGGTGCCCTTTCCCGCCCGGCTGAGCGTCGTGGGAGCCAAGGCTGAGTCGGATGTGTCTTTGTATCCCCAGTTCTCGCTGGAACTTAAAATGCGGTGAGACACCAAGCAGACAGATACTGTGAACTTGGAGCTGTCTATTGAAGGGATACCAAAGTCTTTGTATTCAATTTTTTTTCCCTTAAATTGTCAGCCGAAAATGAGAGCACACCTATTCAGCAGCTCCTGGAGCACTTCCTCCGCCAGCTCCAGAGGTAAGCCTGGGTGTTTCTGAAGAGCTTGTGTTGGGGGGGTGTGGTGTGGTGCCGTCTTTATTTTCTGAGGTCTCATTCTGCACCCCAGCCCCATCAGCTGTGAAACAGACCCTGCACCTTCTCTTGGTAACTCCTGGTCCATGTTGGGGTGGACGGGAAGAGTTCATGGACTCTAGGAACGTTTTACTTTTAAGAAACAAAATTCGGTCAGCGGAATCAAATTTTTAGATTGTAAGTGATTTTTTATCATTTAGAAATCTAGATTTTTCCACAAAGATGTCTTTGCTTTCAGAAAAGATCCCCATGGATTTTTTGCTTTTCCTGTCACGGATGCAATTGCTCCTGGATATTCAATGATAATAAAACATCCCATGGATTTCGGCACCATGAAAGACAAAATTGTAGCTAACGAATACAAGTCAGTTACAGAATTTAAGGTAAGTTACTTTCATTGCCCAAAATAATCGTGACTTAGTTCTGTGTAATTGTGTCTAGTGAAAACTTTGTTCACCTCAGGTCATGTGTAGTTTTTGTGCATTCACCCGGGTTTCTGTTTGGGTGATGCTTTACAAACGTCTCGTAAGGAAATGATTGGTTGTGAGCATTCTCTCTTGTGCTCTGGTCTAGAATCGAGACCTTGTTGCAGCGCTGTTAGAAGCCTGTCTTTTCTTTCTCAGTTAGTGTGCTGGCGTGAACAGGGCATGTTGTCTTAAGCAGCGAGGTATCCTTTGTGGCATGGCTTGAGGCTAGACATTTTAAAAAACATACTTCTTAGATGGGCGCGGTGGCTCACGCCTGTAATCCCAGCACTTTGGGAGGCTGAGGCGGACAGATCACAAGGTCAAGAGATCGAGACCGTGGTGAAACCCCATCTCTACTAAAAACGAAAATTAACTGAACGTGGTGGCGTTTGCCTGTAGTCCCAGCTACTAGGGAGGCTGAGGCAGGAGAATTGCTTGAACCTGGGAGGCGGAGGTTTCAGTGAGCCGAGACTGAGCCATTGCACTCCAGCCTGGCGCCCAGCGATGGAGCAAGACTGTCTCAAAAAAAAAAGAAATACTTTTTAATTCTTACTTTTGTCTTATAATAATTGAGCTTTTAATTTTTTTAGCATAATAAGTTTTTTTTTGTCTCCTGAATACTTTGCTCTTAACTCTGTTTCTTTTTACTGGCTATGAAAATTAACATTGGTTTTGCAGCCTGTGGGAAGAAAACAAAATAGATGCCTGATAAAATCGACATTAATATAGTTGAGAAAGCCATTAAGTTTCTCTCTTAGGTTCCGTTAGCTTTGGAAAAGCCTGACTTTTCTGTTTTTGTGACACATTGACTGAAGGGTTTGCTGACTCTCAGAAACACAACAGAACAGACTGAAAGGAGAGTGGGAGAACAGGAACCTTAGGAGAGGATCGGGCAGTGCCCGAGGGCAGCTGTGGGGCGCTCCATGCCCTGAAGCCCCCTGTATTCCCAGCTGTGGCCACAGTCTCCTCATTCCTAGCAACAAAGTGAGCAGGGGAGCAGCGCCCACTCTGTGGAGTGTCCTGAGTGAGGGTCTTCAGGGGAGGGGCTCTATAGCCTCGGGCCGGGCCCTGGGGCTGCTGGCTCGGGCACCAGGACTTGGTGAGGTCCCAAGGGCACATTCCCGTCAGGGCGCTGGCCTCCAGGGTGACTCTCCAGCCTGATATTGGTATTCACCTTTGAGAGGCCTGTGCTGAGGAAACTGGTTATCATAATAAAATCCTGATGTTTCCGTATTTTTTGCATAAATTATGAAATAAGGGTCTTCTTTTGGGGGGCAAAGTCTTTTTCTAGTAGTTTGAGGGAGCTATTTGTAGACAAAATTTTAAATTGTATTCCATGGAAGAATTCTAGAGCCAGAGCATGTCATTGTGTCTCGCACCTGCCTTCATCCCTCAGCTTTTACTTAAAAGAATCAGATTGTTGCTTCTTGTTCCTGTGCGTGTTCTGGAGCGGTGCTGGAAGCACAGGCTGCGATGCTCCTTTCTCCTCGCACAGCGTTTGTGTGACGCGTAGAAAGAACTTACAGGCTCGGCCAGCTCTTCACTGTAAAATTTTTCCTGCAAGACCAATAAGCAGCTAAGAAAATCTAAGTTCTTAGACATTGTTTTTAGATCAGAGAGCCGAGTTTGCGTTCTGCGAAATTGTGGCTTTTTCCTTTTTGTCTCTTATGATAGTAATCTGGAACTTGGATGTTGTCTGTGTGGCATTTCAAACTCAGTAAGTCTTTCCTTTTTTCAGGCAGATTTCAAGCTGATGTGTGATAACGCGATGACGTACAATAGACCAGATACCGTGTACTACAAGCTGGCGAAGAAGATCCTTCACGCAGGCTTTAAGATGATGAGCAAAGTAAGAGACTCGCTGGCGGCAGCGAGCTACGGAGAGCGGGGTGCTGCTCACGAAGGCAGCCTCACAGTGAACACATGCTCATCCACTGCCGCCCTCATGGAGTTGCCCCCTTTGCTCTAGGGTAGACGTCCCCACCCGCCCTCTCCGGCCGCCCTTTCTGCTCATGACCTAGCTGTAACGTCTCACTTAGGGTTGGTGGAAAGTTTGCCTCTCTCGATCTTAAGCCTGGGTGTCCATCTTGCTGGATTGCAGCCAGCCTTGCGGGCTTGTTTTGCGTGGCTGCCTCAGGAATCCAGGCGGGACATCCTCATCTTCCTTGGCCATGCCGAGTGGCTTCCCCGATCTGTGCCGTGAGCCAGGCTGCATGCGTCCCACGTAGGTGAAGGTGAAGCTGAGGTCTAGCCCCTGCCGCGCTGTGGCGGTGGGTCAGGCCCGCGTCTGCTCCCGCCGCTCTGCCGTGGAGAGTTAGCTGTTAGGCCAGGTGAGGCTGTGGTCATCCCCATCCCATCCCATCGTCACGCGCCTGGCTGTGAGGGAGAGGTAAATCCCTGCTGCTCTGTCCTTTCTGGTTCCAGGAGCGGCTGTTAGCTTTGAAGCGCAGCATGTCGTTTATGCAGGACATGGATTTCTCTCAGCAGGCAGCTCTTCTGGGCGGCGAAGACACAGCTGTTGAGGAACCTGTTCCTGAGGTTGTACCTGTACGAGTAGAAACTGCCAAGAAATCCAAAAAGCCGAGTAGAGAAGTTCTCAGGTAAAGGCTCTTTGGAAGCTGCATTTGCCTGTTGGAGTTGAGCACCACCACCAGGAAAGCAGGTGCTTTGCGGGGGACAGTGAGTGAGGGGACGATGTCACCTAGACGGCTTTGGAGGAGCACGGTCAGACCGCCCCTCCCGCTCACCGGCCACGTGCACTCTCCGACCCGGGTGTGGCACCCCTTGCCCCTCTGGACACCCTGCCCTGCGTCTGCTGCTGATTGGTGGTTGCTGTCTCCACACGAGTGCTGTTTAAGCTCATCGGCCCCTCCCTCCCCTGTACTGCGCCTGCTGGCAGCCGAGGCTGTGCCCTCGTCCCAGGCTGTGCAGCACAGATGGGCCCACTTTGGGCAGCCAGTGTTGGCAGGGGCTTCTTTCCTGCCCCGGGGCGGGTACACACCCCTGAGCTGCGCGCGTCCATGTCTGTCTGTGTAGATGCTGGGGCGGCAGCTGCAGCCCCGGGGTCAGGAGGTGTGGATGCTGCAGCAGAAGCAGGTGAGGACTGCAGGCCGCAGCTTCCCAGAGCTCTGCTCCCTCCCTCCCACAGGGAGCAGCTGACTCGGGTGTGCCTTCAGGGAACCTTCCTCCTTTTTCTCTAAAGGCCAGAGTGGTTTTCCTGGGGCCTCTGTCTCATGACGGCTGAGCATTGAGATCTCATTAAAGTCTCTATCACTTGTCATTCCCGTGGACGCTCCTCCACATGCTTGAGGCGGCTTCCTGACAAAACCAAACAAAGCGGGAGTATCACCAGCTGGCTTTCAGGCACTGAGAACACCTACCATGGCTTCCAGCCGGCCAGAGGCACCTGGCACAGAGCCTGCTGCGTCACGAGATGTTGTGTGTGTTGTGTCACTTGTTGAGTGCAGGCCCCAGGGAGCGGGTCCCGGGACGTCACCCTCGGGGCTGTGTGTCTGGTCCCGGGACGTCACCCTTGGGGCTGTGTGTCTGGTCCCAGGACGTCACCCTCTGGGCTGTGTGTCTGGTCCCGGGACGTCACCCTCGTGGCTGTGTGTCTGACAGCACTGTGGCTTGTGGTGGTCCCAGCATCTTGAGAGGACTGTGGCCTGCTGCCAGCTTGGGGACGGATCACATTTGAGGGATGGTTTCTGCTGAACCATATTGCATGTACCGTCTTGTGGAAAGGCAGGGACCGTCTGGAGTTGGTGTTGAATGTCCTTGAAAAAATCGTGTTGATCACTGCCCTCTGTCGTCTCTTCCTTCCCAGAGTGTGTGTGGGACCCATGTGGATTGAACAGGTGGGGTGGCAGGGGTGCTGGGCTGGGTGCTGTCTGCTCTGGGTAGCTCCCGCCAGCAGTCGAAAGGGAGAGCGGTCTCGGGACCAGCCCCTCGGGTCCTGCAGCCTCGGCTGAGGAGACGGGGGTGCTCTGTGTGGCCAGAGCGTGTTGCCTGGGAAGGGCTCACAGTCCCCGAGGCGGTCTCCCCACGCGGCACGTTTCCCACCCACTGCCTCACGCACACTCACTGCGCGGTTGGCTGGTGGCGCGTCGGGCCTCAGCCGCGACGCGAGTGTGCTGCTGGCCTTCAGGGCTGAGGGTTTCATGGCTGCCCCTCTCCTTGTCGCCGAGCATCGAGAGTGAACTGGAGCTGGTGTCCGTCAGCATCTGCACTGTGGTGGGGCCGTGTCCTGGCAGACCACCCAGGTTGGGTGTGAGTGACCCTGGTGCTGCGGCTCCCCAGTTGCCTGTGGATCTGGGCCCTTGAGCTGGCTCCCCAGCCATCAGTCTGGTCCGCAGAGTGTGCTGAGCTCTGGCTCACCTCCACCTAGGGCCACGGCACCGTGTGTGGGGCGGGCTCACGCAGCTGCCTGAGTGGACCCTCCCTGCGAGCTCACGGGGTCCCCAGGGTGTCACTGTGGGTCAGGCGAGGGTGGGGCCGTGCTCACTGGCAGGGCTTGTCCCAGGCCTGCACCTGGCCCTAGGCCATTCAGACCCACGCCCAGGCAAGTGCCCAGGGTGGGAAGGAGCCCACCCGCCTGCTCCTAGAACCTTCCACACTCCGTGGGTGCTGCAGCCTATGCCCCTCAGCTGTTTGAGAACTGCTTCAGGTGGAACCCGGGGCCCATGGCTGAAGTCCTTGTGTGTTCTTTGGCCACAGCAGAGGGGCTGCTGTCCCCCCAGCCCTGCCCCACCAGCCCCGACTAGTTGCTGTGAGCCCATTGTAGCCACAGGGGAGCTTTGCCATCACGTTTCTGTTGGGGCCTTTAATGACTAACCTGTGGCTCATCTGTTACTTTGTTTCTCTTGTTGCTAAAGTGACTGGGTCTTAACTGTGTTCAATAGCAGGGAGCCTGGCTACTTGGCTTGGACTTGCTCTTTATTTTAATGAAAGCCTCTTGTTTTGTCATTTTGTTGAGGGTGGAAAGGAATGCTTTGAGACCTGAAAGGAGTTAAGTATGCTCTGCCCGCGCTGTGTCCGAGGGCAGGGTGGGTAAGGCCAGGTTCGGTGCTGGCGTGTGGGGAGCAGGTGTGCGGCAGGGACTCTCTGCCCATGCTGTGTCCAAGGGCAGGGTGGGTAGAGACCGGGTTAGGTGCTGGCCTATGGGGAGCAGGTGTGCGGTGGGGCGCTGCCTCCAGGTGACTCAGTTGTCCCCCCTCACAGCTGTATGTTTGAGCCGGAAGGGAACGCCTGCAGCCTGACAGACAGCACTGCAGAGGAGCACGTGCTGGCGCTGGTGGAGCATGCGGCTGACGAGGCTCGGGACAGGATCAACCGCTTCCTCCCAGGCGGCAAGGTAGTGCTCCGTGGCCCCTGCGCGAGGGTGCCACTCAGTCCCAGACACTCCGTGGCATCTCCTCGGGGACAGTGCCGTGTGATCTAGCACAGCCACAGGCGTCAGGAGGTCAGCGTGGGCCCTGACGGGGGATCCAGGTCAGACACACGGGAGGCTCGTGGTCCCTTCACTCGGGCCGGATGTCTCTGGCAGAGCTGCCGCAGGCGTGCATCTCACACAGTGGAGGCCGGGTGGTCACTGACCCCGTTTGGAGGCCCTGCTGCAGGGTGATCCCTTCCCTTGGAGTGAGTGTTGACTTCTGTGTCTCTGTAACTGCACCGCGTTTGTTATTCCAGCGGGGGCTGGCACTGGATCCGACAGATGGTCCACGATAGACCACCTGCTGTGTTCACGTGGCCGCCACAGATGGTCTGTGTGGTGGTGAGGCCCACTCAGCTGACTGCGCTCTCTTTTCTGGCAGGAGATGTTTTAGACCTAGTGCATGCAACAGAAACAGAGCACAGGCTATCTGCAGTCTCAGTCTTCCTAGTAGCCCTGGATGCAGGTGACATTAATCCTAGCAGGTTTTAGTTACTTCTGGAGCCAACATTTAATCTCAACATGTAGTCTGTAGAAAACGTTAATTTGAACTTGATGTTTTTTTTCACAGTTTTCAAAATGCACATAGGATGAGATGTAGAAAACACTGAAGTGGCATTTCAGATGCATCTGCTTCTGCTTGCCTCCACCTCCTGGAAAGTTGTGGTGGTCTCTGTGGCTTGTGTGTTGGGAAGCTGTGGTCTGCGTGACTTGTGTGTTGGGAAGCTGTGGTCTGCGTGACTTGCGTGTTGGGAAGCTGTGGTCTGCGTGACTTGCGTGTTGGGAAGCTGTGGTCTGCGTGGCTTGCGTGTTGGGAAGCTGTGGTCTGCGTGGCTTGTGTTGGAAGGGTGTGGTCCTTGTGGCCTGTGTGTTGGAGGGTGTGGTCTGCATGCCTTGTGTGCTAGGGGGATGTGGTCTATGTGGCTTGCATGCTGGGAAGTTGTAGTTTGTGTGCCTTGCATGTTGGGAGGGTGTGATCTCTGTGGTTTGTGTGTTGGGAAAATTGTGGTCCGCATGACTTGCATGTTGGGAAATTGTCTCTAGCTTGTATGTTGGGAAGTTGTGGCCTGTGTGGCTTGTATGCTGGGAAGTTGTGGCCTATGTGGCTTGTATGTTGGGGATATTGTGGTCTGTGTGACTTGTGTGTTGGGAAGTTGTGGTCTTTGGCTTGTGTGTTGGGAAGTTGTGGTCTGCATGGCTTGTGTGTTGGAAGAGTGTGGTCTGCGTGGCTTGCGTGTTGGAAGAGTGTGGTCTGTGTGGATTGTGTGTTGGGCAGGTATGGTCTGCGTGGCTTGCATGTTGGAAGAGTGTGGTCTGTGTGGATTGTGTGTTGGAAGAGTGTGGTCTGCGTGGCTTGCGTGTTGGAAGAGTGTGGTCTTTGTGGATTGTGTGTTGGGAGGGTATGGTCTGCGTGGCTTGCATGTTGGAAGAGTGGTCTGTGTGGATTGTGTGTTGGGAGGGCATGGTCTGCATGGCTTGCGTGTTGGGAAGGTATGGTCTGCATGGCTGTGTGTTGGGGCAGTTGTGGTCTGCGTGGCTTGCGTGTTGGAAGAGTGTGGTCTGTGTGGATTGTGTGTTGGGAGGGTATGGTCTGCGTGGCTTGCATGTTGGAAGAGTGTGGTCTGTGGATTGTTGGGGCAGTTGTGGTCTGCGTGGCTTGCATGTTGGAAGAGTGTGGTCTTTGTGGCTTGCGTGTTGGGAGGTTATGGTCTGCGTGGCTTGCGTGTTGGGAGGGTATGGTCTGCATGGCTGTGTGTTGGGGCAGTTGTGGGCTGCGTGGCTTGCGTGTTGGGAGGGTATGGTCTGCGTGGCTGTGTGTTGGGCAGTTGTGGGCTGCGTGGCTTGCACTGTAGTTCTGCTGGATAGCCTTGCTCTGCACACTGTGCTCCAGCCTTGGAATTGTCACGTTCTCCAAGGAACCCTGGTTTTTTTTATTAGAGAACCTTGTTTAGAAGCCAAGACCCAGGTGCTGGGTGCAGCCCTCTCAGCATGTAGACCTGGGAAATGCCGGTGTGTGTTCTACACATGCGTGGACACTGTGTGTAGAGGGGATCAGTTGGCACCCATGTTTACTGTGTTGAAAACTGTTTTTACGGTGAAACTTCCAGTTCCGTCTGCACTGTGGGTCCACCCCACTTCTTCCCTTTCAGTTTTGTACCTGCTCCGTGAAGACCGGACTCACTTGCCCTTAACCTGTGTGTCAAATCAGTGCCCACTGTACCTGATCTTCTGCCTTTACCCCAATGCTCTGGCCCTCCTGTCTGGGCTCTGATACTTCGCAGGGGTTGTGGGGCTGCCCCCACACAAACGTCCTGCTCCTCCCCGCGGGCTGGGTGGCTGCTCTGACCGCAGCGTGGATATCACCCCTGCACTGGAGCCCAGCCACGTCCACACAACAGCCCCCCTCCCCCTGACCCCCACAGTGCACACACTACTGCCTCCTCATCCTGGGTACTTCCGATGGTGGGTTTTTAAGTGGGAAGCAGTCCACACATGCGTGAGAGCTGGGGCTGCCCGCCGTCAGGGGGTGCCATGCTAACCTGCTGACCATTCCACTTTCTTCAGGCTCACAAGAAATTTTAAATGTTTGTTCTGGGTAGAGGTTTGTGTTTCAGCGGTGCCCCTTTCAGCAGGGCCACAGGGAGCCTGAGAGGTTCCCCTGACACCAGGGGGCACTCTGCTGTTGCCAGCGAGTCTTACATTCCTGGCGGTGCCATGCGGGGCCTCTGGCATTCGTTCTTGGACAAACTTGGTTTTACCCCCATGAAGCCCTGCTTGTTGGCCTTCATTTCGTTTGTGCCTCGCTGCCGCCTGGCGGGGACAGACACTCAGGCCATGCTTCCTTCCAGATGGGCTATCTGAAGAGGAACGGGGATGGCAGCCTGCTCTACAGCGTGGTCAACACGGCTGAACCGGACGCTGATGGTGGGTGCCCGCTCGCGGCTGGCTCTCTGCTCTCTGCACACTGCTTTTCGGGTCTCCATTCATGTTCTGTGATGAAAAGAGCGTGTTGTCTGCTTAGAGCCCGAACCGTTGGCTGGGGGAAGCATGAGAAGCTGCGCGGCTTCCTATCCCTGCATGCTCTGCTGTGACACGCGTGCCGAGCGGAGGCGGAGACGGCCGTCCCGCAGGCTGGGGTGCCAGGTGGACCTTCTCGTCAGGGCTCCCTGAGAGCAGCGGGACTCGGGCGCGTTCCTGAAAAGCTGCCGAGAAGCCCTTAAGGCTGAACCTCGCTGGCATCGGGAACAGTTCGCATCCCAAGTTCAGTCTTCAGCAAAGACCAGAGTGCGGACCCACCCTGCTCCTTGAAAGTCACCTTAGAAGAAAAGGCCTGTTTGGTGATCATTTCAAGGACGATGGTGAAGGCGGCCGGCACCCTAGGCCTGTCTGGCCTGTCGTGGGTGCCTTCACGGCCTGGGAGTCACTAAGAGGCTTGTCCTTGGAATAAAAGTGTGACTCACTCGGCTTTGAAGCACGCTCGCAGGCACACGGGACCCTGCCGTCTGGCAAGGGCTGCCTTTCCGTCTTCCACCTCCCTCGCTCCCACCGCATGCCTGCCAGCGGGTGAAGCCAACGTGGTCTTTCGGCGAGCTCCAGCGTGCCGGCCTGGTTTCCCCAGTGTGTGAAGAATGTAAACTAGCTGACCTATTTAATCCTCAGCTGGCTTTCCTTAAGGGGACACACTGCTGATCCATATTGAGTTTAAGAAAGAGTATAGAGACCAAGGTTCTGGTTGGGACCCGAGGAACTCCTGCCCTGACCCTGTGAGTGGCATGTGGATGCTGATTCAGCACAGGGGACGCCTGTCAGATTCATGCATTCTGGGTGCACGTGCCACGGCTTTGCTGTTAGGGCACGGAGGACAGGATTTCTTCTTGGAGGTGTTGAGTGATCCATTTGAGAACGTTCACAGTATTGCTGGTGTGGTGGCCAAAGATGTGATACTTTTTATTGTGTTGACTTTGCAGTGATAAGTGAAATTGCAGTGCAGTTAGTTTTGAGAATGATAGTTGATGTTGCAGATTGATTTTCAGGTGATCAGTATAAAATCCCCCACCCCCCACAGTCAGATCCACTGTGATATGGAGAAAGGGCTCCCGGCGCTGCATGGGGCGCGTGTGGGGTCATGCCTTCCGCTCACAGCGCTGCACTGGGGCTCCCGGCGCGGCACAGGCGCATGTGGGGTCATGCATGCTGCTGACAATGCTGCACTGGGGCTCCTAGCGCTGCACTGGGGTGCACGTGGGGTCATGCTGCTGCTCATGTCTGCTCTCTCCATTTGCAGAGGAGGAGACCCACCCAGTGGACTTGAGCTCACTGTCCAGTAAGCTGCTCCCAGGCTTCACCACGCTGGGCTTCAAAGACGAAAGAAGAAACAAAGGTGAATCCACAGTCCCGTCCCAGGAGCTGGCTGGCCCGGGAAGGCGGGAGGGATTTAGTGGAGGGAAGGCAAATGCTGCTGATTCCTACTTCAGGGTTTCCTTGTGTGCTTTTGTGCCTCTATCTGGATTCGTATTTTCACGTGGATGAGACTGAGATCAGTCCCAGTCACAGGAGTAAAGCTTGTGTTGGATGAGTTTGCTGTGAAACGCGCAGAGAGCACCTTGGTTGCTGTCACTGGACTTCACCTTGGTCGGTGTTTTGCCGTCCTTGTGATTGTGTTCCTGTCGCGTTGATAAAACATCCTTTTGGGGGTCTCTGTGGCCTCTGGTCCCTGGCTCTGGCCGGCCTGTGTCCCCCTGTCTGTCTTCACTGCTGCCTCCTGCTCGGCCCTGCCTCCGCTTCCCCACTGCTGCTGGGTCCCTCCCATGCAGACGTCTGCAGGGGCCCTGCTGCTGCCTCCGCCTCAGCCACTGTCACCGTCGCCTAATAGGACAGCAGACTCTTCCCTCCGAACCATGGCCTTTACTCAAGAGCATCCTTCGTTCTGGAATGTTCTTTCCTCCAGCTCCAGGGGTGGGAGTGCCGCCTGGTCGGGGTCTCCTGGTGAGGGACACCTTCCACAGGGAAGGATCCTCTTACCTTCATCAGCCCCGTGTCCCTCTTTCTGTGGGGCCTGTCATGGCTGTTGATAGTTTTCTTGTGTCTAACACACGCCTTGTTCTCACCCTCTAACACAGTTCTCAGCCACAACAGTTCTGTCCCTGAGGGCGTTTGGCAATGTCCGGATGTGATGATGGTCCCATTGGGTTGGGGGTGCTGCTGGCATCTGGTGAGGAGAGGCCAGGGGTGCTGCTCACCATGCCCTGTGGGACACCGCACGGCACACCTGGCCCGTGGTGTGGTTTCGTGGAGGTTGAGAAGCCCTGTGCTAGCACGGACTGTTGATTGACTCTTGTGTCCCCGCAGCGAGAGCTGGCCCTGGGTGGGCTTGGCCCCTGCAGCGTGCATGTTGTCGGGGTGCTGGGCGCTGCCGGACAGCACTCTGCCCGAGCCCCCACGGAGCTCTTCTTGGAGAGCTCACCCCTTTGCCAAAAGCTCATTCCTCTGCAGTCTCTGGCCTGCAGCAGTGAATGACACGCCTGCCAGTTGACACTCAGGAGCGAGAAATTTGTGGCGAGCAAGAGAGGTGGGACTGCGGCGCCGGCTGCCAGCCGGGCGGTCCCTCAGCCCCGGGAGACGTGGTGGGGCCTGCGCTCCAAGTCCTTCAGCGAGCGCAGTGATGCTCTCTCTTCTCTTCTTCCCAGTTACGTTTCTCTCCAGTGCCACCACCGCACTTTCAATGCAGAACAATTCAGTATTCGGCGACTTGCAGTCGGATGAGATGGAGCTGCTGTATGCAGCCTACGGAGATGAGACAGGCGTGCAGTGTGCGCTGAGGTCAGTGTTGGCCCCAGGGAGCCTTTACCTGCTGTGCAGTGTGAGCTGTGTCCTGGTGTGGGGCCCGGAGCCCGGGGCCCCGTGTGTGTGCCACCTGCAGCCGTCCAGATGGCAGATGGGTTTTCCTGCTGCTTTCAGTCTCCACCCTGGTCTGCCACAGGCCGGTCCTGAAATTTGGCTAACTCAGAGTTGCAGGAAGGCGGTGATCAGGCGAAGCTTGTGAAGGGGTGGGGGCGTGTTCGGCCCACTGCATCGTATTGAATTGTGTTTCTTAAGTGGCCGCACTAGCCCAGGCTGCCATGACAAAGCGTCACAGACTGGGGTCCTAGTCCTGGAGGTTGGTGTCTGCGGTGAAGCTGGGTGCAGAGCTGGTTCCTCCTGAGCCCTCGCTCCTGGGCCTGCAGGTGCCAACCCCTGTGCCTTCCCGGGCTCGTCCTATGTGTGTCTGTCCCCACCTCTCCTGGAGAACTGGCCGTTCTACAAGGACACTGGTCATATTGGATCAGGGCCACCCTAAATGACTTCGGGTCACTGCATAACTTCTAAAGGCCCTAGCTCCAAGTGCAGTCACATTCAGAGGCACTGGGGTCAGGATTTCAGCTTAGGAACTTTGAGCCGGAGACATAGTTCAGGCCATGGAACACTAAAGTATAATCCTGAAATCACAAATGTGGTGGTCTGCCTTTCCATAGAACTTTGTTGTGTATGTTTCTTGGTTTCTGTGGCAAAATAAAAGTGGGTCACTCCTGTAAAATTTTAGCTTTTGGGAAAAGTAACTTAATTTTGCTAGCCTCTAAGAAATGGAATCTTGAGATGTCATGTCTTCATTTTATTCCAACAAGAATGAAGAATATATTTGAAAAATAAACAAGAATCCAGTTAGTGCTTAATAAAATGAGTGAATACCTGACCCCAATTTTTGTAGTAAAAAAGGAAATAAATGTGGAAAATGAAGAGGACATTTTGGTAGGAGATGATGGCGTCATAACTCAGAAGTTAAAGAGTTGGTCGCCCCCCACGCCAGCCCCCACCTCACCCCTGCTGTGGGGCCTCTGGCCAGCATGGGCCAAGGCCGCAGCTACCCTGGCACCACCTGTCCACAATTCGTGGCTCCTCCAGGACATCAGTCACCCATTGTCAATGTGGCTGTCATCAGCGGACTCTGCATCCCCTGCCTCCCCAGCCTCCCCCAACTGTCAGCTCCTGGAATGCGTAAGGTTCCATGTTGCCATGAAGCAAAGATCATACCCCTGCCTACCTCACAGCTGCAGGGGCAACACTAAGAAGCACGTCTTCTAGGGCCTGGTGTGGGTCTGTGTGGTAGCACATCCCTAGGGCCTGGCGTGGGCCGTGTGGTAGCACATCCCTAGGGCCTGGCGTGGGCCGTGTGGTAGCACATCCCTAGGGCGTGGCGTGGGCCGTGTGATAGCACATCCGCTGGGGCCTGGCGTGGGCCGTGCGGTAGCACATCCCTAGGGCCTGGCGTGGGCCGTGCGGTAGCACATTATATGTTCCCTAGGGCCTGGCGTGGGCCCGCATAGTAGCACATTGTATATCCCCTGGGGCCTGGTGTGGGCTGTGTAGTAGCACATCTCCTGGGGCCTGGCGTGGGCCGTGTGTTAGCACATCCCTAGGGCCTGGCGTGGGCCAACGTGGTAGCCATCCCCTGGGGCCTTGCGTGGGTCATGTGGTAGCATATCCCCTGGGGCCTGGCATGGGCCCGCATGGTAGCACATCCCCTGGGGCCTGGCGTGGGCCCGCGTGGTAGCACATCCCCTGGGGCCTGGCATGGGCCCACATGGTAGCACATCCCCTGGGGCCTGGCATGGGCCCGCATGGTAGCACATCCCCTGGGGCCTGGCGTGGGCCCGCGTGGTAGCACATCTCCTGGGGCCTGGCGTGGGCCCGCGTGGTAGCACATCTCCTGGGGCCTGGCGTGGGCCCGCGTGGGCCCACACCAGCCTCGGTGCACAGGCACCCAGATCCTCTGCCCCTGAGTTCCTTCCTGTGCACGGTGTAATTGCAGAACTTGGTCTGTCCCGGGCTGTGCATTTTAACACAGATGTGGAGTCTCCTTAGTGCCTCCTGGGGCTGTGGTCAAGCTTCTGACCAGCAGCCGACCTGTTCCTTTCTGCAAAGGTCTTTGGAGTCTGAAGAGCCTTTCTGAGGCCCTTGCTTGGTGCTTTGCTTCTAAGACTATGCATTTTTGTTCCTGGCCTATTTTTTACATTGTATTATATTTTAGTTTTTAAGTGTTTCATTTATATAGCCAAGAATCAGGGTGATACTTAAAGGAGTACCCTGGAAGTCTTGCCCCACCCACCGCTTCGTCTCCAGCAGGCGCTGCCCACCAGTGTGGTTCCATCCACACCCACTTCTGTTTTTAAACGCACAGAGATCGGGCTGTCTTGTTACAGATATGGCACTGCACAGCTTGTGTGTTCCTAGGCTGGGCGCGTGCGCATTCATACTGTGCTCCCCTCTCACCCAGAGATCCTTTCAACCTTTTTGGGTCATGGACCACTTTGAAAATCTCATGAATGCTGTCAGTTACTCCCCTAGAAATACCCACTCTGGGAGCATCATGGGACCGTCTGAGGAGCTGCGCTGGCACAGCAGGCTTCTGTGATTGATCAGGGCCACCGCAGGGAGGGTCATAGGAGACCGTCTGAGGAGCTGGGCTGGCACGGCCAGTGGTGATCAGAGCCGCTGGGAGGACCAGGCAACACGGGCTTGGCATGGAGCACACAGCATGCCTTTCAGTACGCCTTCTTCCGCGGCCCCTCTAGCCTGCAGGAGTTTGTGAAGGATGCTGGGAGCTACAGCAAGAAAGTGGTGGACGACCTCCTAGACCAGATCACAGGTGGAGACCACTCCAGGACGCTCTTCCAGCTGAAGCAGGTGGGCCGCGCTTGCGCCGGATGGGTGGGTGCCCTTGGTGTGGTCCTGATGGGAAGAGCCTGCAGCCTGACCAGGCTCTCGGGGACGAGAAGCTGTCACAGGGACTCTGCCGCCGGCCCCTTGTCGGCATCTGTGTGCTGCTCCGCACAGCCGCGTCCTTCAGAGACCGTCCCTGTGCTCCCCATCCCGCGCGCTTCGTCGCTATTCCCAGACGCCTTTCGTCTGCTAGCACTTTCCTTCATCCCGGAGAATTTTAAAGATGGTTCCTGTAGGACAGATTTACTGACGGTGAGCTGTCAGCATTTGTCTGTCTAAAAGCCTTTATTTCACCTTGGCTTTTGAAATTCACTTTCCCTGGATATGGAATTTTAGATGACCTTTTTTCCTCTACTGTAAAATAAGTTTGACTTGCATCGTTTCTATAAAACAGCGTCTGAAGTCATCTTCATCTTTGTTTTCCACGTGTGACGTGTCTTTTTGGCAAACTGCAGCCCATAGGCCGCATCTGCCCTGCAGTCTGCTTTCGTACAGACCGCGAGCCAAGAATGCGTTTGACATCTTTAAAAGGTTGTTTAAAGGAAAGGAAGAGGAGGAAGCTGTCGGCCGTGTGCGGCTCGCAGAGCCTTGGGCGCTCACTCCCGGCCCTTGGCAGGACGCGCTGCTGGCTGTGCTCCGGCAGCTTTTCAACTTTATTTATCAGTGATTTTCAGCATCGTATTTTTCAGGTGCCTTGGTGGGCTTTTCTTTGTGCCTGTGGTGCTTAGCATTTGTTGTTTCTTGGATGTTTGTCTGTAGTTTCCATCACATTTGGAAGAGTTTAAGCCGTTACTCAAATGCCATTTTCCACCCTCACCTCTCCGCCTTCCTGCTGGACTGTGGCGGCTGAAGACGCTCGTGTTATCTCACGTGGCTCTGACGCTTTGTGCCGCTGCACACGGCAGGCGCGGGTTAGTTTAGTTTCCGATGCTGTGGCCTTCAGTCCACTGACCTGTGCCCTGGGGGCGCACCTGCACCTTTGTCCCCATTCAGTTTTCACTGGTGACGCCGCCCCGGGCTCGTCGCTGGCGCTCCGTTCGCTTCTGTCCATCCTCTCTTCGCTCATGTTAGTTTGCATTTTCCCGTAAATCCTCGTGCCATGTTTGTCGTACTTACTGCAGCTGCTTCAGAGTCCTCGGGCACTGACTGTCGCCTCTGCTGTTTCCTGCTTTGTTTCTGTTTGCCGCCTCACTGCACTTGGAGCCTGGGGTGTTGTGCATGCGCCTGGAGGAACGTGAAGAGTAGTTTTAGTGTGGCAGCTAGGTTTGAAGAGCTGGGTACACTGGCATGCACCTGTCATCCCAGCTCCTCGGAGCCTGAGGTGGGAAGATCACACGAGGCTGGGAGTTCGAGGCTGCAGTGAGCTGCGGCTGCCCCCTGCACTCCAGCCTAGGCAATAGTGCAAGGCCCTGTCTCAAAAAAAAAAAAAACAACAAAGAAAACATTTAGAATGAGGTGTGTACTCACTTCATGTCTGCTGGGCAAGGCTGATCAGGGTTCTGCTCTCTTTCAGAGAGTACTGACCATCATTTTGGCCCTTGTTACCTGTGGATCACCTTACCTTACCGGGCTTGTCTGGGGCGGGTCCGGGGCAGCCTTGTTCTAGGGTTGGCGTGGCCTTGCTAAGGAGTGTCCCTCCTGGGAGCTCTTGGCCCCGACTCTCCCCCGCAGTCTCTGCTATGGGTGGAGTTCAGATGAGTCCGTCCTGCCCAAGCTCTGAGGACGTTTGGCTCACGGCTCCCAGGGGTAGTCCATCTGTTGACTTCACGGTTTCATCTGTGCTTGTGACAGAGGAACTGGGTCCAGTTGCCTGGTGTAGTAAACCCAGGCCCCCACGCTGAGGTTTGTCATGGTAGAAAAGAAGACTTGTATTTGCAGAGTGCCAAGCAAGGAGGGCCGGGAAGCTCATGTGTCAATGCTGGCCTTCCCCACTGGCTACAGGCAAGGTTGTTAAAGCAAGGGTAGAGCTCCAGAAGCAGAAACAAAGGCAGAATTGTGCGTCAGTACACGGAGGTTACGGGTTGGTTTGGCCTATAAGGTGACATATCTCCAGGCAGGGCCTTACGGGTTATAGGTGGACTCAAAGGTTTTCTGATTTGCAGTCGGTTAAGGAGGAGAAGCTTCGTCTAAAAATTTGGGGTGACAAGGAAAGAACGTTAGCTTAGGCTTGTGGGTGTGGCTCCCTCCAGGCCCCTCAGGAAGAAACTCAGAACAGAGAATGGAGTCAGGGTTCAGTCTTCTGCTTCTCCTTCTCTGAGGCCTGCATGCCAGCAGGTTGTTTTGGTGAGGGTCCTAGGTAGAGGGTCCAGGTTCCTGAAAGACAACTCAGGAATACGCATTCAAATGTTGTCTTTACTTACTTTATTTTATTTTATTTTTTGAGGCAGAATCTCACTTCGTCATCCAGGCTGGAGTGCAGTGGCGCACTCTTGGCTCAATGCAACCTCCGCCTCCTATGTTGAAGCGATTTTCCTGCCTCAGCTTCCCGAGTAGCTGGGACTACAGGCCTGCGCCACCTCACCCAGCTAATTTTTGTATTTTTAATAGAGAGGAGGTCTCATCATTTTGGCCAGGTTGGTCTTGAACCCCTGACCTCAAATGATCTGCCCGTCTTGGCCTCCCAGAGTGCTGGGATGTTGTCTTTACTTTCAGTCCCTAGAAACGTCTGACTCCAGCTTCCTTGGCTGTTGTTTTAGGATACTGTTACCTTCTTGCTTACCAAGTCGCTGATTTACTTCTTCGGGTTAGCTAGGTACCTGGAATGTCCCTTGAAGGAACTCAAGATTTTCCTTGATTTCCATGCTTGGGGGACCCGCAGGCCCCTGGAGAGAGGGTCCCTACACTGCCTCACTTGCACAGATGAGGTTGCAGCCCGGTGGGAGGCCCCACGCAGATTTCTGCAGCTCTGAGGAGCAGCCCCCTCTGCAGAACCTGCCCCACCAGCCTGTGGTTCTAACTCTGAGCTCTGTCACCCTCCCGTGTCATGGCCTGTGGGTTCCCTCCAGGCAGGAAGCTGGCTCCTCCACATGGTGTTAGAAGCAGCATTGCTGTGTGGGAGGGAAAGTGACCCTCTTCACAGCCCGGAAGTGGGGTGGCTCTGTGGGTTTCCTCTTTGGGTTCCGGTTGGGTTCCCTCCAGAAGAGTGAACTTGGATACAGAGTTGAGTGACCCCAGGTGCGCCCCTGCGACTCTAATATGGACAGAAGGCTTGTGTGTGGGAACATGTGAACGTAATGGCAGTATTCCTTTTCTAATTCAAAACTTGTGAAAATCAGTGAATCTGAGAAACATGATTTTGAGCAAAGATGACAGATGATAAGAGTGCGTACAAATGACCACTTTTGAGTCACATACGCAAAACTCGGCGTTTCTAAGGCAGTGCTCCACTGGAGCATAGGACGGGGGTGCCCTGGAGGCTGACGTGTGGCAGGGAGCGGATGCGTGCGGCCCACCTGCCTCAGGTGTTGCCGGGAGGCACCTGCCTCAGTGCTCCTGCGCTCACCTGCCCCTGCGGGACTCCAGCTGGTCTCACGCACCTGGTCATATTCCAGAGGGAACCCACCAGCTTTTACCCTCAGCTGCCCATAGAATCTAAGCACATCGGTTTTCTTCTGTTTGAAACCACCCAAGGCTGCCGAAGCTGCATCCGCATCCTCTGTCTCTGTCTCTGTCCTCGCCATCTCGCCCTGTGGAGTGTTCCCCTGTCACACATGCTGGCGTGAGGACGGGGCTGGCTGCTGGCGGGTCAGCTGCTGGTGATGAAGGCGGCTTGCGGGACCCCTAGCCTGAATCTGTTAAGATGCTGTGACTGAGGAACAGAATTCGCAGAAGTGTACAAGCCATTTTTTTATGTGTGTAATGTCAGTGAATTTTCCTTTTATATAAAATTGCTCTGGAAAAACTAGTTTCTGTCCTAATTTATTTTGCAGAGAAGAAATGTTCCCATGAAACCTCCAGATGAAGCCAAGGTGAGTTTTGAACTTGGAAGTGCAAGCCTAAGGTTAGGATTCTTGTTGGGAAGGTCGTGTCCGGCCTTCGAGGTGGAAGAGACTGTGCATTACAGTTGGGAAACAGGGTCTGTTTCTGGCTGATGAGATTAACTAGTAGTGTTTCTCCTGTGCTGCCTTTTCATGACTTGGGGTGAGTGGTGTGAAGCCGCAGGACCTTCTTCCAAATCCAGAAGTGGTAGTTTCAGAGCAGTTGGCCCCGGGTGCTGTCCTTGCGGGACATCCTAGCAGGGGGTGGGCAGGAGGGGCCTGCTTGGGACCCGCTTGCTGAGTAGCAGGTGCTGTTCCCAGCATAGTGGGCTGCGGGGCCGGTGTTGGTAGGGCAGTGCTGTGAGCTCAGGCCGCTGCACCTGCCGATTGGCAAGCATGTGTCCATCCATCGGCAGGATGGGCAGGATGGGCTTTGGTCTACGGTCCCTAGGAACTTGGAGAGACCCCTTAACGTCTGCATGAGGGCAGAGGCCGGGCTGCAGGGAGCTGATGAGAGTGCGCCTTAGGGTGCTGTAGCCAGGCCTTCAGGACACGCTTCTGGGAGAGGAAAGGGAGAGTGGTGTGCTCTGTCGGGTCCCTGAAAAACAGTCGTGGACCCTTAAATCTCATATCTTCTTGCTTCGTAATGTCCCTCCCCGATTTCTTTAGCCCCGAGACATTAGCAGAGGATTATCGTTTGCGTTGTTGGTGAGTGGAGTTTTTGGTTAGTAGAGGGTTATTGTTTGCATTGTTGGTCTGCGTGGAGTTTTCGGTCAGCAGAGGATCATCGTTTGCATCGTCGGTGCGAGTAAGATTTGCTTTGACGGAGATTTGCACATCAATTCATGAGGTCAAACCTGATAGTTCCTTGCCCCGCAGCCTCAGTGAACAGGGCTAGGTCTTGTCACTTCCTGAGGGGTGGACCCATATTTACAAATAAGTGGAGTGATTTCAAAGTGAGGATTAAGTAGCATTTCATTTTTTGTTTGATGCTTCATTTGAGCTTGATATGTATGTGTCTGTCTTCCACAGGTTGGGGATGCCCTCGGAGACAGTGGTGGCTCTGTTCTGGATTTCATGTCGATGAAGCCGTATCCCGACGTGTCTCTGGACATCTCCATGCTCAGCTCTCTGGGTGAGTGGTAACAGGTGATAGCGCTTTCCCACAGGGCCCGGAGATGGGGTGATGTAAGAAGAAAATACTTGGTCTCCACCTCCTCTCCCTTCCAGACTAGACAGGGATGCAGGAAACTCTTTTGTTAGTATTTGGTCTTTGTCCCTGGTTTTTGGCCCATAGCTCCTAAAACCCCTGGAATCTCCTGAGTTAGGCATCTCTTTTAAGCTGATAAGAAGTGGTTGCAGCCCCTGGGTAACCTCAGGATGGGGTCTGGCTGATCCCCAGTAGCTGTAGACTTCATGAGTGTTGCCTTCTGCCTCCGTGAAATCCCAAAAGGTGGAGTTCCCTTGGGAGCTGCCTCAGTGCCGGATGCCTTGAGGCCCCGGGAAGAAGGCATCCCCTTCCCGCAGTTCCCTCTGCTTGGCTCCCACCTGGGGCTCATCCGTACCCTAGGTTACACTCCGCATAGTAAATGGGTACATGTAAGTCAAGTGTGCTGACAGAAGAGTCCGACTCTGCAGTGTTCAGAGCGGTTTAGTCTGAGTCAAATACGAAGACTATGGCTGTGACGCCGTCCCAGGAGGTCCCGAGCATGTGCCCAGAGGGTGGGCTTGATTTCATGTTTCAGGGAGACAGAGGGCGTCCGTCAGTACACGTCACGTGTTACGTTGGCTCATTGCGGAAAGGCAGAACAGCTTAAAGTGAGGAACTTCAGGTCATTGGTGGATTAAAGATTTCCTGATTGGCATTTGGTTGAAAGGGTCGGCTCTGAAGAGATGAAGTCATATGGGAGTGTGTGTGTGGTTACGATGAGGGGTCGTGGAAGTCAAGGTTCTGGTCACACAGAGGAAGCCTTCAGGTTGCAGGCTTCGAAAAGAATGGAGTAGTTGGTACCTGTTGCTCATCGGCCCCGGAAAGGTACCAAATTCTCGGTTAAATCTCTCCTGGGTCAGAAAGAGACTTGGAAGGGGAAGGAGATCTCCCGAATGTACATTTTCCCCACAAGAGACAGCTTTGCAGCCATTTCAAAATATGTCAGAGAAATACATTTTGAGGTAAAATACTCTAGTTTCCTTCAGGGCTGCCGTCTGCCGTGTGATGCTGTACTAGAGTTGGGTTGGAAGGTGGTGCCTTGTGACCACAGAGTCTGCTTTGTCTGTGTGAAGATCTCTGTTTAATGTCACTGCTGGTCAGCTGTGCCTGAATTCCAAAATGGAGGGATAAAGAGGCAAGTCCAGTCCCACTTCACGTCATGGCCTGAACCCGCTTTCCGGACTGAATTTGGAGCACCCTTGGCCAAGAGTGGGAATCCGTTCGATCCGTGCGGCTTAGAATTTTAATCTTATGGATGTTGCCCTGACTTCTGTGAGTCACACTAGCAAATTTATAGAACTCAAGTAAGGTATTGTGAGAATCCCATTTTATAGCTGGTCAGTCGGAAGCACAGACCCCAGTCTGGCATCAGGCGGGAAGGGGGGCACATTCCTGGAGACGGAGCCCTCCCCTGGAGCTACACGGCAGCCTGCAGAGCCACCCAGCTGTTCAGATTGCCAACGGCGTCTGTGGTACCTGCAGCCACGCATCCCCCTAGTTCCAGTGGTGACATTGCATCTGCCTCTGCTGGCTCTATTCTGGCACTTAGGGCCATGATTTATTGTACGGGAAGGGCACCAATGGCATCATAGGGACAAGAGTGTAGGTGACACCCAGGAAATCCAGTGTGAGGCTCAGACAGACCCTCCCAGCATAGGGACAAGAGTGCAGGTGACACCCAGGGAATCCAGCGTGAGGCCCAGACCCTCCCAGCATGGGGACATAGGATATGTTTAATTCTCAGGAGTGAGCTGTGACAACACGTGTGAAATGCCCACCAGGGAAGCTCATCAGAGGCTTCATGCCCAGGATTACTGGGGTCTGATCACATAGGGTACCCCCTTGCCAGGCAGGTACCAACATCCAGACCCCAGAGGGAAGGTGAGCTTTAGCATAAACCACACTGTTCCTGTAGCTGGAGCTTTGAATACTCCCTAGCACTGTGTGGCACCCCAGCTGCCAGCCTTGGCTGGCCTTGCCCTGCAGGGGACCCTGGCCTCAGGCTACTGTGACAGTACTTTTCTGCACAGCAGCTGTTTTTCTCAGTGCTTCTGAGATCTTGTCCTTATTATTACTTTTCAGCAGCTTGGTGCTGGTGTGCTGTGGTGTATTAGTCGGTCCTCACTCTGTTAGAAAGCACCACCTGACACTGGTAATTGGTGAAGGAAAGAGGTTTGATTGACTCACAGTTTCTCAGGCTGTACAGCAGGCATGGCTGGGAGGCCTCAGGAACCTTACAATCATGACGGAAGATGAAGGAAAAGCATGCATGTCTTCACATGGCGGAGCAGGAGAGAGCACAGAGGGGGAATTGCTTTTAAGCAACCAGATCTCATGAGAAGTCACTCACTATCACAAGAACCGAGAACAGCAACAGGGAAAGCCAGCCCCACAATTCTGTCACCTTCCACCAGGAGCCTCTCCCAACATCAGGAATTACAATTCAACATGGGATTTGGGTGGGAATACAGAGCCAAATCATATGATTCTGCCCCTGTCCCCTCCCAAATCTCTTGTCTTTCTCACATTTCAAAACACATGCCTTCCCAACAGTCTACCAAAGTCTTAACTCATTCCAGCATTAACTCAGAAGTCCACAGTCCAAAGACTTATCTGAGACAAGGAAAGTTCTTTCTATGAACCGTAAAATCAAAAACGAGTTAGTTAATTCCAAGATACAAACTGGTACAGGCATTGGGTAAGTAGACCCATCCCAAGAGGGAGAAATCAGCCAAAACAAAGGGGCTGGCAGGCCCAGTGCAAATCTGAAGCCCAGCAGGGTACTCGTTACATCTTAAAGCTCCAAAATAATCTGTTTGGTTCCTTGTCTCATATCCAGGCCACACTGATGCAAGGGATGGGCTCCCCACCCTTGTGGCTCTGCAGGGTACAGCCCCTGTGGCTGCTTTCCTGGGCTGGTGTTGAGTGCCTTGCAGCTTTTCCAGATGTTTAGTCCAGGCTGTCAGATCTGCCATTCTGGGTTCTGGAGGATGGTGGCCCTTTTCTCACAGCTCCACTAGGTAGTGCCCCAGTGGGGGCTTTGTGTGTGGGCTGCAACCCCACATTTCCCCTCTACACTGTCCTAGCAGAGGTTGTCCATGAGGGCCCCGCCCCTGTAGCAGACTTCCGCCCGGACACCTTGGCTTTTCCATACGTCCTCTGAAATCTAAGCCGAGGCTCCCAAACCTCACCTCGTGCTTTCTGTCACCATGTGGAAGCTGCCAAGGCTTGGGGCTTGTACCCTCTGAAGCATTGGCCCAAGCTGTACCTTGGTCCCATGGCACCGTGTCACAAGGCTGCACAGAGCAGCCGGTCTCTGGATCTGGCACACAAAACCATTTTTTCCTCCTTGACCTCCAAGCCTATGATGGGAGGGGCTGTGCAAGATCTTTGAAATACCCCTGAGGTATTTTCTCCATTGTCTTGGCTACTAACATTTGGGGTCCTCTTTACTTAACAAATGTCTGCAGCCTTCTTTAATTCCTTCCCAGAAAATGGGTTGTTCTTTTCTACCACATGGCTGGGCTGAAAATTTCCCAAACTTTTGCACTCTGCTTCCCTTTTAAATGTAAGTTCCAGTTTCAGGTCATTGTTTTGTTTATGCAAGCAAGCATAGACTTTTAGAAGCAGCCAGGCCACCTCTTGAACATTTTGGTGCTTAGAAATTTCTTCCACCAGTTGCCCTAAATTCATCTCTCTCAAGTTCAAAGTTCTGCAGATCTCTAGAGCATGGGCACAATGCTGCCAGTCTCTGCTAAGGTATAGCAAGAGTGGCCTCTGCTTCAGTTCCCAGTGAGTTCCTCATCTCCAAGACCACCTCAGCCTGGACTTCACTGTCCATATCACTGTCAGCATTTGAATTACAGCCATTCAGCAAGTCAGCCATTCAGCAAGGACGTTCCAAACTTTCTGTCATCTTCCTGTCTTTAAGCTTTCCAAACTGTTCCAACCTCTGCCTGTTGCCCGGTTCCAAAGCTTCTTCAGCATTTTCAGGTGTCTTCATAGCAATGCCCCACATTTCAGTACAAGTTTTTTGTGTTAGTCTCTTCTTGCACTGCTATAAAGAACTACCTGAGACTGGATAATTTGTGAAGAAAAGCAGTATAATTGATTTTTCTCCTGAAAAGCAGTTCCACTGGCTGTACAGGAGGCATGGCTGGGGAAGCCTCAGGAAACTTGCAATCATGGTGGAAGGCGAAGGGGAAGCGGGAGGAGGGTGACCGGTGCTGCCACATACTTTTAAACACCAGATCCCATGAAAACAGCAAGGAGGAAATTCGGCCTCTCCCCAGGCCCCTCCCCCAACATTGAGAAATTAGATGTGAAATTTGGGTGGGGACCCTGAGCCAGAGCACATTGCATCAACTGCTTTTCTTTAGGCTTATTATCCTTGGGTTTTGTTCAGCTTCGCAAGCCAAATGCTGTCCTGAGTGAGAGGTGTGTCGCGATGGGGGCTCCGCTCCTCCTGTGACCACAGCCTGCGCTCCTGCCCTCGGGGTGGGCCAGCGGGGTTATAGCCTGGACCAAAGGCAGACATTCTGGCTACGGTCTCTTCCGCATCACCAGCGCAGCTATTCTCTGGGACTCTGGTTCTGTGCGTGGCCCCTGCCCGCGTCCTGGACCGAGGCTGTATCTGTCGCCCGTGCCCTATCGCGGCAGATCTGCGGCCGGCCTGCCCCGTGGGGCGTTCACTGCAGATGCGCGTTTCTGTTCGTATCCGGAAACGCCACTGGCTTCCCGTGTCGTCGTCCCTGTCCTGCCTCACAGCGGGGTCCTCCGCCTCCCGGAACACGGAGCACGCCTCTGTTCACTGCCCTCACCCTGTCTTCTGAGTCCCTCATCTCAGCTTCGATTCTCTCCTGGTTTGGGACCGTGTCTTCCTGCCCCTTTGTGTGTGTGGGATCGTTTACTGGATGCCAGGTAGAGTTTGTAGTTGATGCGGTGGGGTGGTGGGTCTGCTTACACACCTTTGAGACCTGGTGGCCTTTGTAGAAGTGGCTCAGACTCGATGGGACCTTCGCCAGGCATTGTCAGGATAAGCCCAGAGCCTCCCCGGTGGAGGGTAGCTCCGGGCCCCTGTCAGGCTGCACCTGTCCCAGGCTTGACTGGACGGCCTGGCTGGTGGGGCTTGGGTCACCACAGACCTGTGTGCAGGCTCTTGGCATGTCTGGCACATGGTCCAGGAGTGGGCCGGGAGCTCTCTAGGGAGCCCGTCCTTTCTGCCTCTCAGCTGGATGCGCTGGGTCCACCGTGACTGTGGCCTGGAGCTTGCTCCACGGTGAGCTGCGTGGGTGCCAGTGTCTGCAGGCCTCTTGCACCCTCCATCCAGCTGTCTGGCCTCGTATGTTGAGGACAGGCCCATCCTGGGTTGTGGCCGGAGCCCTCCACGGAGTCCGTGTGTGGCACGACTTGGTCTGTGCGGTGCTGGGTCTTGCCTGACACATTGCTTAGCAGAGGACCCAGGGTGTCTGCCTTCCCTTCCGCTCACTGGTGAGGGTGATGTCCGTCCTCTAGGCTTGTCCCCTGGTCTGCCGTGAGCTGGTCCCACTCCACTTCCAGAGCAATCACCGTTCAGAGTGGAGAGGTCAGATCGGGACAGGCAGTGAGCTCCCGAGCTCAGCCGATGTGGTCATTTCTGTGTTGACGCAGGGAAGGTGAAGAAGGAGCTGGACCCCGACGACAGCCACTTGAACTTGGATGAGACGACCAAGCTCCTTCAGGACCTGCAGGAAGCCCAGGCGGAGCGTGGTGGCTCTCGGCCCTCGTCCAACCTCAGCTCCCTGTCCAACGCCTCCGAGAGGGACCAGCACCACCTGGGTAAGACGCCCCCACCCACGCCGGGTCCGCAGAGACCCCAGCACAGTCTGTGTGGCGTGTAGACCAGGCAGTGGGCAGCCTTTGAGCTGCGGAAAGGCTGGAGGCTGTGGAGGCCGCTGTTGCGGAGTTGGGTTAGTTCTGTGGCGGGCAGGCTGTGCCTGTGTCCACAGCCTCCAGGTGCAGAGCAGGAGCTGGGTTGCCGGCTTGGCTGTCTGCTGGATGACAGGCTCTCCGCCAGATGACGTCCCCTGCTCTGTTGACCCCTGTGGCATCTGTGGACTGTGGTTCCAGTGTTTCTGCTGCAGGGAGAGAGTGGCTTCCTTGGCCATGTGTTCCTGGAGCAGTTTTTTGTTCTCACATGTAAGCGCTGAATCACTCTTTGAGCAGAGTGAATCCTGACAGTTTTTCAGCTCCAACTGTCTGGAAAAGGACCAGTGTTTTCGGTCCTATTAACCTCACGGTCAGGGCGTTAACAGTGCATGGAGCAGGCCCTGGAGGGCCGTGGGTCAAAGTTAGAGGACCCCGATATCCCAGGATGCCTTCAGGGAGCTGCCCTGGAGTCTGGGCTGTGTCTGAGGGACCCCTGGCTGAGGAGCTCTCTCTCCTTCAGGAGCAGCCTCAGTGCTGTGTGCAGGGTCAGAGCCGGCCCCTTGCTCCAGCTGTCCATGCACAGCCCTCCCTGGGGTGAGCAAGGTGCCCCGTGTCCTGGCAGAGGCCAGGAGGCAGTCACTGGGCTCATGCGTGCTGTGGGTCTGTCCTGTGTGTTGAAGTCCTGTGTTCTGAAAATTGCAGGAAGCCCTTCTCACCTGAGCGTCGGGGAGCAGCCAGACGTAACCCACGACCCATATGAGTTTCTTCAGTCTCCAGAGCCTGCGGCCTCTGCCAAGACCTAGCTCTGGGCCAGCTTCAGCTCTTTTTTTTTTTTTAGTTTTCATTTGCATGTGTGGAGTTTTTGTCATCAGACAAAACTTTATCTTGTCCCCTTTGGCCTGCGGCAAGCAGCCCCGGGGAGATCATGGTCATGAATTGTCTGTGGCATCGTGTCAGCAGAGAGGCCCTGTCCACAGCCCCATGAGCCCTGAGGAGTGGAGTCACACGTGAAGGGTGTCCCTGTCCACAGCCCCCTGAACCCTGAGTGGAGTCACACGTGAAGAATGTCCCTGACCACAGCCCCGTGAGCGCTGAGGAGTGGAGTCACACGTGAAGGGTGTCCCTGTCCACAGCCCCGTGAGCCCTGAATGGAGTCACACGTGAAGAATGTCCCTGTCCACAGCCCCCTGAACCCTGAGTGGAGTCACACGTGAAGAGTGTCCCTGTCCACAGCCCCCTGAACCCTGAGTGGAGTCACACGTGAAGAGTGTCCCTGTCCACAGCCCCCTGAACCCTGAGTGGAGTCACACGTGAAGAGTGTCCCTGTCCACAGCCCCGTGAGCCCTGAGGAGTGGAGTCACATTTGAAAGGCGTGTCCAGGCTGCAGAGCTGTCTGCAGTCAGTCTGAGCATCATGTGTGGGTCCAGCCCTAGTTTCTGCCGTTGTAGACACCACTGTTCCGGGGTCAGTCTTGGGAGGCACAGGCATCGGTGTGTCTGGCCTCATTCCGCGTCAGTCCTGTGTTCCTGGCATAGCGTGTATTCCCCAGGCAGGCCGTGGTTGGGGCCTTGCAGAGGCCAGTGGGGAGCACAGGGCCAGGCTGGGACGAGGGCTGTCCCCCTGTTTTCTGTGTAACTGGTGAGCCTGAGAAAGGAGTGTGTTCTGCCTGCCCTAACGTTCCCCTGGAGGGAGGTTCCATGTCTGTGACACGTTTTCTAACTGGGTGTGTTTACTGGGTGCCCATTTATATTAATCTCTGCAAAATATCCTAAGCGCAGCACCAAAGCACACCCATCTGCTCCCTGCACATGAGGGCGCTGCGTCCCGCCAGCTGGGGGTGGTCCTCCGGCCCCGCTGTCATGCCCACAGGGACGTTGGTGCTCCTGCACGCCCTGCAGCACCTTCTACAGGGTGCCCTGCTCCAGGGCCAAGCAAAGAAGCCACACCTTCCAGAGGCCAGGCGCAGATGGGAGCTCGGTCATCCTGGGAACACCGGCGTTTGTGACTGAAAAAGCCCTGGGGGCTGTGTCCAGTGTGCAGTGGCTGGGCTCTGACAACAGGCGGCCACGGGGCCGACCCTCGCTGGCCCTTGACAGTGGCGAGCAGGGTGGCCGGTGCTCTGTGTGGCCTGGGTAAGGGTTGTCAAGTCTCTCTTGGGCCTGGTGGAAGGGGATGCAAAGCTATTGCCTCTGGACAGCATGAGGAAGCCATAGCAACTGACTCACAGGAAGTTTGTGATCAGGGCTCAGACATCGGGCAGAGCCGGGGCTGTGCAGGAAGGCGGCCCCGTGGACGTCGGCAGAGCTGCAGCCACCGTCCTGGCCCTGGATGCTGCCACATGCACGTTTCTGCAGCTGCCTGCAGGCTCTGCACCCCACCCCAATTCTGGGAGGGTGCCTTGGCTGCACGGAGGCTGGGAAAGGCAGCATCCGGAGTCCCGAGCTTGGTGGGGCGGTGTACCATGCCCTCTTCCACCAGGGCTCCAGAGGCCAGGATTCCCTCAACGGGACAGACGCTTCCACAGCTGGGTCCCGGGGGCCTCGGGGAGCTTGGGCTCAGGAATAACTTGGCTCCTGAGAGCAGGTTGCTGTGGAATCGGCTTCCTCCATCCAAGCTCTGAATACCGCTCTGGACCTGCTGTGAGTGGAGGACCCTGGCTTAAACTTTCCAGCTCCAGGACCATGAGCCAAATAAACCTTGTTTCTTTCAAGTTACCCAGTCTCCGCCATTCTATTACAGCAGCACAAAGAAGCCTGCGTTGCGATGACACAGCCGGCCTCGTGGTGGGGCAGGTGTGGGCGGCCGTCCTCTGGGCTCTTGGCTCGCTCTGAAACGGTTTCTGGGGGAAGTCAGGTAGAGCCAGCCCACAGGCAGTGCTGAGCCACAGGAGGCAGCAGCCCTGCCCCGCTTCCTGGTGGTCTGGCCGTTGTTCCTGCTCCCTCAGGCCCCCGAGACTGGCTGTCGCTCCGGGTGGCATTGCTGGTCCACAGGGTCCCAGTAGGGGCACCGGGCAGTAGCCGCCACATGGCCAAGTCGTGGCAGGCTTCCGTTTGAGTGAGTGTGTGGGGAGGGGGCGTCTCGGAAGAGGCCTGCAGGCAGTCTACGGGCTGACGACCCCTTGGGTCAGGAGATGGGAGTTGTGTGGGGGCCAGGGCTCCTCCCGCTCCGCTGGGGCTGCACAGATGCAGGTGACCCTGGCCAGCTGACTTGCCTGACTTCGAGGGCCCTGGTGGTGGCCAGAGCTTCCAGGAGGGCCATGCATGGCCTCCCAGGATCCCAGCAGCCTCTGCTCTGGCTGGCAGCCCATGGGTCCCCTTCCCTCTTTTGTGGGTACACCACCTTTGGGTGTCCCCAAGCCCGTGTGCCAGGGTGCAGAGCTGCCACGGTGGAGGGAGTGGGGGCTGGTGCCCTCCCTGAGCTCAGTTCTTCTGGTCCCTGGACCCTTCCCTCATGGTCACACGGTTGCTGCTGCTGTGGCAGCCATCTCATGTTGAGGCCAGAAGAGGTGGGGAGGTGAACAGACCACCATACCTGGGTCTCTGACAGGACACAAGAGCTTTTCAGGTAGGCCCCGCAGACATGGCTGTGTCTGAGCCTGGGGGACAGCTGGGTGTGTGCCTCCATCTCCCCTTGTGCAGGCTGGGGGCAGCCACCACTGCTCCCACCCCAGCTCCCTGGGCAGAACCTGGGCAGGGGACAGGGAGGCAACTGGGAGCAGAGGGCAGCAGTGACGGGCCACCTGCAGACTGGGGCGTGAGGGCCTGCAGCTGTGCACCCCCAGCCAGGACCCTGCGAGCTTGTGCGTGTCTCAGCCAGGAAGCAGGAAGCAGGAGGGTGGTGGTACCTCCTGTGTGGGACGCGGCATCTGGTCACCCTGTGGTGCCCTCAGGGCTTTGTTGTGGATGTGGAAACTGAGGCAGGTGCCCCATCACCCAGAGCTACCGTAGGCCCTTGAGTGTGGCTGAGCCTGCCCCACCAGCTATGAACCTTGGACCCTGGTCAGACCTCCCCGAGCTCGAGCTCGTAGCTTCCTGTTCTGAATCTGGAAGCAGAGGAGGGGCCAAGGGTCTCCTCCGAGGCCCTCAGTCTGTGGGCGGGGATGCACGTGTGCATGGGGTGCAGGTGGGGTGTGTGCAGGTGTTGATGGGTACAAGTGAGGGGGGGTGTGCAGGTGTGGACGGGGTGTGTGTGGTGTGGATGGGGTGCAGGTGGGGATGTGTGCATGTGTGTTTGGGGTGCAGGTTTGGAGGTGTGGAGGTGTGTTTGGGGTACAGATATGGAGATGTGCAGGTGTGTTTGGGGTGCAGATATGGGGATGTACAGGTTTATATGGGGTGCAGGTATCGGTGTGTGGGTGTGCCGTTGCCTGGTGTGTAGTGTGAGCGGTGGGGGTGTGTGAGTGTGCTATGGTTTTTGTCTCCACCGAAATTTAGGGGTTGACACCAGTGGCCCCTGTGATGGTGTTAGGAGTGGTTAGCCTGTGAAGGTCCTTGCAGACCAGGCCTCAGGCAGCAGGGTCCTCCCACCCCTCCATGTGAGGCCACAGCGTCCGTCCCCTCCACAGGATGCAGAAGAAAGATGCCACCTTGCAAGCTGAGCGTAGCCCTGACCAAACAGCAGACCTGCTGGCTTCTGAGTCTTACACTTCCAGCCTCCAGAACGGCAAGAGATAAGTTTCTGTTCTTTAAAATGACGCCGTCTGAGCTATTTTGTTACAGCAGCACAGGGGGACAAAGACTGGGTGTGCAGGAGTGTGTGTGCCGGGGGGTGGGCGTGTGCAAGGGTGTTGGAGGGTGTTTGCCTCGATTTTTAGACCACACTGGGGCCAGGATACCTGCAGGTGTCAGGGGACGTTAACTTCAGACCTTGGTGAATAAAAGCCAGTGTTCCTGAGTTTGACAAGAAAACCTTTGGAAGAGACCCTTAACAGCCACTCTGGGCTACAAGACGGGGCATTTGTCCCGTCCCTGCCCACCTTCCCGTCCCCGCCCCAAAGGCAGCGTCAGCAGCTGGCCAGCACCAGAGGCACTCAGGAGTCCTTGGAGACCCCCGCCCAGGGGAACTGGAAATGCCTCGAGTTCTGAGGGGCGGGGCAGCAGGGACAGGAGGGGATCCTGTTAAACAGACTCACTGGCCCTTCTCAGGAGAATCCCTTCCTTGGCATCGGTCCTGGTGAAACTGCCCCGAGTTAAGCCAGTGACCAGTTGAACTGAGCGTACAGGACAGCCAATGAAACAACTTGCTGGAATGCGAGGACTCCCTCCGCTTGTGCGATGAAGGAAAAACGGGGCCGACGCGTTTGCTCAGAACCAGCTCGCTGACAACACAGCCTGAATGTCACGTGTTTCCTGCCAACTCTGCCCAAATTTGCCGTGTGGTCCATGAGGCAGCGTGAGGAGAACCACCCAGGCCCAAGGACTTTCCGGGCCTTCCCTTTCCTTCCATCTGTCACCCACCAATCTCAGAATCCACCCTGAGCCTTTGGCCACAGCAGTGGTGCCTTGAACCCAGCACAGCGCAGGGAGGCCGATTGAGCAAGACTCCTGTCTCCCTGGGGTCAACTTTCAACATAAAGCTTTTCTTTCCTCTCCCTGCCGTCAGTGCTGGCATCTAGTGTTAGGGGCATCGAGCCCTCTTCGCTGTGTAACAAGGGAGCACTCACGGTGGGCGGCGGGGGCGGCTCTGCTTCAGAGTGCCACGCTCCTGCCCTGCCCTGCCCTGCCCTGCCCTGCCCCGTCCCTGCCATCCCCTACCCCCGCCCCCACGAGCAGGGCCAGAGCAGCGTCCTACTGTGAGAACGGACTCAGCTGTCCAAACCCGAAGAATGGACTCCCAGACCTGGAGAACAGCAGTGAGGCTTTTAGTGACGGTTCTGCAAGATCAGGTGTGGGAGGGGCAGGCACACCCAGCTCTGTCACAGACAAGCCACTGATCCCCTCGTGTGCGGGCCCCGCGCCCGGTTCCTCATAGGCTGAGTACCGTGGGGGTCGCCACTGTCTTCCCCGACGTCGCCTGTTAGTTGTTGGGCAGCGGCGTTAGGTGTTTGTTTTAGGGGCGTACGCTGCATTTTGTTGACCCCACAAGGCACGGCAATCCCAGTCAGCTCCGGGGCTCTTAAGTATTTGGCTTCTGACCTACGTCGCTGGCAGGCTGGTAAGAACAGACAAAACGAGCTGTTTTGCAGGCTAGTGAACTTTGACGTTAGACTAAACGACTTTGGTTCAGGTGAGGGCCACTAAGTGGGTGGGAAGGTGGGAGGGCGGGGAGGGGGAGGCCGGCAGCAGGCTGCTTCTGGAGCTCGCTGACCTGAGCACGTTCAAGGCGCCTTGTCCTGGAAATGGACCACTGTTGAGGGTTTCTTTCACCTGCGCCCGAGTCGGCTTCACGTTTTTCTTCCCTCCTCGTGCTCCTGGCTCTGCTTCATCCTCCCAACCACCACGGCTTTCTTTATGAGGTGTCCTGGGTTCCGTGGCTGCCGTGACAACCAGGGACGCCACTCACTTCTCACTTTGGTCTGGAGTGAGCGATGGCTGATCGTGCCTTGCTCTTTATTCCTGACCTGCGATGGACGTGACGCCCCTTCCTCTTTATCCCTGACCTGTGATGGACGTGACGTCCCTTGCTCTTTATCCCTGACCTGTGAGACAAGGAGCTGAGTTCTGGCGGTGAGGTAAGTGGGGGCTCACCTTCCCGTGTTCCCAGAAGGCAGATGCGATCCCTGCACTCCTTAAGGAGTCAAGCAGTAAATGGAACACAGCAAGACTGTCCAGGACTCAGGCTGTGAGGCTGTGTCTCATGCGGGGCTCAGAGAAGACGTTTCCACTGGGGAGTAGGGGACTGGGAGGTTTCACCAAGGTAGGGTGGCATCCAAGGCTCCCCACGGAAGAAGCATGGCTGAGCAGGCCCTGAGGGGGGTGAGGACACACTCAGGGTCCGGAGGGGGACAAGGACTCGCTCGGCATCTGGAAGGGGACAAGCTCACGCTCGGGGTCGGGAGGGGGATGAGGGGTGTGAGGACATGCTCAGGGGGACCATATTGTCAAGGGCAGGGACAGGGTCAGGACAGACTCACGTACCACAGTGTCCTAAAGGCAGGAACGGGGATGAGGAGGACAGACTCGGGAGCACAGTGTCATACACAGGTGGGAACAGGGAAGACTTGGGAGGCTTGAGAGGGTGGGGTGGGCACCTGTGTTCTCTGGGGTCCATGTAGGGCTGGTTCTCACGTGCGGTGTTGTAGAGGGAGGCCCAGTCAGAAAAGGGGGCTGTCGCCCCATTCACAGATGGGGGCAGACAAGAGGCGCCTGGGTCCACCACGCAGGATTGTGCTGCAGCCCTGGGCAGCACAGTGAGTTCCTCGGGCATCGGTCCGGTGTCATAAAACGGTGGGGGGTGGCAACAGCCTCAATCATGCCAACTTCCCGAACCCACCATGCAGCACGGCAAGTTCCCTGGGCATCGGTGTGGCATCAATCATGGGGCGCCCATCTAGCCTCAGCTATGCCAACTTCCCAAACCCAACGTTACATGTCTTCTGTGTCAAGGCACACAGATGTTCCTTTCGCTTGAATTGTGTGTGGGAGTGTGTGCACTGTGTGGTGTGTGTGGTATTTTCTGGGGGGTGTGGCATATGTGGTGTGTGCAGTGTGTGTGATGTGTTCTGTGTGTGGTGTGTGGTAGGCAGCATCATGTGTGTGGCATGTGGTGCCTGTGTGGTGTGTGGCGTGTGTGTGGTGTCTGGTACGTGTCATGTGGTGCATGTGCAGTGTGTGGTGTGTGTGGTTTGTGTGGTGTATAGTGCATATGTGGTGCAAGTGTGTGTATGTGTGTGTGGTGTGTGCCTTGTGTGTGTTCTGTATGTGTTTGCAGTGTGATGTGAAGTGTGTGCGTGTGTGGTGCGTGTTTGTTGTGTGGTGTGTGGTACGTGTGTGTGTAGTGTATGGACATGTATGTTGTGTAAGGGCATGTGGTGTGTTTAGTGTGTATGATGTGTGTGGTGTATGTGGTGTGTGCTCTGAAGTGTGTTGTGTGGTATGTGGTGATGTGTGGCATGTGCTGTATACTGTGTGGCATGTGTGGTGTGGGCTGTGTGTGGTGATATGTGTGGTGTGTGGTATGTGTGCTGTGTGCAATGTGTGGTGTGGTACATGTGATATATGGTGTGTGTTGTGTGCTATATATGATGTGTGGTGTCTGGTGTGTGTTACGTGTTGTGCGGTGTGTAGAGTGTAGTCTGTGTGGTATGTGGTCTGTGGTGTGTGTTGTGTGTTCTGTGGTGTGTGGTATGTGGTGTGTGTGTTGTGTGGTATGTAGTGTGTGGTGTGCGTGTTGCGTGTGGTGTGTCTTGTGGTCTATGTGATATTTGTGGTTTGTGTTGTGTGTGGTGTGTGAGGGTTCTCACAGCCCATGGTGGGATGGAGGCTGAGTGAATTGAAGGGAAGGAGCTGTCCTGGCATCTTCCATGGCTGTCTTGAGTTCTGAACCCCCCTCCCCCACCCCGCCCTCGCTGTCCTCCTTGGGGTGATCACCTGCGCCTGCTGCTGGGTGGCTCGGCTTATTCTGGGCCCATGCGGGTCCCGTGCGGAGAAGTCCCTGCGCTGGTGAGCTTGGGGTTCCCATGCCCCTGTCACGGCTCTGCAGAACAGCCCGTCCCCAGCGCTCTGTGCCTGCGGCCAGTTGCGCAGACTCATGGCTCTGTCGTCTGTCACGCAGATTTGTTTTGTTCTGGATTTAATGTAGATATAATTTTAGATTAATTGACTCACAATGTTTAACTGTGATAATTTGTCAAGGTACTATTCTTTACGTAATTCTTTTGGAAATGATCAATTGTTGCTGTACTTGGAATATTCACATGTCCCGAAAGTATCTGCTTCCTCTCAAACTGTGTCCTTTGGCCACGCCTATTTTAGATTAAAATGCTCTCAGAACTTGAAGAATTGCTTCATGTTGTGTTGTTTTAAAACACGGATGCAGTACAGTGTGTAGGTATCCACATGTTGGAATTCAACTCTTTTGTTTTCTCCTGAGAACTCTTGTAGGGTTTTGCTCTGTATCCTATAGTTCACATTTTCACTGGCATGGATGTATTTCCTTTTCCAATCGTCCTTTCGGGCCCTCGGTGCAGTGTTCACCCGAAGGTGAACATCTTCTCAAAGTTCCTCGCTATTTTCTTTGTTTCTCTCAACGTACTCTCCACCTTCATCTTCTGAAATCCCAGCAGATGATCACATGTCTCCAGGCTCAAGGCTCTGCGCCGCCGAGGACTCCCCTCCTCTCCTCTCTGCTCTGAGATCCGTGAACGTTCCTTCAGGGTCCACGTTACCGCGCCACCGAGGACTCCCCTCCTCTTCTCTCTGAGATCTGTGATGGTTCCTTCAGCGTCCATGTGACCGCGCCACCGAGGACTCCCCTCCTCTTCTCTCTCAGATCTGTGATCGTTCCTTCAGCATCCACGTGACCGCACCACCGAGGACTCCCCTCTTCTCTCTGAGATCTGTGATTGTTCCTTCAGGGTCCACGTTACCACGCCACTGAGGACTCCCCTCCTCTCCTCTCTGCTCTGAGATCTGTGAATGTTCCTTCAGTGTCCACGTGACCGTGCCACTGAGGACTCCTCTCCTCTTCTCTCTGAGATCTGTGATCGTTCCTTCAGGGTCCACGTTACTGCGCCACGGAGAACTCCCCTCCTCTCCTCACTGAGATCTGTGATCGTTCCTTCAGCGTCCACGTGACCGTGCCACCGAGGACTCCCCTCCTCTCCACTCTGCTCTGAGATCTGTGACCGTTCCTTCAGCGTCCACGTGACCAGTTTGGGTTTTGGCAGCATCATTTCTGTGTGTTGGCACTTCCATTTGGACTTTTTTTTAGTTGGGAATTGTGTTTTTAATGTCCAGGATTGCCTTTCTGTTCTCTCTCCTTCCTCGGCACCTTTTTTTTTTTTTTTTTTTTTTTTTTGAGATGGAGTCTCTCTCTCTCTCTGTCGCCCAGGCTGGAGTGCAGTACTGCAATCTCAGCTCACTGCAGCCTCGCGGGTTTAAAGGATTCTTGTGCCTCAGCCTCCTGAGTAGCTGGGATTAGAGGCACGCACCACCACACCCGGCTAATTTTTGTGTTTTTAGTAGAGATGGGGTTTCGCCATGTTGCCCAGGCTGGTCTGGAACTCTTGACCTCATGATCTGCCTGCCTCCCCCTCCCACAGAGCTGGAGATCACAGGCGTGAGCCCCACGACCTGCCAAGGCACCTTGGCCTTGTTTAATGATTGCGAGTCTCTCAGGTCTCCCTGAGACATTCTCGTGTGACTCAAGCCCAGGGCCCTGCAGCGTCACATCCGCTTGGTGTCACAGTCCGAGGACCAGAGAGGAGCCACCAGAGGCAGTGCAGAGCACGAAGCGTGGATTTTCACGACTGCAAGAAGGAAGAATTTTTAACTATTTCTCAGTGTCTTTCTTCCCAAAGTAATTCATTTATACATTTATATCAACTTCATTTTCTCTGGTTTTTTTCCCCCAAAGACACAACAAGGACTTTGTGTGAGACATGACATGGCAAGGCTTTTCCGAAACATGACATGGCAAGGCTTTTCCGAAACATGACATAGCGAGGCTTTTCCGAAACATGACATGGCGAGGCTTTTCCGAAACATGACATGGCGAGGCTTTTCCGAAACATGACATGGCGAGGCTTTTCCGAAAACTCCCGGTAGAGACCGCCCAACCCGCAGGCGGCTGCTGACCACCTTTCACGTCCCAACATGACACCTCCCTCCCCGCTGCCCTCCCCACCTGCCTGGCCAGGAGTGGCCGCAGGGCGTTCCCTCCCAGCCACTGTCCACACGTGCTGAGGTCCCAGCCCCGAGACGCCATCTGGGCTTCCTGTCCTACGGAAGGAGAGACACACAGGACTCTGTGGAGTGAGCTCTCTGGTCCTGCTCCTCTGGGAAGCTCACAGAAGGTTCTCGGGGAGGATCTGTCAGATTTCAGTGTTGCACCTGTTCGTGATGGCCCATGAGCTCTTCTGGCATTGCCTCACTTTCCCCAGGAGCACCCCTCTGCTCAGTGTGGCCTCTTTCTGATGTGGGTTTTCCTCTCCCACCTTAGGAGTCTTGGGTGAACCTGTGTATTCATGGATGAGTTCCAGGACCTCTTGCTGTGTGGGGGTCGTTGAGGGCTCCCCAGAATCCATCGAAGCCTTGGGTCTACTGAGGGGTGGCAGGATGGTCATTGGAGGCCTTGCCAGGCTCACAGCCCTGGAGAGCCACTTCCCACAGCCGCATGGCTCTGGCCGGGGTCAGATTCTGCAGCATGGCACTTGACTCCCCGTGCAGGGCCCCGCTCCAGCTGCGGCGCAGCCCATCTCGCTCTGGTGGGACGTGGCCCTGAGCAGTGCTGGGCTGTGGGCTGTCAGTGCTGGTCCTGGGGGCTGTGTTCCTAGTCCCCCTGTGGTTCCCCCGACAGTGGCGGGTGGGGCTGGCGCTGCCGGGGGCTGACGGCGTCGGCCCTCCCCTTCTCTTCCTGCAGATGGACGCTCCCCGGAGTTCCGGCCCCCCTTAAGCCACGGGCAATAGCACGAAGCTGGCCTCGCCGCCGCAAATCTCTCGAGTGAACGGCTGTTCACCGCCTAGAAACGCCTTCCAGGCAGTGTCCTGGGCCGTCTTCCTGACCCTGTCCTTGGCCATCTTCGGGATCTTCATTCCCTTCCTGTCTCACGCGTGGAAATACATCGCCTACGTGGTATCCTTTTCACCGTGGCGTGGTCTAAGCAAGAGGAGCTCCTGGAGGGCCCTGCAATGGACCTGATCGGGGGTCCAGGCCATGCCTGCCCAGTGGCACCAGTCACCTTCCCTAAACCAGACCACATGCCCCGTGCCTGCAGGCGGGCCCCATGGGCACTCATGCTCCTGCGGCCCCTGCTCAGGGTCAGGGTGGACAGGGCAGCCACTGACTCTGCATCAGGCTGTTCCCACATGACTCAGGCTTGAAGTGGACAGGTCGGCCACTGACCCCACATCAGGCTGTTCCTGCATGGCTGTGAAGGAGATCCGAGGCTGGGTAATTTACAAAGAAAAGAAGTTTAATCAGCTGACAGTTCGGTGGGCTCTTCAGGAATCGTGGGGCCAACATCTGCTCTGCTTCTGGGGTAGCCTCAGGAGCCTTCACTCATGGCGGAAGGTCAAGGGGAGCAGGCAGGTCACATGAGCAGAGCAGGTTCAAGCGGGGTGAGGGGGAGGGAGGTCCCACACTTTTTTAAACAACCAGATTTCCCATGAACTCTGGGAGTTCACTCACTACCGCAAGGTCAGCACCGAGCCGTTCACAGGGACCCACCCCACGACCAAACAACTCCCACCAGGCCCACTTCCAACCCTGGAGACTGTATTTCAACATGAGATGTGGACAGGACGCATGTCCAGACCCTCCGCCCATGAATCACCTGCCCCGTGTTGGAGCCCCCCCGGCCTCTGCCACTGAGGAGGGGAGCCTGCTGGATGGTGTGGGGAGGGGGCATGTGCCATGGGGGGAGCACAAAGGAAGGCCGGGGCAGAGGAAGGGAGGGGGATGTGCCTGGGGGGAGCTGTGGCGGGGTTTGTGGGGGCACCAATGCCAGGGCAGAGGAGGGGAGGGGGACACGCCGTTGGGGGAGCCATGGGGGGAGCACAAAGGCCAGGGCGGAGGACTTTGGCCATTTCAGCTCAGGGGCCAATCCGTGTTGTTCAGTGAATAATACTAAGTTTTAATGAGAAGGGACTTAAGGGGAATACTAAGGCCTGGGTGAGGCACAGCTGAAGGTTCTGCCCCGATGTGGCCAGTGTGTGCTGTGGAATCTGTTTCCAGGCGCAACAGAGTGTCCTGGTCAGCCCTGCGTGGCTGGCTCATGGCCAGAGGGGAGTTCACGTGGGTCCCCGGGGATGGCTGTGCTCATCGATAAGCCACCACCAGCTGGTTAGGAGAGCAGAGGGCGGCGCAGAAGAGGGTGGGGGGCGGGGGCGTCTGCTCGCATCACCTCCCAGCAGGCGGGGCGGTGGGGGCGGGCGGGCCTTGTGTCTGCTCCTGTCTCCAGCATGCATGTCCGTGGAGCATGTGGCCTCTGCAGTACCCCCAGCCAACCGTGGCATTCAGCTGAGAAACCCCGGGCCCCCTAGGGTGGCTGAGACATGAATGTGTGGGGACAAAGGGGTCTGGGGATGGTGGGGCTGTGTTCAGTGCCCAGGAGCACTGGAGACATATTTCTAAAGTGGGATGTGTCACTCCCCAGGGGAGCCTTCCTCAGTGGGGAAGCGGCCACACCACCACATGCTCCTAGGGCTGCGCCGTCCTGGGCAGCTGAATGGCGACCCTGGTGTGCAGAGTGAGCAGGCACCATGGGGACCGCAGCCCGCCGGCCTGAGTGCCTCAGCCACTGGCTGTCTTGGCTGGGAGTGGCCGTCTGGGCTGGGAGTGGCCGTCTGGGCTGGGAGGGCTGGCCAGGTTGTGAGTAAAAGACTTGGTGTCCCCCATCTGCTCCCTGGCCTCCCCAAGCCTAGGGGATTTAGGGAAGTGGTTCTCACGGTTCTCACTTCCCAACAGGAGGCCTTTGCTAAGAGGCCTTGAGTGTGCCCAGTCCCCAGAGTGGGGATTCTGTGGGAGTCTAAGGCCATGCCTGGACACACTGTGGGCATCAGCGTTTGACAGTGGCAGGGCTGGAATGTGGCAGCTCGTGTCTCCACCCAGCACATGCTGCCAGCCTGGCACCCCTCCTCTTGTCAGGACAGATTGCCATTCTGAGTGGTGACCTATCTCTGCCAGGCCTGAGGTATACCTCTGCTGGCATCACCAGGTCCCCTGGCACTAACCCAGCTTCTGGTGTCGCTGGCCTCCGAGTTCTCCACCTGCAGCCCCAGCCCCCACACCCCCAGAGCCTGGGTCCCTGCAGATGTTCCTTGGGAGGGTAGGTGGGGTCCCTGCCCCTGCCAGTCCAGAGCAGTGCACAGGGGTAGACTCTGGGCCTCTGAAGTATGTTGCTTTCCGTTGCAGCCCTCACCTGAATCACAGTTACGCGGTGCTGTAAAATGCTGTGTTTCCATCTGTGATTCTACTGCATGGCCCCATGCACGCTCAGCAGAGGGTGGCTCCCTGCCTCGCTGCCCCGTCCGCTGTCTCTCTCTGATTCTACAGCATGGCCCCGTGCACATTCTGCAGAGGGCAGCGCCCTGCCCCGCTGCCCCATCCACCGTCTCTCTCTCCACCAGCATCACCGGGTGGCTGCGGTATGTCCTGGGGCTGTCACAAAGCACTGCAAACGGGGTGCCTGCACCAGCAGACGCTTCTGGTCTCCCAGTTCTGGGGGTCTGGAATCGGGTGCTGACAGGCTTCCTGGGAAGCTGCTGGACGGAACGGTCTGGCCACACTGTGGCTCACCTTCTCCAGTTCACACTGTCTTTCCTCTGCGTGTGTCTGCTGCCATCCAGTTCCCATTTTCATAAAGACGCCAGTCACTGGAGCAGCCCCCACCCCCCGAAACTACCTTGGCCCAACCAGTCATCTGCAAAGACTCTATTTCCAAGTCAGGTCACATCCACAGGTGCAGGGGTTGGGCTTGAACCTATGTGGGGGATAGATCCAACCCTCAGCACCTGGCTCCCTACTTGGTGCCTGTGGAATCCATTCCCTCCATTCTCCCGCCTGTGGCTCGGCCTTGTTTCGGCCCTGAGCTGTCACCTGCTCTCTGGTAGGTGAACCCTCTGTGGCCCCCCTGTACCCCCACTCCACACCTGGACCTCTGTTTCTCAAGGAGCCCCAGCCCGGCCCTTGGTGGCCTAGCCCTCATCCATGCTGCCCCTCCCTCTGGCCGGCACTGAGCTCAGGATGGGTCCCTGGGCCAGCAGCATGTGGCCTTGCATTGTGGCCACTGGAGGGTGCCCACGCTATGTGGCACCTGCAGGGAGCGGGTATGTCTAAGAAGTGACTGCCCAGGCCCAGTGGCTGCAGCCCCTGACCCCAGGGGAGGTGAGAGTCCAGGTCAGGATCAGGATCAGGGTGAGGGACGCTGTGTTGTGGAGACCAGGGAAGACATGGAATAAAGACTCCTGCTTAGGCGGCCATTTGACTGCCAGGCGCGGCCTGCTGTCCAGCAGCCTCATGCGTGGACCCTTCCGGAGCACGCTGTGGTACAGGCCCCCACATCTGTTCTTCTGCAGAGGGAAACAGGCTCCACTGTCGCTGCTGCGTCCACAGGGCCCGTTGCGTGGACGGGGTTGGAATCTGTGTAGCTGTTTAATCCGGAGAAATCTCTTCCCAGCAAAGTCCTGTGGCCCAGGGCGGCACGGGCTTGGCAGCACAGCGGGAAGTTCGGCAGCATTGAGTGGCGCTGTGCCTTCGGCTGCACGTGTCAGCTTCGAGTCCCACAGGGATTGACAGGACAAGACGTGGCCACGCCGGGCACCAGGAGCAGCGGCTGTGGCTTGCTCTGCGTCCCCTTGCTTCCAGCCTGCAGAGCTGGGCGGGGAAAGGTTAGCAGTGTTACAAAGGGCGCCGGGCTGCACTGTTTATTTACAAAATACAGATTGTTGCTAGGGCAGGTTCCGGCGTGGCTGCGGTGCTCATGACAGCTTGAGCCCAAAACTTCCAGAGGGCCGGCGGTTTGCAGGATGAAAGGGAGATGTTTACTCTGCTTCTCTTGCTTTTGATTGCTCACTGGAACATAAAACACTACTGGGGTAAAATTAAATGTGAAAGTAAAAGCAGAGAAAGTTGAGAACAGGGTGCTCGGTGTCACCTCTATCCCAGGCTCCCCGCCAGCTCAGGGAGGGTTACCCAGGTGGGTGAAGGGCAGTGGCTAGCTAGGTCAGCCTGGGCAAAACGTGGCCAACTTAAGGTCACCGGCATCATTGCTGTGGGTGATGAGTGCCCCGGGAGGACGACCCAAGCTCACACGCAGAGCTTGGACCTCACTGGCCAACGCGCAGCTGAGGGGCAGCAGCGCACCACGGCGTGCGGTGAAAGATCTGCTTCAACCCGGTTCTTGTGCAAAACGCTTTGTGTCCCAGGGAACTGTCCGGAAGAGTCGCTGCCCCAGAATCTGGGGTCCGCTGGCAGCTGAACGCTTTTGTTCCTGGGCTGATGCCTTCAGGGCAGCTCCCTGGCCCCGGCGCCGCCAGGTTTGGGAACCGGCTCGGGGACGGGCTTGGGCAGCCCCTTGGGGTTTGCCTGGCAGGGTCAGGCTCAGGACAGCCCTGAACTCCTCCACATGGAGGTCACCGGGTCCCGGTTAGGGCCACTGTGTCCCCAGGCTGTCTGCTGGTGGCCCCCCGCACCGTCTCCCTGGCGGTGGGCTTGTGTGTGCCATGCCTGAAGGGTTGAGGCTGCTGCCAGCTGTGGTGGCCGAGGGCCTGGGTGGGTCTCCTCAGCCTGAGCCTCACCTGCTGCCCAGGCAGAGGCCCCGCCTGGCCCCACCCTCCCCGCCTGCCGGTTTCCAGTGAAGGAAGTGCTGCTCCAGCTCCGCAGAGGAAGGGGCTGCCCCCCGGCCACTGCACAGCTTCCTGCCCCAACTCATTGTCCTCAGCTGCCACCCACTAGCCTCCCAAGGCTCTGGATGTGCTCCCTGTTGCCCCAGCAACCACACAAATAGTGCCGCGTCCCCGGCTCAGCCTGCAGGGAGTGGGTGCGGGAGACAGCGGCCAGGAGGCAGGCTCGGTCACTCGATGTCACCAGCTGCACAGGGAGCCCTGCGCCTGGCCCCGGTGACCTACCCCCTGGACGGCCGCTGCAGCCTCACTCCCCAGCCAGGCGGGCCCACTGCAGCCCTCTCCTCTAGCATGCCGGGGTCAGAGTGGCCACTGCAGGCGTCCGATCAGTCCTGGCCCCATGTGAGTCCCCCAAGGCCTGGCTGGCCCCCTGCGCCACCGTCCAGCTCCCCCTCGCCCTGGCCTGGGCAGCAGCTCCCCAGTCCCATCCCCTTGACATCCAGATTGTTCTTGTCTTCCTTGTGGCCAGGTCTGTACCCTCGGAGCCTCCTCCCCAGCTCATGCCCACAAGCACCGGGGCCCGGGGCCACGTGGGTGCCTGGAGGGTGCAGAGTGTGCGGCCCGCCCGCCGAGGGCTCCGGCACCTGTGTTTGGGTTTCAGTTGGAAGCAGCTTCACACTTGGGCTTCCTGGACATTGCAGTGTATTTCTTACGGGACCCTTGTCAGGGAAGGGCCACCGCGCAGAAACCCCAGCCCCACGCCCCAAGGTGGTGCCAGGAAGAGCCTGAGTGTGATCCCAGCAGCGCGGCCATGACCAAAGAGGGGCTGGGTTGGGAGGGATGGAGCCCCTGGCCCGGCACAGGACCCACCTGCTGGCAGCCTTCCTTCTGCTGAAATTCCTGCAGGGTCTTTTGCCCCTGGTGCCAAGGAGGGCAGCACTGTGTCCCGAGGGCAGGTGGCCTGTGTCTCTATGCCAAACTCAGGCCACACTGTGAGGGCTGCTGGGTCGCCCTGCGGAGATGTCCGTCAACCCTGAACTCTTGGCTAGAAGGCAGCCCAGGGGCCAGGCAGGGTGACGGGAGGCCCCGTGCTCCACCCCATCTGTTTGGTTGCCATGGGGAGGCTGTGTTGGTCCCAGGGCAAGAGGAGGAGAAAGCCAGGATCTGAGGGTGGGAGCGGCCATCCCAGTCATGGGGAGCCAGCTTCTGCTGGCTCCAGGGGACAAAGGCGCTCTCCCCAGGGCCCCTGCAGCCAGGCTCCGAGCCACGGGGCCCAAGATAGAGGCCCAGGGTCCCTGAGTGAGCTATCTGGGGTCCTTGAAAGAGTCTGGGGGTCCCTAAGAGAGTCTAGGGGTCCCTGAGCAGGTTGGGGGTCTCTTAGCAAGTCTGGAGCCCCTGAGAGAGTCTGGGGGGCCCTGAGTCGGGGATCCCTGATGAGTCTTCAGGGGGGCCTTAAGTGAGCCATCTAGGGTCTAGAGGAAGTCTGGGGGCGTCCCTGAGCGAGCTGTGTGGGGTCTAGAGGGAATCTGGGGGGGTCCCTGAGCGAGCTGTGTAGGATCTAGAGGGAGTCCGGGGGGTCCTTGAGCGAGCTGTGTGGGGTCTAGAGGGAGTCTGGAGGGGGGTCCCTGAGTGAGCCGTCTGGGGTCTAGAGGGAGTCTGGGGGCGTCCCTGAGCGAGCTGTGTGGGGTCTAGAGGAAGTCCGGGGGCGGTCCCTGAGTGAGCTGTCTGGGGTCTAGAAGGAGTCTGGGGCGTCCCTGAGTGAGCCGTCTGGGGTCTAGAGGGAGTCTGTGAACATCCCTGAGTGAGCTGTGTGGGTCTAGAGGGAGTCTGGGGGGGTCCCTGAGTGAGCCGTCTGGGGTCTAGAGGGAGTCTGGGGTGTCCCTGAGTGAGCCGTCTGGGGTCTAGAGGGAGTCTGGGGGGTGGGGTCCCTGAGCGAGCCGTCTGGGGTCTAGAGGGAGTCTGGGGCGTCCCTGAGTGAGTCGTCTGGGGTCTAGAGGGAGTCTGGGGGCGTCCCTGAGCGAGCTGTGTGGGGTCTAGAGGGAGTCTGGGGGGTGGGGTCCCTGAGCGAGCCGTCTGGGGTCTAGAGGGAGTCTGGGGCGTCCCTGAGTGAGCCGTCTGGGGTCTAGAGGGAGTCTGGGGGCGTCCCTGAGCGAGCTGTGTGGGGTCTAGAGGGAGTCTGGGGGGTGGGGTCCCTGAGCGAGCCGTCTGGGGTCTAGAGGGAGTCTGGGGCGTCCCTGAGTGAGCCGTCTGGGGTCTAGAGGGAGTCTGGGGGCGTCCCTGAGCGAGCTGTGTGGGGTCTAGAGGGAGTCTGGGGGGTGGGGTCCCTGAGCGAGCCCTCTGGGGTCTAGAGGGAGTCTGGGGGCGTCCCTGAGCAAGCTGTGTGGGGTCTAGAGGGAGTCTGGGGGGGTCCCTGAGCAAGCTGTGTGGGGTCTAGAGGGAGTCTGGGGGGGTCCCTGAGCAAGCTGTGTGGGGTCTAGAGGGTGTCTGGGGGGGGTCCCTGAGCGAGCTGTGTGGGGTCTAGAGGGAGTCTGGGGGGGGTCCCTGAGTGAGCTGTGTGGGGTCTAGAGGGAGTCTGGGGGGGGTCCCTGAGCGAGCTGTGTGGGGTCTAGAGGGAGTCTGGGGGGTGTGGTCCCTGAGCGAGCCGTCTGGGGTCTAGAGGGAGTCTGGGGGCATCCCTGAGCAAGCTGTGTGGGGTCTAGAGGGAGTCTGGGGGGGTCCCTGAGCGAGCTGTGTGGGGTCTAGAGGGAGTCTGGGGGGGGTCCCTGAGCGAGCCATCTGGGGTCTAGAGGGAGTCTGGGGGGTCCCTGAGCGAGCTGTGTGGGGTCTAGAGGGTGTCTGGGGGTCCCTGAGCGAGCTGTGTGGGGTCTAGAGGGAGTCTGGGGGGTCCCTGAGCGAGCCGTCTGGGGTCTAGAGGGAGTGAGTAGGTTGTGCAGCTCCCTCCCTCTTCTCCCTGCTCCTGCTGAGTCTGTGCTTCTCTCCCGGTGCTTGCTTCCCCAGGGCTGTAGGGGCTGCATCTGGCCATGTTTACACCTGGGCATCCCTCCTGCAGCCCTGCTCTTTCCCTCAGGTGTAAAGGGTTTTGAGGTCACTGTGCTTGGCTGGCCTGGCTGAGCCTCTGGGGGTACAGAGCCTTCTGTGGGGAGTTTGCCTGCGTCCAACAGGGATAAACCAAAAGGGTTGTGGGGACAGCCATCCGGGTCCCCACCCCTGCTGGGCACACGGCTGTGTGTGCAAGGCTGTTGAGCAGCCTCACCTCCTCTGGGCCTGGGGGGAGCAGGGCCAGGTGTGCAGGGCTGGAGAGCAGTGCCAGGTGTGCAGGGCTGTGTGTGCAGGACTGGGTAAGCAGGGCCAAGTGAGCTGGGCGAAGGTGAGCAGGGAATGCAGGGCTCAGGTGTGCAGGGCTTGAGTGAGCAGGGACAGGTGAGCAGGGACAGATGTGCAGGGCTGGGTGAGCAGGGCTCAGGTGAGCAGGGAGTGCAGGGCTCAGGTGTGCAGGGCTTGGGTGTGCAGGGCTCAGGTGAGCAGAGCCAGGTGAGCAGGGCCGGTGTGCAGGGCTCAGGTGAGCAAGGCTGGGTGTGCAGGGCTCAGATCAGCAGGGCTAGGTGTGCAGGGCTGAGGTGAGCAGGGCTGGGTGTGCAGGGCTGGGTGAGCAGGGCTGGGTGAGCAGGGCTGGGTGAGAAGGGCTGTGTGTGCAGGGCTGGGTGAGCAGGGCTGTGTGTGCAGGGCTGGGTGAGCAGGGCTGGGTGAGCAGGGCTGTGTGTGCAGGGCTGTGTGTGCAGGGCTGGGTGAGCAGGGCTGTGTGTGCAGGGCTGGGTGAGCAGGGCTGTGTGTGCAGGGCTGGGTGAGCAGGGCTGGGTGAGCAGGGCTGTGTGAGCAGGGCTATGTGTGCAGGGCTGTGTGTGCAGGGCTGGGTGAGCAGGGCTGTGTGTGCAGGGCTGGGTGAGCAGGGCTGGGTGAGCAGGGCTATGTGTGCAGGGCTGGGTATGCAGGGCTGTGTGTGCAGGGCTGGGTGAGCAGGGCTGGGTGAGCAGGGCTATGTGTGCAGGGCTGTGTGTGCAGGGCTGTGTGAGCAGGGCTGTGTTTGCAGGGCTGTGTGTGCAGGGCTGGGTGAGCAGGGCTGGGAGAGCAGGGCTGTGTGTGCAGGGCTGGGTGAGCAGGGCTGGGTGTGCAGGGCTGGGTGAGCAGGGCTGGGTGAGCAGGGCTGGGTGAGCAGGGCTGTGTGTGCAGGGCTGGGTGAGCAGGGCTGTGTGTGCAGGGCTGTGTGTGCAGGGCTGTGTGTGCAGGGCTGGGTGAGCAGGGCTGGGTGAGCAGGGCTGGGAGAGCAGGGCTGTGTGTGCAGGGCTGGGTGAGCAGGGCTGTGTGTGCAGGGCTGGGTGAGCAGGGCTGTGTGTGCAGGGCTGGGTGAGCAGGGCTGTGTGTGCAGGGCTGGGTGAGCAGGGCTGGGTGAGCAGGGCTGGGAGAGCAGGGCTGTGTGTGCAGGGCTGGGTGAGCAGGGCTGTGTGTGCAGGGCTGGGTGAGCAGGGCTGTGTGTGCAGGGCTGTGTGTGCAGGGCTGGGAGAGCAGGGCTGGGAGAGCAGGGCTGTGTGTGCAGGGCTGGATGAGCAGGGCTGTGTGAGCAGGGCTATGTGTGCAGGGCTGTGTGTGCAGGGCTGGGTGAGCAGGGCTGTGTGTGCAGGGCTGGGTGAGCAGGGCTGGGTGAGCAGGGCTGGGAGAGCAGGGCTGATCTTCGTCCTCGCCGCCTCTGGGCTCGTGGGCCTCAAGGGGATGCCTCGAGCCAGGCTGACAGGACCCGGGCCAGGTTCTTCCTTGACGTGCCAGGTGGCTGGGGGGATTTTCCTTTTCCACCTCGTCTTTCACCTGATCGCCTGCTGCATCGACCCCGCTGACCCCAACGTGAGACTCAGGAAGGACTATTCTCAGCCCATGCCCATCTTCGACAGATCCAAACACGCACACGTGATCCAGAACCACTACTGCCACCTGTGCAAGGTCACCGTGTGAGTTCCCGCCCTCGCTGAGGCCCCTCGGTGTCGGGGTCAGCTCCAGGGGTGCGGGGGCTCAGGGAACTGCCGGCCCTCAGGTTCCCTGCCACGGCTGCAGCCGGCGCTGATGGGGTTTCCGGGGAGTAGCCCTGGCCACAGTCTGGCTGAGGTGAGCAGCCCCTAGTCCCCTGTGAAGGGGACACAGGGCTGGGCCGCCCCCACTCTGCAGGCAGGGCTGAGGCTGGAGGGCTGTGCCTGCACTCAGGCACGGTTGATCCCAGGGGATTTTGTGCACACGGGCCCCTCCCCAGGGGTCCAGGGGCAAGAGAGCGCTATTGTTCTTGGGGATTTTCAAGACAAGCCCTAAGGAAAGAGGGAGGCTGGACCCCATGTCCCCAGGGGTCCTGGGCATCCGTGGTGGCCTTGGGGGCAGCTGTCGGCTGCAAGGGGGGCCTGTAGGCACAGGTGGAATCCAAGCCCCCACTCAGCTCCGGGCCCCGCTACGATCAGGGCGGCCGCACCCAGTGCAGACACACCTCCTCCTGCTCTGTGGCTGCCCCGTCCAGAGCTGGCCTGCTTCTCCTCCTCCCCACGGGCCTCGGCACCTTCCCCCAGCCTCCTGTCCCCACCGGACGCCCCGTCCCCAGGCCACACAGGCCTGGTTCCCTCGAGGTGCCTGGCCCTGGTGATGGGGCTGCAGCCCTGCCCCAGGCTTTGGGCCTGACGGCCGCTCCCCGATTCTTCCCTCCAGGACCAAGAAAGCCAAGCACTGCATCGCCTGCAACAAGTGTGTGTCAGGCTTCGACCACCACTGCAAACTGCTCAACAACTGCGTGGGGAACCGGAACTACTGGTGAGGCCGGGCGGGGGGATTCGGAGGCAGGGGTCCTCTCGGGGCCGCGTCCCTGTCCTGGCAGGCTGGCGCTCCATGCCTGCATGCCCCGGCCTCCCGTCTGGTTCTGGGGCTGTGACGCAGCCGTCCCTGGACAGGCTCGTCTGCAGAGGAAGTCCCTGGAGGCCCCCATGTGGCACCGCTGGGCCACACTGGCTGAGGTGGCCTGCCCGCACTGTCCTGGGCCGGGCTGCCTTCTCTCTGCCAAGGCTGCTGGCTTGTGGAGCACAGTGGTGGGACCACGGAGGGGCAGTGGGCAGCCGGCGCATGGAAGAGAGGTGTTTCCCTGAGCATTGTGGAGGATCCAGGGACTCTCAAGGCCCCATGTTCTGAGCCCCGGCTGTCCGTGGCACTTTGAGTTGTGAAGATCACCAGGGAAAAGAACCATGTGTGCCCCCCGCTACTCTGTGCTGAGCTGAAGGAGGCCTTGGTGTGGGCAGGAATGGGGACCATCGCTGTCTGGTGTCACGGGACGCACCGTGGGGTCCCTGCCCTGTCTCCCTGCCCTCCTGCCTTGAGCACACATTGTGTCCAGAGTGGCTGAGCAGCCCAGCAAGGGCAGAGAGACTGTGCCACTGCAGAGCAAGGCCAGAGGCCACGTGAGGGGGGAAGGGCCGGGGAGACCCACCCGCCTCCCCCTGGAGAAGAGCAGCTCTGGCGGCCACGGTCGGGCCCGCTCCTCTGGGAGCCCCGGGCACCGCTTCCTTCTGGACTCTGTGCTCTGGTGCCTCGAGCTGGCTTGTCCGTTAGGCCTGGTGGGGAAGGTGGGGGCGAGGGCCCACAGGCAGGTTGGGAGAGGGCCCTGCCTTCCCCAGGAGGGGTGAGGGAGCGGCGCTGTGTGGGCGCCTGGTGCAGGCAGGTGCTGCAGCCTGTGCATGGGAAAGGGGCGTCAGGAGAGCAGGGCTGGGGGCACAGGTGCCCTCTGGCCCAGGAAGTTGACGGAGGTGACGGCAGAGCCCCTGAGAGGGAGGCTGTGCGCTGCTCCCTGGTGCGAGAGGAAGGCAGATGGAGAGGAGGAGGAGGCGGCCCCGGTGTCCTGGGAAGACCGTGGGTGTGACCTGCTGCCGAGGAGAGCGGCCCTGGGTGCCAGTGGGAAGAGGAGCCCTGCGTGAATAGCTCTGCCCGGCCCCGTGGGCTTTGGGCTCTGAGGTCTTGGAGACCCACCTTTTTTTAATTGGATGAAGAGGGGAGTCCTGTACAGACCGTAGGGTGAAGATGAGGGGTCTTTACTCTCCGAGTGGGCTCAGGCCCTGGGGGACTGGGGACAGGGTGGGGCACCGCTGCCTGGAGGGGTTGAAACAAAAGTCAGGCATGAAAGGCCTCGCCAGTCCTCCGCCCTGCGCGGCCACATCCAGGCCAGGGAAGTGAGGCTCCGACAGGGCCACTAAGTGCTGGGGTCACAGCGCCTGTGCGGCCACATCCAGGCCAGGATACCAGGCTCGGCACTGACCGGAGAGCATGTTGGCGACATCAGGGGCCGGCACGGCAGGAAGGAGTGCTCGGGACCATCCGCCTGGTCGCCGCTGTGGGAGGGAAGCCAGCGAGAGGGAGCGGGTGTCAGGGAGCCCCTGAGCCCCTCACGCCTGGAGCCGCCCAGCCCTGGGATCTTCTGGAAGACGCTCAAGACTCTTGGAGGGAGGAGCAGTGCCTCAGAAGACTGCGGGATTCATACTCTGGCCTCCAGCTGAAAACATGAAAAGGAATTTCACAAGTTGAAGTGAACAGGATACACAGGCCGAAGTTAAAGGAGATTAGAGGAAACTTTAAATAAAATATCATATTGGTGGCAAGACCAAAGGAGGATGTGGATGAAGATGTTCCAGGAACCACTGCGGAGAACTGGATGTTCTGGGTGGATCGTTCTCGGCGTCTTTTGAGCAAAGACGAGAGACTGGGGTGGTTTTGGGTCCAGAGCCTGGCTGTGGCTTTTGGCTCAAATGTGCACAGGACCCTTGGAGGAGGAGGCTGGGGCCGAGGCATGGCTGGGCTCCTCCACGGCCTCCTCAGCCCAAGTTCCCTTTGGGTGCAGAGATCCAGATCCCTGAGCCCGCAGGCCCATGGTGTGCCTGCCCTCCTGGGTGCCCACAGGCCCTCCTGGGTGCCACGTGGCTCTCGTGGCCCTCACCTTCCCTGGCTTCGGTGCCCTTGCCTTGAGAGGTGCCGTGAGACCCCGACACAGACCAAGCTCAGGGCCCCCAAGTGGACCCAGCCCACGTGCTCCTTGGCTGGGAGGGAGCCCCTGTCTGAATGAGGTGGGGTGGAGGGGTGCAGGCAGAGGCCCCGGAGCTGTGATGCTGGGGATGCGTGTGACCCTCACGCTCCGCTGGCCGGGTGGGCTTGGTCGAGTCACACTGTGCCTCTGGCCTCAGTTTCCTCACTTTTGAGAAGGGCTGGTTCCCCCTCTTCACAACCTCTTTGTTCCTTGTGGGGATTAAATGAAATCACGTTTGCAAGAAACGCTGCGTGAATTGTCAGGCGGTGCGAGACGGTGAGAGTGGGCCACGGCCGTCCCTCCCCGAGAGGCCTGGAGACCCTGGGGAGCGTCACAGGATGGGACTGAGACGGGAGCCTGAGCTTCCAGTGTGGTTGAGAGTGGAGTTTGGGGCCAGCGTCGGGCCTCGGCCAGGCACCTTCTCTCAGTGGACGCCCGCACTGACCTGTCACCTCCACCGTGCAGGCCCCAGATGCCCCCCGTGCTGCCCCCGGTGCCCACCCCCACCTGCCCCTGTGTACCCCGCCTCACGCGCCTTCACCTGCCCCAGCTCCCCCCATGCCTTTCCCTGTGTACCCCGCCCCCACGCGCCCTCGCCTGCCCCCCATGCCTGCCCCTGTGTACCCCTCCCCCACGCGCCCTCGCCTGCCCCAGCGCCCCCCATGCCTGCCCCTGTGTACCCCACCCCCACGTGCCCTCACCTGCCCCAGCGCCCCCCATGCCTGCCCCTGTGTGCCCCGCCCCCACGCACCCTCGCCTGCCCCCCATGCCTGCCCCTGTGTGCCCCGCCCCCACGCGCCCTCGCCTGCGCCCCATGCCTGCCTGTGTGTCTGCTTGCAGGTTCTTCTTCAGCACCGTGGCCTCGGCCGTAGCCGGCCTGCTCTGCGTGATCGCCGTCCTGCTGTACGTCCTCATCCAGTACTTCGTGAACCCCTGGGCGCTCCGCACAGACCCCAAGTATGAAGGTACGTGGCTGCCGCTCCTGGCGTGGCCTCTGCCAGGGCTGCCGTGAGCCGACTTGGCCACAGCCTCGTCTCCAGTCGTCTTTCCAAGTGGCAGTATCGGTCTGGGGGTGGTTGGTCCCGTTTGGCCCAGGGAGAGGCTGGGGTGGGCAGCCCCAGGCAGACTCTGACCTGGGCCAAAGGCAGCAGCCCAGGCCCACGCAGCCCAGCAGCCCCCAGTGCCCCGGAGGCAGGCTCGGGATGGCGCTGGCCACGCTGCTCTGTGGGTGCTGCCGCTGCTGCCGGGCCTCCACAGTCAGACCTACAGCACCTGCTGGCATCCCTGTGGGATGTGGGAGGGCGGTGCCTGTCCTGCGCAGGTCACTACTGCCCTGGCCTCCACAGTCAGCTCTGCAGCGCCTGCCATGCCTTCCCTGTGGGCCACGTGGCGGTGGGTGAGGGGCGTGCCCGTCCTTCAGGAGCAGCCGGAGGGGAGGGGAGAGCGGAGGTGGGACGGGGGTAGGGCTGGGGGTGGGGGCTGTAGGCTGTGGGGGGCTTAGGCTCTTAGGAACTGTTCCCTGCACTCAGCCACAGGAGAGACGTGGCAGCAGTGGACTCTGGGCTCCAGAGTCAAGTCCACACCGAACCCAGATCCCACGATGCCACCGTCCTGGGAAACGTGTCTGTGGCCGTGACTTAAGATTTGAGGTCGGAGGATTGAGCTGGGTTGTCCCAGGGGCCCAAGTCTAGACACGAGTGTGCTTATAAGAGAAAGGAGAGACGCAGAGGGAGGCAGCCCTGTGAGGACAGAGGCACGGTGGAGTGAGACGGCCACAGCCCAGGGTGGCCAGAGCCACAGGAGCTGGCAGCGGTGGGAGGACCTCCCTGGAGCGTCCGGAGGCAGCGCCTGGCTGGCAGCAGGATGTCAGAGCCCTGCGTGGGACCGCAAGCGCCTGCCGTGGAAGCTGCCCAGCCCCCACACCCCCGCCACTTGACGTACTCTTGGCTGTGGCGCCGGGACCCTGACCAGGAGGACCCGGGCCAGGCAGCCCTCGGGGTGTGGGTCGAGGCTGCCAGTCTCAGCTCCAGGTTTGGCTGTGCCCACACTGCACATGGCCCGGGTGTTGAGAGAGGCAGAACTCACCTGGCCCTTGTTCTAGAACATTCTGGAGCCAACACAGTGCAATGTTTTTTTCAAGGATGAGCTTTGCCAGCTCCCTAGTAAAGGCCCTGAAGCTCCTCCATCCACCTTGAAGCATGATGGGCGCTGCCAGGGCCTCACAGGCGCCCCGAAGCACTTTCTGAAAGCCAGCTCCGCCCTGGTGAGCCCTGAGCTCAGCGGCCTTGAGCCCTTCCTCCCTCTACGGCACTCACCTTCCCCGGCAGCCTCTGCGCTGTCTGGGTGCTCACTCCAGGGGATGCCAGGTGACGGAGAGGGCACAGGCAGCTGGAGCGGCCGCACTGGCTTCTCTCCTGGAACACGCTACTTCTGCGTGGCAGGGCAGGGGCTCCGGTGAGTTCGTGGACCGTGGGTGGAGCCATTTCCTGGGTTTGCTGTTCTGGAAGATTCTGCAGGGCTTCAAAGCCAGCGGGGCCCCGAGCCACGCAGCTCCTCGCTCTCGTGGGCTGAACTCATCGTGACATCGCTGGCTAAGGGGGCAGCATGGGTCCAGCCTGGTGGTGCACATGCAGCCGCAGCCTGTCGTGCTGAGTGTGGCATTTGCTTCTAGGATGGCCCCCAAGGCCGCCAGTTCCAGGCAGCGCCCATCACCCAGACACATCCAGGCTGAATCCACCCTCTGCCACCCTCCCTCGCACAGCCCCTCAGCATCTTTCTCTCGCCTGATTTTTGGAAGTGTTGTTTTGGGTGTTGGCAACCCCAGGTCACAGAGGACCGCATCTTAGAAATGCCCCCAGGCGAGAGCCCTGGCTTTCCTGTTCTATTTGAAGGCGGCTGTTTTAGGGTGCAGAGGGTCCAGGGAGGCAGTGTGGCCAGTGAAGAAGGGGTGGATGCTGGGTCTCGTGGAGCCGGCAGGCATGGTGACCCCTGCAGTTAGTGACCCTGTTGCAGCCTTGCCTCTGGATCTGTAAAGCTGGGATCATAAACACCACCCGCAGGCAGCGGGGCCTGAGGGGCACTCAGGTAAGGGAGGCATCCACCTGGGCAGGGACAGAGTCCGAGCACCTGTAGTCCCAGCTACTCGGGAGGCTGTCTGCACACTGCCCCATCCCCAGCCAGCCCTGGTCTGCGACGCCCACCCAGTGCGGTGCCCATCGGCAGGTGCCGGACGTGCTGTCTCTCCCTTGTCTCCACAGATATCAGGAGTGCGAACACGTGGCTGCTGTTCCTCCCGCTGTTCCCAGTGAAGGTGAAGACTCAGATGGTGGCCGTCATCGGGGCGGCCGTGCTCCTGCTGGACCTGCTTGGCTTGCTCCTGCTAGGGCAGCTGCTCATGTTCCACATCTACCTGAGTACGTCCCCTGCCGCCCCGAACCCCCCGAGACCCCCGAGCCTGGGTGGTCAGAGCTACTCATCTTCCACATCTACCTGAGTACATGCCCCGCCCTGACCCCCCAACACCTGAGGCCAGATTCTTTGCCGCCTCCCCTCCGCCCGTGTTCACTTGTGTTCACGGTCAGCCTCTGCCAGAAATGAGATCATGGGCAAAAAGGGCAAATCACAGGAAGAAATGAAATCTGTGAGGCCCAGCAGACCCAGCAAGGGGCTGAACTCACACCCGAGCCCTCAGGAGTGGTGCCGGGTGCTTGAAGCAACAAGTTTAAAATGTTCAGAGACAAAGGAGTGGTATCTATTAGGCAAGAACAGGACATAATGAAATAAGAACAGGTGGACTTGGAAGAGCACCATGTAGAAATTCCAACAACAGAAAGTACTGCGGGCAGGTCGCCCACTAACCACACAAGAGAGGCAAGGGCTGGCAGTCCTGCTGAGTCTCACGCGGGCACAGCCGCAGGTGATGGAGGTGAGAGCTGGCAGTCCTGCTGAGTCTCACAGCAGGCACAGTGGCGGGTGGTGGAGGTGAGAGCTGGTGGTCCTGCTGAGTCTCACGCGGGCACAGCGGCAGGTGATGGAGGTGAGAGCTGGCGGTCCTGCTGAGTCTCACGGTGGGCACAGCGGCGGATGGCAGAGGTGAGAGCTGATGGTCCTGCTGAGTCTCATGCGGGCATAGCGGCGGGTGGCAGAGGTGAGAGCTGGTGGTCCTGCTGAGTCTCACGTGGGCACAGCGGCGGGTGGCAGAGGTGAGAGCTGGCGGTCCTGCTGAGTCTCACGTGGGCACAGTGGTGGGTGGCAGAGGTGAGAGCTGGCAGTCCTGCTGAGTCTCACGGTGGGCACAGCGGCGGGTGATGGAGCTGAGAGCTGGCGGTCCTGCTGAGTCTCATGCGGGCATAGCGGCGGGTGGCAGAGGTGAGAGCTGGTGGTCCTGCTGAGTCTCACGTGGGCACAGCGGCGGGTGGCAGAGGTGAGAGCTGGCGGTCCTGCTGAGTCTCACGTGGGCACAGTGGCGGGTGGCAGAGGTGAGAGCTGGTGGTCCTGCTGAGTCTCACGTGGGCACAGCGGCGGGTGGCAGAGGTGAGAGCTGGCGGTCCTGCTGAGTCTCACGTGGGCACAGTGGTGGGTGGCAGAGGTGAGAGCTGGTGGTCCTGCTGAGTCTTACAGCAGGTACAGTGGCAGATGATGGAGGTGAGAGCTGGCGGTCCTGCTGAGTCTCACATGGGCACAGTGGCGGGTGGCAGAGGTGAGAGCTGGCGGTCCTGCTGAGTCTCATGGCGGGCACAGCGGTGGGTGGCAGAAGTGAGAGCTGGCAGTCCTGCTGAGTCTCACGGGCACAGTGGCAGGTGGTTGAGGTGAGAGCTGGCGGTCCTGCTGCATCTTGTCTCACCTCGGGCACAGTGGCAGGCAGTCAGTTATGTTGCTGAATGAGGTAGGGCAACCTCCTCCCCACCCCCAAGGAAGCCTGTTGTTGGAAGAAGCAGCCACCCGCCTCCTCCCGGCACCAGCTGTTCGGTCATGGCGGGCCAGTCGTACAGTGTCTTTCATTCTCTGGGCAGTGGCTGCCCCGGGCTGTGGCATCTCAGGGGGTGTCTCTGGGCACGGGCAGCAGTGTGTCCAGGCCCAGCCCCCGATAATACCCTGTTCCTGACAGCCTGGCCAGCCCCAGGTCAGAGCAGAGGGAGCGGGGTGGGCTCACCTGGACCACTCCATCTCCGGGATAGCCCCGGCCTGCGGCTGTGGCGAGAAGGCCCAGCTCAGAATGAGCATGCCCCACTAAGAGGCTCCTATTCAAACCACAGTCACTGTTGTCTTGCCTGAGGCTTGAATTGTTTCTTAATGAAAGTGTGGTGGGCCAGGCGCAGTGGTGCCCGCCTGTAATCCCAGCACTTTGAGAGGCCAGTGCGGGGGGTCACGAAGGCAGGAAATCAAGATCAGCCAGGCCAACATGGTGCAACCCCATCTCTACTAAAAATACAAAAATTAGCTGGGCATGGTGATGTGTGCCTATCGTCCCAGCTACTGGGGGTGGGAGGCTGAGGCAGGAGGATCGCTTGAACCCGGGGGCAGAGGTTGCAGTGAGCCGAGATCGCACCACTGCACTCCAGCCTGGGCGACAGAACAAGGCTCCGTCTCGGAAAAAAAAAGGGAGAAAGTGCAGTGAAGTTGAATGGAAGAAACCCTGCGGACGCAGTGCTGAGCGTGATGCTGTCAGAGTTCTAGTTCCGGCTGTCAAGGCCCGGGCCTGCATCGAGCAGGTGCCTGGGGTATGTTTACTGAACGGAATGGAACGGAAGCCTCAGCCGTGACTTCACGGAGAGGCACGGGCCGCCCCCTCCTACAGCTTAAACCCTTCAGCATGAGGGTTGTTTGGACCTCCTTCCAAACTCTCCACCCCTCTTAGAACCGGCAGTAGTTTTTAAAGTACTTTCTAGAATTATCTAGAAATCCCTCTGTTTAAATTTTTTGAAGGCTTTTCTGGAGTTTCACCTCCCCCGGAATTCACCATCTCTCCTTATCAGGAGGTCTGTCCCCCTCAGATGCCCAGAGCCAAGCAAGTTCCCCACAGCGCGAGACTCAGCTGGGCTCAGGCGTCCACGGGGCACATCCTGGGGCCCACGTGGTTTTTCCACTCGTGCGGCAGGTGAAGAGATGCCCAGACTGCCCAGGAATACAAAGTCTGCACTCGCCAGTTTTTTCCAACTTTGGGCACAAAACGTATTCCCAGGTTAAAATAGCGTAAATACCCACTGTGTGCCGAGTGGGGGCTGAGGCTCCTGTGGACCCGGCATGGTCACCTGCACGCTGCGGAGGGGGACAAAGACCAAGACGTGGATGCGTGTGGATGGCCTCGTGCTGCGGAGAAGCTGGCCCTCGCGTCAGGCGGTGGGGCTGGGAGGTGCGGCGGCGGGCATGGGGCAGTGAGGAGCGCCCGCCACCTCGTGCCCAACGGCCCGGAGAGAAGCCAGGGCCAGGGAGCTGGCAGGAAGCCTTCTCGGTCATCCGGACGTCATGGCAGGCTCTCAGACACGAGGAAGGGTGGGCTGGGAGCTGTCCTGGACGCAAAACCAGCGGCACTTAAAGGCCCACTGAGGTTGCCGTGAGGACGGGGCCTTCGTGGGCCCCTGGGTCCCAACCCCGTGCCTGGGAGTAGATGCTTCCGTGAGCCGAACGAGGGCCAGGGGACTTTCAGACCCCGACGGAGCCAGGGCTGAATGTGTTGATTCAAAAAGCAGAGTTCCAGGACAACGTCGGAGGATTAGGTAGTTGTGGTGAAACTGCCACACAATGTAGCTGCTCAGAACAGCACCTCGTCACCTCGGCTTCTGTCATCAGGAGGCCGGCACCTCTGAGCTGGGTCTCTGCCAGGGTCTCTGGAGAGTCGTCCACCTGGGCACCGGGCTGCGCCCTCATCGGGGGCCCGATGGGCCGTCTGCCTCCTGTTCCGTGAGGTTGAGGCAGCTGTGGAGGGCGGTCCTCGGGGCGAGGTCGCCAGTTCCCATGCAGGCTCCTGGAGGCGCTGCCTGTCCTGCATGCGTGCTCTGTTCATCTGTGGGCAGGTGTCGGGTGTGGCCCCTGCTCTGCCTGAGCACCATGGGAGACTGTGGGGAGCCGATCCGAAGCAGCTGCTCACTCAGACTCTGTTTTGAAGCTTGGAGGACAGACCTTAATGAGCCCTCAGTGCGTGTGGCGAGGACGCGATCTCCTGAGCAGGTGTGTGATGTGGGGCCGCCTTCCAGAGGTGGGTGGGAGCCGCCTGCACAGCAGACGGCAGAGAAAACCTGTTGCATGAGGTCGCGGAAGCACAGCCCTCCCCGTGCCGCCCGGCCCGCCCGGGAGCACTGGCCCCGTCTGGAGGTCCGCGGCTGCCCTGCAAGCCCTCAAGGTCACCGTGACACTCGGGTTAACTGTGTCCATGGAGCTTGCCCGCACCATGCTGCCCCCGGGAGCACGGGGCACACTGAAGATGTGCTTTTGATGGTGTTTCTGCAAACCTGGGGAAAAGAACATAAATTTTAACTGGAATATAAACAAGCATGAGGTTGTGTGCTGAAACCACGACACGTTCTAAGGGGTGTGGAGGACTAGCCAGAGCCACGTCGAGCGGCTCAGGACCTGGCCAGAGCGGAGCACCTGAAGGACTGTAGGCAACGGGGCTGTGCCGCCGCGGGCAGCTCCGCGGGGCTCCCACTGCCATCTGCTCTTCGCTGCAAATAGGCCTCTGTGGGCGGCCACCCGGCTCTCCAGGAATAGTCACGAGCCGTCGGCTCTCACAATGCTGGTGTTTCAGGAAAACAGCATGGAGAGTTTGGCCCCTCCGTGGAAGCTCGTGGCTGAAATCGGTGCAGAGCCCATTTTATTAACATTTATTAACACGGCTCTTTTAGATAAATGGGCATCTCGGATTTTGCTTTGCTTCCCTGGGCTGTTCTGCTGCACGCAGGGCCGGCCGAGTGGGTGGGGTGCTGGCCACCCCGCTGAGCTGTCTGTGGACACCGTGCAGGGCTGCAGGGTCAGTAACCTGTCTCAGCCCCATCAGAGGCTGTGCTGAGTGGCCCTTGTGGCATTTGGGTTCACCTCCTGGGCCTGGGGCTCTGAGCACCCACTGGAGTGTGTGGTCCCAGGACCCGCTGGCCAGCACCTAGGGGTGACTGCTGTACCACGTGGTCCTCTGACTTTGGGGTCTCTGTGCCTCCCCCAAAGTGTGGCCATCCATTGTCCAGATATGAGGACCCCCACAGGGCACTGGACCCTCAGACAGAACGGCCCTCCAGAGCTGGCCTCGTACCCCATCAGCAGTCCCCGGGGGATCTGGAGCAACTTCTCAGGCTGCGTGGTGTGGGGGGACCCGGGTATGAGAGGCCCCTTCTGTTCTGACCCCACTGACAGTGCAGCTCAAGAGGCCTTGGCGGGCCAGCGCCAGTCCCCAGCTAACACCTGCAGACCCCTCGCTGACCATCAGCCAGCTACAGAGCTGGGCCCCCGAGGTGCCTGTACCCGCCCTGGCCTCACAGGGCCTGCGTGGTGGGCAGAGCAGTGCTCCCTGGTGGGCAGGTGGGGCGCTGGCTGCCCTGCTGAGCTGTCGTGTGGGCGTGGTGCAAAGCGGCAGGGTGGGTGACTTGTCCTGTTCCTCCTTTCCTCTTTCTAGAGATCAAGAAGATGACCACCCTGGATTATCTCACTCAGACCCATGAAGAGGAAGAGAAGTCAAAATGCCAAGCAGAGAGGAAAGGTTCACCCGTGCAAATGGGGGAAGGATTTCTCCAGGTACCACCTGTCCCTGCTCCATTTGTCAAGGCCTGGGACACTGTCCACGTTGCTCTGTGGCTGGGAGCTCTCAGCCACGCTCCTGTGCTTCAGTGCTGGTGCAGCCCGTGGACTTTGCTGTGAGAATGTGTGTGTGTGTGTGTGTGTGTGTGTGTGTGTGTGTGTGTGTGTACCTGATGTGTCTTTGTGAACATAAATACCCAACATGCACAGATGACTTCCTAGTGCAAAAATAGTAATGGAACTGAGTTTCTTAAACATTTCTATACTTCATTGTCAATCTTCTAAAGTTGAAGTCTGCTTTTTTTTCCTCTTCACCAGCCACAGTGTTAGCACACAGAAGTATGCTTTTTGTGGGTTTTGTTTTATTTTGTTTTGAAACAGACTCTTACTCTGTTGCCCAGGCTGGAGTGAAGTGGTGAAATCTCAGCTCACTGCAGCCTCTGACTCCCGGGTTCCAACAGTTTGCCTGCCTCAGCCTCCAACTCGCTGGGGTTGCAGATCACACTACGTCCAGCTAATCTTTGTATTTTTAGTAGAGACGTGGTTTTGACATGCCAGGCTGGTCTCAAACTTCTGCCTCAAGTTATCCTCCCACCTTGGCCTCCCAAAGTGCTGGGATTACAGGCGTGAGCTGCTGTGCCTGGCCTGAAAGAATGCTTTTTATCTTAAGGTAGTTAGTTTCTTTTCCAGTTAAGTGACACAAATTATTATAACTAACTCAAGAAGACATAGAAGATCTCAATAGACATAGAACAGCCGAGAGACTGAAGTATTGATTTGAAATCTTCCAGTGAAGAAAACATTCCAGGCCCTGAAGTCTGCATGGATGAATTCTGGCAAAGATTTTAAGACAAAATGTAATACCAACTGCATACACACTCTTTCAGAAAAGGGAGACGGCTCCAACTCATTCGGCAATGCCGGTATCAACCTGACGTCAAAGCCAGATATTCATAAGCCAGTAAACTCCAGAAACACAGGCGCAGGTCACTGACGAGACCCTGGCAAACCAAACCCAGGAGCACAGGGCAGGCCCACGCACCGCAGCTGGGTGCTCTTACTCCAGGGCGCCACAGTGGCTTCAGGCCCGGATATCAGTGACTAGCTCAGCACGTTAGTACAACCGAGAGCAGTAACCATGTGACCATGCCAATCAGTGCAGAAAGGGTGTGCTACCGTCAAGTGCCCATTCATGATTTTTTTTTAAATTTATTTATTTTATTGCGTTTTAGGTTTTGGGGGTACACGTGAAGAACATGCAGGATTGTTGCATAGGTACACACATGGCAGTGTGGTTTGCTGCCTCCCTCCCCATCACCTATATCCGGCACTTCTCCCCATGCTCTCTCTCCCCAACTCTCCACCCCCCACTGTCCCTCCCCTGTTTCCCCTCAACAGACCCCAGTGTGTGACGCTCCCCTCCCTGTGTCCATGTGTCCTCATTGTTCAACACCCGCCTATGAGTGAGAACATGCGGTGTTTGATTTTCTGCTCTTGTGTCAGTTTGCTGAGAATGATGGTTTAAAGGATGTGAACAGACACTTTTCAAAAGAAGACGTACATGAGGCCAACAAACCTATGAAAAAATGCTCATCATCACTGGTCATCAGAGAAATGCAAATCAAAACCACATTGAGATACCATCTCACGCCAGTTAGAATGGCGATCATTAAAAAATCTAGAGACAACAGAAGCTGGAGAGGATGTGGAGAAACAGGAACACTTTTACACTGTTGGTGGGAGTGTAAATTAGTTCAACCATGTGGAAGACAGTGTGGCGATTCCTCAAGGACCTAGAAATAGAAATTCCATTTGACCCAGCAATCCCATTACTGGGTATATATCCAAAGGATGATAAATCGTTCTACTATAAGGACACGTGCACACGAATGTTCACTGCAGCACTGTTTACAACAGCAAAGACCTGGAACCCACCCAAATGCCCATCGATGATAGACTGGACAGGGAAAATGTGGTACATATACACCATGGAATATTATGCAGCCATCAAAAACAATGAGTTCGTGTCGTAGGGACATGGATAAACCTGGAAACCCATTCATGATTTTAAAAATCTCAGTGACCTCAGAATGATAGGAAAGCATTCTGTGTACCTGATGTCATACTTCCTGGTGAAAGGCTGAGGGCACTCTCCTCGAGGCTGGACAGGCAAGGGCATCCCTTTCCCTACTTCTGACCTAGCATGAACATTCTGGCCAGCCCAATGCCGCAGGGAAAGTGAAGGTACACAGAACATAAAGTAAAACCATGTTTATTTGCAGGCAACAAAATCCTAAAAATTATGTTTTAAAACCTAGTTAAGATAATAAAACTGCTTCACAAGGATGTGGGGCACATACTAAAATACACATTCACACATCTCTCTACACTAGCAATGAAAAATCTGGGTTATGTTTTTAAAACTTCGATTCACAATCTTATAAAAAAGAGTAAATTCAACAAACCATGTGCATATATGTACACTGAAAACTGTGCACCATGACTCACAGAAGTCGAAGACAACCTATTGAATGAAAAGGTCCACAGCAGTCATACATTGGAAAAAATACTGTTAAAAGAGCAATTTTCCCCAAAACTGATCTGCAAATTCACCACAATGCCTGCTGAACCCCAGCAGGCTTTTGTTTTAGCAGAAATGACAAGGTGGGGCTAAAATGTCTATGCAAATTTAAAATACCTAGGCTACCTACTCTACTATATTAGCCAAAACAATATTGAGAAAAAATGCAATTGGAGAGCTTACACAGCCAGACCTTCAATTGTACTATAAAGCTGCAGTAATAAAAACAGTGTGGCATTGACAAGGAGCGGGACATAGATAAAGGGACCAGAAGAAAGGTCCAAAGTTAAACCTTTCACTTACGGTCAGTTGTCTTTAAATAACAGTACTAAACTAATTAAATGGGGAGACATTATAGTTTAACAAGTGATATTAGAACAATTGGATGTCCACATGGGAAACACAAGAGAACAATTGAGTTCTTCAAACCTGTACAAAGATTGCTCAGGGTCACTTCATTCCCCACACAAAAAGTGGGCCCCAAATCTATCTGACACTTAAAAGCTGAACATAGAACACTTTTAGAAGCAAGCATAGATTGAGATCTCTGTGATCTTGAGTTAGACAAAGCTTTTCTTTGATAGGACACCAAAATCACTGCCTATGGAAGAAAAAAAATTATAGTTTTGACTCTACCAAAATTGAAAATATTTGCTCTTCGAAAGTCACCATTAAGAAAATAAAAATACAGGCACACATCAGAGATATTGCAGGTTTTGGTGTAGAATACTGCAATAAAGTGAACCTCTCAAGAAAGCAAGTCACATGAATTTCTCTGGTTGTAAAAGTTATGTTTACACCACCCCCGGGCAGCAACATTACGTCTAAAAGCAGTGTCTGTGTCTGAATTAAAAGTGCTTTCTTGCTAAAAGTGGCTTACACAGACACCTGAAGTGAGCACACGCTACCAGGAACATGGCACCGATATGCTGGGATAACGGTCACTTGCTTAACCAGGGCCACCACAAACCCTCAATTTGTTAAAAAACAAAAAAACACAGTGTCTGTGAAGTGCAGTAAAGCAAAACACAGCAAAGTGAGATGTTCGTTCCTGTGCAAGTCACAGGCAAACAAAATATTTTCAAGTCTTAGGCTGATGCCAGAACACACAAAGACACAAAGACTTTCAAAGTGCAGTTGTAAAAAAAACACCAAAAACTCAGTTTTTTAAATGGGCAACAGGGCTGGGCACAGTGACAAGCATCTATAATCTTAGTACTTTGAGAGTCCAAGCAAGAGAATTGCTTGAGGCCAGGAGTTCAAGACCTGCCTGGATAACTGAGAGATACCCCATCTCGACAAAAATAAATAAAAATACATACACACATACATACATAAAACGGACAAAAGATCTGAATGAACTCCTTAACAAGGAAGATATATGGATGGCATATAAGCACATGGAAAAGTGCTCAGCATCATTCGACATCAGGGAGCCACAAACTTAAATCACAATCAGATATGACCACACACCCAGGAGAACACCTGTCAGCAAAAAGATAGACGCCACCAAGGGTGAGTAAAGCTGTGGAGAAACTGCAAGTCTCAAGCATGGCTAGTGGCAGTGAAATGAGAGTGTGAAGTGTGTCATCTGTGGCTAGTGGGAGTGAATTGAGAGTATAAAGTGTCTCACCTGTGGCTAGTGGGAGTCAAATGAGTGTGAAGTGTCTCACCTGTGGCTAATGGGAGTGAAATGAGTGTAAAGTGTCTCACTTGTGACTAGTGGGAGTGAAATGAGTGTAAAGTGTCTCATGTGGCTAGTGGGAGTGAAATGAGGTTGTAACGTTTCTCATGAAAGGCTAGTGGGAGTGAAATGAGGGTGTGAACTGCCACCTCTCTGGAAAGGTTTTTGGCATTTCATCACAAGATAATGTGCTTTTATGGGACCACAATTCCACTCCCATTTTCTAACCAGAGAGAAATGAAGACGCGTGCACATGTAAGGGTTCTGAGAGCCTAGCTCAGGACTCAGGACAACTCCGGGCACTGTTCTTCAGAACTCACTAGTAACAGACTTGTCCTTTATGTAAGAATAAACTGCATGTCAGCATCTTCCTTTCTCATCTTACAACTTTCCGTTTACCCCACAGCAGAGAGAAGGAGCCGGCGCCCCGGGCTCTTCTGCACAGGGGTAAGTTGTAAGCTTCCTGCAGGCGCTTGATCGCTCTGAAGGATAGCTCTGTTCCCTTAGTACCTCAAGCGACTTTGGAAAGCAATTCACCTACGATGAGGCATTTTAAATAGTTCTGCCGAGTCATAGCGACTGCTCGGTCTCGTCGCGCTTCTCTCACTTGCAGAAACTGCATTTTCCCTCCCTTTGTCATAACTAACATCTAGAGTAGCGGGCGACAATAAGACCAGCTCATTCATTTCCACGTCTCCCCGTGAGCCCGTGGGCTGTGAGTCTCGGTGTTTGCTTTCGTCGTAAGCTCCGAGAGTCCGCCCGTCCTGAGCCCAGATGCTGAGTGCGTGTGGGCACCGGCGACGCCTTCACCCCGGAGCCCTGCCCAGGCGGCCCGGGCGTGGCTTCCCAAACCGGGATTCAAGAAGCGTCTGTGAGCCAGTGTTGGGTAGTGCGGGTCGTTTTATTTTGGAGGCTGAGTCAAAGGTCATGCGCGTCTTCAGTGTTCACAGACTCCTTCCAATGACCTTCCCAAAAGCGTGCTGCAGTTCACACTTCCTTCAATTCTGACCCTCTTTCGGCGTGAGGTACTAACAGTACGTTTAGCTTTATGCAGATAAAATAGATAATATTTTAGTATGCATTTCCTTAATACCGTGACGACTGAACTTTTTTCGTGTTTTGACCAGATTTCCGTTTTTCCTGTGTGAATTAGCGGTCAGCAGTTGGGTGATTCGATCATCAAACATAACAGCTCTTTGCATTTTCGGAATCCTGCGGTATCTTTCACAGTGTAGATGCTGTAGACTACTCTGAAGCCAAATTTGTTAAAATTTCCTTTTGTCTTGCTTTAAAAAGCCTTCTTTATTCCAAGGTTATACAAATATCCTGCAATACTCTTTGTTTCAGGCGTCCCCAAACTACGGCCCGTGAGCCGCATGCGGCCCCCTGAGGCCATTTATCCGGCCCCCCGCTGCACTTCAGGAAGGGGCACCTCTTTCACTGGTGGTCAGTGAGAGGAGCACAGTATGTGGCGGCCCTCCAACGGTCTGAGGGACCGTGAACTGGCCCCCTGTGTAAAAAGTTTGGGGACGCCTGGTTAATATAGTCATGTTTTTTATTTGTACCTTTACTTTTTGACTTTTCGGGCCAGAGGACATTGATTTTGGCATTTGGTGACAGAGGAGCGAAGGTTATTTCATCCCAACAAAGTAACGCTTGGTTCTTCACTTCGTGTACTGAGTGATGCTCTTTCCCCTCAGGTCGAAAGGCCTTTTCTGGTTCTCTCTGTTCCCCTAAGCACAGGCCCAGGTCTGTCTCGTGGGTCTGTGTCCTGGAGCGGCACCATCTGTTTAATTTACAGGGCCTCGTTTAGCTACTATATTGTAATATCTGGCAGGCAAACTTCTGTCTAAAGATTTTTTTCATTTTTCATTTACTTTAGACAGTTATTACACATTAATTTTCAAATGTGAACTTTAAAATCACTTTGTCCAGTTCCAAGAAACGTGAAATTCGAACTGGAGTTATGTTAGTGACGGGTCTGCCCTTGGGAGGGGCCCACATCACAGCCCCCACGGAGAGGCAGCAAAGCCTTTGAATTTCACTTCGAGTTATCACGGAACCATGGCTCTTTAAGTGAAATATAAAAATGCTTTATCTGTTATGCATTTTGAGCAAGATTAACAGAAACCTAAGTATGACTAGAATTGTAAACTTCCACTCTAAAACCAAAACAAAATAAAAAAAATTTTAGTGATTGCCAAATCAATGTGTGTATTATAGAAAATGTGGGAACTGCAAAGATTCCCAGGTAAAAATGAAAGTCATGCAAGGTCCCTGACCCACCAGTAGCCACTGTGGGCATCTGGACTGGCATCTTCCGGGTCGTCCTTTGGAATGTTTCTTCTGCGCATGACGTGCATAATGTGCTGATTTATACAATTACAGTCACCTTGCACAACTGTTTCCGAGCCTGCTTTTTCAACTTCAAATACTGTGAACATTGTTCTGTTAAAGAAAGAAAGAGTGGCTCGTATGGGTATAAATCGTCGCAGCTCTGGGATCTGTTATACTCCCTGTTTCTGGAATAGTGTGTTTGATTTTCAGTCTACCCTGTGATTTTCCAAAGACTGCTGAGCTGGCCTTATGTGGGAGGGTTAGGGTATTTCAGTGGGATAGTTGATGAAGCAAGTAGATGAGTCCCCTGGTGCAGCAGGATGCCAGTGCCCGTCTTCTGCCACAGGAGCTGCCTGCTGGGGCACCTGGGAGTTTGGAACAGTGGACCACATGGACACCTGACAACTCTCAGCCTTAGTCTTTTTTTTTTTTTTTTCTTTTTTTTAGACGGAGTTTTGCTCTTGTTACCCAGGCTGGAGTGCAATGGCGCGATCTCGGCTCACCGCAACCTCTGCCTCCTGGGTTCAAGCAATTCTCCTGCCGCAGCCTCCCGAGTAGCTGGGATTACAGGCACGTGCCACCATGCCCAGCTAATTTTTTGTATTTTTAGTAGAGACGGGGTTTCACCATGTTGACCAGGATGGTCTCGATCTGTTGACCTCGTGATCCACCCGCCTCGGCCTCCCAAAGTGCTGGGATTACAGGCTTGAGCTACTGCGCCCGGCCAGCCTTAGTCTTTAGTGCAAGCCTGACCTACCCCGTCACAGCAGAGTCCCTCCAAATCGGGAAAGTCATCTACACCCATGGCACCGTGTCAGTACAGAACAATCCAGTCACTAAATGCCTGTGGAGAGCAAGGATTCAGGCTGGGTGGGAGCTTCGGGAGGAGGGGACACAGTCTGTTCCGATGGTGGCTCTCAGGCCGGTCCACAGAGACGGTTTGGTCACAGCGGTCCATGGCTGCCTGTGTTTCTCTGCGCTACTGTGGATCAGTAAACATGGGGAGGTGCTGCAGAGCAGGTGGGATGGAAACACAGAGACCCAGCAGGGTCCCACGGGCTTTCTGTACAGCTTTAGGGGGGCTCCCACTGGCTTGTGCCCATGAAGTGGCTGGTGTTAGCTTCCCACCTGCCACAACAAATGACCACAAATCCAGGCATTCAGCACAACACTCCCTGTCGGCTCCGTGGGTCTCAGGCCTGGGCTGGCCCAGTGAGTCTGTGCCTACGGCCTTGCAGGGCAGCAGCCACAGTCAGGGGCCAGAGTCCTCTCTGGGCTCCTGGGGAAGAATCTGTCCCAGGCTCCTTCAGGCTGCACTGGGTGTCACAGTTTTCTGAGGTGCCACGTAGCCCCCTCAAGCTCCCCATAGGCACCGGGGTCCCAGCGTCCTCCTCTCGCTTTCAGTCTCCGGGTGCTTCCTCCTCACTTCTCTATTTTCCGAGGCTCAGGTGATTCCTGGGGCCTGTGAGGACAATCCACGTCCCTGCTCCTGTCTTAGGGTCCTCTGTCTGCTGTGAGAGATTGCCACGAATGTGGAACGCTGTGGGCCCCAAGGCACCTTCTGCCACTTGCCAGTGAGCCAGGCTATACCCGCTGAGGACACACCCTGGCTAAGGCACTGGTCTAGGGTGGGGCCCCCACAGCGGGAGGAGGTCCTGCTTCACAGGGTCCCAATGGGAGGGAGTCACGGTCCTTTACACGCAAATCTCCTTCCATTTCCCACTGCGCAGTAACCTGGGAGCACTCACAACCTCCCGGGAGCTGCTGGTCTCGGTTCTGAGACACGCGGCCCCACAGCAGTGCTGCTTACAGGAGACGCTGCAGCCCCCAGCGCTGCCCTTAGGCCCCCACAAAGCTGAGATGAGTTTCTTTCCTTCTGCCCGTCCCACCAGGGTCAAGGCCAAAAAGTCCCTGCTGATGCCCAATTGCCTGTGCCACCTCCCCGCTCCCGTACACCGAGATCGGGGCTCATCAGCACAGGTAAGTTGTGGTCGCCGGGCACTGGGCCATGAGGACAGAGCCCTGTGGGGAATGCGTGGTCTGCGGTCCCCCCAAGCTGAGGTTAGGGCAGCCTTCAGAATGGAGGCACTCTGTGTCCAAGGGTGCTCCCCACCTGGGAATGATGGTGGGTGGAGCACAGAAGAGAGATCCAGTCAGAGGCAGAAACGCTTCCCAGCGGAGGGTGAGAGAGACAGATGGGTGCCAGTGGGAGCCCCCAGCACTGGAGCCCCACGGTCAGGCTGTGGTGACTCAGATGCCCAGGGCAGGCTCTGAAGGGCCCAGGACATGCAGCGGGGGACAGTGCTGTGATAACGGATGCAGGGAAATTGTTAGCCATGGCAGAATCAGTGTGCTGTGTTAAAATAAAATGCTGAGGAAGGACTGTGTGTAGGACACAGGTGGGAATAGAGGTGTGTGTGGTCACGTGTGCACGTCTGTGGTGTGTGGCTGCAGGTATGTGTGTGGTGTAGGGTCACATTTGTGGTGTGTGTGGTGTGTGGTTATGTGTGTGGTTGTGTGTGCTGTGTGTGTGGTGTGTGGTTACGTGTATCTGTGAGTGAGTGGTGCGTGTTTGTTCCGTGGACTCTGTGTCTGTCCTTCACAGGAAAAGCCCAGCATGGCTGCCGGCTTTAGGGCCACCTATTTCTGTTCCTGCTCGGGGGTCGGCTTCCAGTGGTTTCTGCTGAGTCATTATTTATTTTTTAGAGATGTGATCTACTCTGTCACCCAGGATGGATTGCAGTGGTGGGATCAGGGCTCAAGGCAGCCTCCACCTTCTGGCCTTAAGTGATCCTTGTACCTCAGCCTCTCGAGTAGCTGGAAGTACAGGCATGTGCCACCACACCCAGCTAATTGATTTTTTATTTATTTTTTTATTTTTTTGAGGCGGAGTTTCGCTCTTGTTACCCAGGCTGGAGTGCAATGGCGCGATCTCGGCTCACCGCAACCTCCGCCTCCTGGGTTCAGGCAATTCTCCTGCCTCAGCCTCCTGAGTAGCTGGGATTTACAGGCACGTGCCACCATGCCCAGCTAATTTTTTGTATTTTTAGTAGAGACGGGGTTTCACCAAGTTGACCAGGATGGTCTCGATCTCTTGACCTTGTGATCCACCCGCCTCGGCCTCCCAAAGTGCTGGGATTACAGGCTTGAGCCACCGCGCCCGGCCTGATTTTTTATTTCTTAAGAAATGGTGTCTCACTCTGTTGCCGAGGCTGGTTGGAACTTCTGGTCTCAAGCAACTCTCAGGCCTTAGCGTGAGCCCTGGGGGTGTCCTTTTGAGCAGGCTTTGTGAGGGAGTCAGCTTCAGCTTCTGGGGGTTACAGGTGACTTCTCCTGCCTTGTGGGGGCAGGGCCGCCTCACCACACTCCCCAGGACTTCAGGGAACGGGCTCCTGAGACTTGGAAATGAAAAGGGCTCAGCCCCGGTCGGGAGGAACAGTGGCGCTCGTGTCCAAGCCTTGCCCCTTGCCTGGACTTCCATGAAAGATTTGGAGACACACTCAGTGGAAACCGTTGGAGCCCCAGCCCACCCCAGACTCAGCCACCAAATTTCCCTCCCTCCACGTGGTGCACGGACTCACGGGATTTTCTCTGCCTGGGATCGTCTGCGTCGACACCTGCTGCCCGGGTGCAACCGTGAGTCCCCTCGGTCTCTTCACAGCGTCTCGGGTGGATGATGAATTACAGTCACCTCACGTGAAGCCACGTGATGCCTGGTCCGAAGCAGAGAAGATCCGTCAGCATCATGTTGAATCCCAACCCTGCATCTCTGTGGGCTCCAGGACAATCCTATGAAAATGACACTGTTGGTTCACTGTTCACATCAGGGAGGAGAATCCGAAAATGAGTGTGACGTCACTGACACCCACGTCCATGGCACAGCCCAGTGCTGAGCTCCGCAGACCTGCAGTCCATGACCTCCGCTCGGAGTGGGCCACGGCTGCCGACAGCGTTGTCCAGGGAAGATGCCCTGAGTCCATGAATGGAACAAACTGGAAACTCCAGAAACAAACTCCAGACCATTTCTGGTCTTTGGCTCTAATGGAAGGTGGCAAGGCAGTGGGGAGAAATGACAGCGTTTTTAATGAACGTGCAGCAGCGGCAGGATGACCACATGCCAAACTCACACACACACAGCTCAGGTCCTCAGAAAACCAATGCAGAATCCATCACAGACTGCATAGTAAAAGGGGAAACTTTAACATTTCTGAAAATATCATACAATATCTTTAGGATCTTCTGTTAGGCAGTTTCCTTTGACAGATACCAAAAATTCTATTTCAGAAAGAAATGGTTAATTTGACTTTAAGGATTTAAAATGTTTCTTTTAATTGTCAGCATTAAGGGACTGGAAACATAAGCCACCGACGGACATAACAGATTTGCCAGTCATATACTTTTATCCAGAGTATTTAATGAATGGTGAAAACTCGATAATAAGAAAACAGCTCAGCTTTTAAATGAGTGAAAGATTTGAACACACTCTTCACCATGGCAACAGTATCGATGAGAATAAAGCACATGAAATCGTGCTCAACATCATTTGATATCAGGGAACCACAAGCTAAAACCAAAATAAGATACCACTGCCCCCATTGGAATAGCTGCAAGAAAAATGGTTAACGATGCCATCCAGGCACAAGGGTTCACACGTGAAACCCCAGAGTTTTGGGTGGGATCCTCCATGAATCAGGAGGATCCCTTGAGACCAGGAGGTTGAGACCAGTCTGGGCAACATAGCAAAACCCTGTCTCTCAAAAAATAATTTTAAAAAGATGAACGATATCCAGTGTTGGTGAAGGCATGGGAGAACCGGAAGCCTCACCCTCTGCTAATGGAGATGAATGATGATGCCACACTGGCAAGCAGTTTGGCGAACTTCAGATGCTGAGCATACACTTATCATATGACCCAGCACTCCCACTCCTGCATTCTGACCCAAGGGCACTAAAACAACATGTGTGCGTGGAGCAGGTGTTTTTATTTGCTAGAACTTCCACAAGCAGGAATCACACACGGGGCTGAAACTAGAAATGTATGTTCTCACATACCCGGAGGCTGGAAGTCCCAGAGCATGGTGTCTGCAGCATTGGCTTCTCCCGATGCCTTTCTCCTTGTAGATGGCCGCCTGCTCTCTGCGTCGTCCCGCAGTCTTCCCTGTTTGTGTCTCTGTAGTAATCTCCCCTTATTACGAGGACAGCGGTCACTCTGGATGAGGGCTCACCCTAATATCCTCGTCTAACATCAGTTTCCTCTTTCAAGACCCTGTCTCTACATACAGTTACATTCTGAGGTTCTGGGTGTTGCGATGTCGACCTATGAATTTGGAGGAGGACACAGTTCAGCCCGTAATACGAGAATGGAGAGGAAGGGTGCTGTGCCACTGCTGAGGCCAAATCCTGGGATCCGGCCCTCCTTGAAGTGCCATTATTCTCAGAACTGACTAGCAATGGACTGGAATTTTATGAGTAAGCTCAATGTCAACAACATCTTTGTTCACCCTGTGAATTTTCCTTCACTTCCCCACAGGAAGCAGATGATGCCCCAAGTCCATCTTCATGTGGGTAAGTTTCTGAGCTTCATGGGCATGTTTTATCTGTCTATAACACGGTTGTACCCTCATCTGGACGGCTTCGCAAACAGGGTTTCCAGAAACGTCTGCGAGCCAGTGTTGTGCCATGTACGTCATTTTATTCTGGAAGGTAAGAGTCAAAGGTCATGTGCATTTCAGTCTCCACAGAGTTCTGATGACTTTCCCAAAACGTTGGGGCAGTTCATACTTCCTTCAGCTCTGCCGCTCTTCAGCATGCCATACAACCGTATATTTAGTTTTATTTCAATAAAATGTAATATTTCAATATGCATTTCTTTGCAACCAGTAAGACAACATTTTTTCATGTTTTGACCATCTTACAATTTTTCTTGTGTGAATTAGTGTTCAATAGTTGGATTATTTGGATTATTAAACATAAGAGCTCTTTGCCAATTAGGAACTCTATGGAATCTTTCACAGCGTAGAGATTGTAAACTTTTCTGAAGCAAAAAATTTGTTAAACTTTCCTTTTGACTATCTTTAAAAATCCTTCTTTACTCTGGGGGAATACAAATATCCTCCAATAATTTTTACTTATATAGTCATAATTTTTATTTTTATTTTATTTCAATGGCTTTTGAAACGAGTGGTGTTCTGTTGCATGGAAAAGTTCTTTAGTGTTGATTTCCGAGATTTAGGTGCACCCACCACCTGAGCAGTATACACTGTACCCACTGTGTAGTCTTACCGTCACCCTTTTCCCACCATTCCCCCCAAGCAGCAAATGCCCCTTGTATCATTCTTATACCTTTCTGTCCTTGTGGCCTAACTCCCACTTATAAGTGAGAACGTGTGATGTTTGGATTCCATTCCTCAGTTGCTTCACTTAGAATCATGGTCCGCAGCTCTATAAAGGTTGTGTGAGTGCCATTATTTCATTCCTTTTTATGGCTGAGTAGTAGTCTATGGTATGTACATACATACGAATCAGTGGATAAAGAAAAGGTGACATATGTATAGGCTGGTTGATTTAAGCTGGTTCCATAGTTTTGCAACTGCACACTATGCTGCCGTAAACATGTGGGTGCAAGTCTCTTTTTCATAAGATGATTTCTTTTCCTCTGGGCAGATACCCAGTGGTGGGATTGCTGGATCAAATGATGGTTCTACCTTTTGTTCTTCATGGAGTCTAAACACTAGTGGTTGCACTCATTTACATTCCCACCAGCAGTGTAAAAGTGTTCCCTTTTCACCATGTCCATGCCAGCATCTGTTTGTTTTTTTAATTATGGCTATTGTTACAGGAGTAAGGTGTTATTGCATTGTGGTTTTGATTTGTATTTCCCTGACAACTAGTGATGTTGATCATTTTTTCATATGTTTATTGGTCATTTATCTTCTTTTGAGAATTGTCTATCTGTGAACTCTGCCCACTTTTTGATGGGATTTTTTTTTTTTTTTTTTTTTTTTGGAGACAGAGTCTCACTCTGTCACCCAGGCTGGAGTGCAGTGGCAAGATTTTGGCTCACGGAAGCCTCCACTTCCCAGGTTCAAGAGATTCTCCTGCCCCAGCCTCCCAAGTAGATGGGATTATAGGTGCCCACCACTACGCCCAGCTAATTTTTGTATTAGTAGAGATGTGGTTTCGCCATGTTGGCCAGGCTAGTCTTGAACTCTTGACTTGAAGTGATCTGCCCACCCTAGCCTCCCAAAGCACTGGGATTATAGGCATGAGCCACCATGCCCAACTGGATGCTGGATGATTTTTTTTGGGGGGGGGTGCTGAGTTTGAGTTTCTTTTAGATCCAGATACTAGTCTTTTGTCAGATGTACAGCTTGTGACTATTTCCTTTTTTTCTGTGGGTTCTGTTTACACTGTTCATTGTTTCTTCTGCTGGGTATAAGCTGTTTGGTTTAAAATAAAAATAAATTAAGATAAATTTCATCTATTTGTCTTTGTTTTTGTTGCATTTGCTTTTAGATTCTTAGTCATGAACTCTTTGCCTAAGTCAATGTCTAGAAGCGTTTTTCTGATGATAGCTTATAGATTTCTGTATGCTTTCAGGTCTTAGATTGAAGTCTGATCCATCCTCAGTTGATGTTTGTAAAAGGTGAGAGGTGGGGATACAGCTTCATTCTTCTACATGTGGATTGTGAATTACCCCAGCACCATGTGTTGAATAGGGTGCCCTTTCCCCACTTGATTTTTTTTTTTTTTTTTGGTTTGTTGAGAATCAATTGGCGGTAAGTATTTGGCTTTATTTATGGGTTCTGTGTTCTGTTCCATTGGTCTGCATGCCTATTTCTATATTAGCATCATGCTGTTTTGGTAATTCTAGTTTTGACCTCTCATATCCTTTCTTCTGCTTGATCAATTCGGCTGTTAAAACTTGTGCATGCTTCGCGAAGTTCTCGTGTTGTGTTTTTCAGCTGCATTAATTCACTTATATTCCTCTCTAAATTGTCTATTCTCATTAGCATTTCGTCAAACCTTTTTTCAAAGTTCTTAGTTTCTTTGCATTGGGTTAGAACATGTTCTTTTAACTCACAGAAGTTTCTTATCATCCAGCCTTTGAAGCCTGCTTCTGTTGATGGAACACACTCGTTCTCCATCAGGCCTTGTTCTATTGCTGATGAGGAACTGTGATCCCCTGTAGAGGGAGAGGCGTTCTGATTTTGGGTATTCTCAGCCTTTTTAGGCTGGTTTCTTCCCTTTGTTATAAATTTATCCATCTGTTGTCTTTGTAATTACTGACTTTATAATTAGGTTTCTGAGTGGACGTCCAACTTGTTGATTCCCAGCCCTGGAATCTGAGCAACACACTGTGCCGAAACAGCGGCGTTAAGATTGATGGTGATTTTCTGACTCTGCACCAAGAACCACCGCACCGAGGCACCGGCAAAACTGCCAGAGTTGCGCTGGTGACCCATGGGGCTCCTCCACTGGGAATCTCCTGGGCTATGAGCAACAAAAATTCGTCTGAAAGTGTGGCGTCCTCTCGTTCTCTGCGCTTTCACTGGGAGCTACAATCCCGAGCTGCTAGTGATCAGCCATCTTGGATCGCTCTCTCTGGTTTGTTCTTGTTTCTGTGGTTACTTCAGGTGTGACTTTAGATTGTCTACTTGTGTCTTTCAGACTCATGTGGGCTTTTAATTGTATGAACCTTCCTGTTATCATTACTTTTGCTGTGGCCTAGGGGTTTTGATAAGTTGCATCATGGTTATCATTCAGTTCAAAGAATTTTTAAATTTCCTTTTTGATTTGGTTGTTGACCCAAAGGTCATTAAGGAGCAATTATTTAATTTCCATGTATTTGTGTAATTTTGTGGATTCCTTTTGAAGTTAATTACCAGTGTTATACCACTGTGGTCTGAAAGATGCTTGATATAATTTTGAATTTCTTAAATTCATTGAGAATTGTTTTGTGGCCTATGATATGATGTATTGTGGAGAATGTTCCATGTTCCACTGATAAGAAGAATGTATATTTGGCATTTTTTAAGGCAGAATGTTCTGTAAATATCTAAGTCCATGTGTCCTAGGGTAGAGTTTAAGTCCACTGTTTCTCTGTTGAGCTTCTGTCTTGATGGCCTGTCTAGTGCTGTCAGTGGAGTACTGAGTGCCTCACTTTTATTTTGTTGCCATCTATCTTACTTCTTATGTCCAGTAATAATTGTTTTATAAATGTGGGAGGTCCCTCATTAGGTGCACTTATGTTTAGGATTGTGACATTTTCCTGTTGGAGTGATTCCTTTATCATTATGTAATGTTGCTCTTTGTCTTTTGTAACTATCGTGGCTTTAACATCTGCTTTGTCTAATATTAGCATAGTTACTCCTGCTTGCTTTTGGTTTCTATTTGCATGGAATATCTTTTCCACCCCTTTACCTTAAGTTTATGTGAGTCCTTATGCATTAGGTGAGTTCTTGAAGACAGCAGATACTTGGTTGGTGAATTTTTCTCCATTCTGCCACTCTCTTTTTTAGTTGTTGCTTTTAGGCCATTTATATATTAGTATTGAGATGTGAGCTACAGTCTTATTCATCATGCTACTTGTTGCCTAAATACCCTGGTTCTTTTCTTTGTGTTACTGTTTTATAAGCCCCAAGGGATTTGTGCTTTAAAGAGGTTCTATTTTGGTGTATTTTGAGGTTTGCTTTTTTTTATTGCATTTTAGGTTTTGGGGTACATGTGAAGAACATGCAAGATTGTTGCATAGGTACACACATGGCAGTGTGATTCGCTGCCTTCCTCCCCTTCACCTATATCTGGCATTTCTCCCCATACTATCTCTCCCCAACTCCCCACCCCCTGCTGTCCCTCCCCTATTTCCCCTGACAGACCCCAGTGTGTAGTGCTCTCCTCCCTGTGTCCATGTGTTCTCATTGTTCAACACCCACATGAGTGAGAACATGTGGTGTTTGATTTTCTGCTCTTGTGTCAGTTTGCTGAGAATGATGGTTTCCAGGTTCGTCCATGTCCCTACAAAGGACACGAACTCATCGTTTTTGATGGCTGCGTAATATTCCATGGTGTATATGTGCCACATTTTCCCTGTCCAGTCTATCATCGATGGGCATTTGGGTTGGTTCCAGGTCTTTGCTATTGTAAACTGTGCTGCACTGAACATTCATGTGCATGTGTCTTTATAGTATAACAATTTACAATCCTTTGGATATATACCCAGTAATGGGATTGCTGGGTCAAATGGGATTTCTATTTTTAGGTCCTTGAGGAATCGCCACACTGTCTTCCACATGGTTGAACTAATTGACACTCCCACCAACAGTGTAAAAGTGTTCCTATTTCTCCATATCCTCTCCAGCATCTGTTGTCTCCAGATTTTTTCATGATCGCCATTCTAACTGGTGTGAGATGGTATCTCAATGTGGTTTTGATTTGCATTTCTCTAATGACCAGTGATGATGAGCATTTTTTCATAGGTTTGTTGGCCTCATGTATGTCTTCTTTTGTAAAGTGTCTGTTCATGTCCTTTGCCCACTTTTGAATGGGCTTGTTTGTTTTTTTCT